ATATGTCTCGTTATAATATTTAAAAAAAATCTGAATACTAGATAGGTATAGATAAAACCAAAACAGTCTTTAATTTATAAGAAACCTAACCTTAAATAAAAACTAACTAACTTAAAAACCTGTCGAAAGGATTCGTAAAAAAAACGACCATATTATGTTAAATTAATGCAAACAAAATAATTTTACCTTTAAAAGGAAAACTGAATTTTTCGCGAACTATGGAAAACATCATTAAAGTGAAACTAAACAAATCATGCCAGGCAAGCGGTGGATGGGGATCAGGAAGGGATTGGTATGGGGAAGGGTCGATGGCTATTTGGCCAGGCTCCCAGCGAAAGCCATAAATAACAGCTCACCGCCATTTAGCAGGAACAAAATGAAATTTTTCAATTAAGTTAAAGGCCACTGTCGATAGCGAGCCAATGTCATTAGCAGGTAAAAGGAGCAGGAGTTTTAGCAGGAACTGAAACAGGAGGAGGAGGAACTGCAGCAGTGTTGGAAGCAGGACATAAATTAATATCGAAGCCAGGGCAATTTTATGTCCATTTAATGGCAGTCCGCGGCAGGCAGGTGGCCATAAAATGACATAAAACTGGACGGGCCAATGTTTAAATAATGCCCGAAACTTTATTTAGGAGTCATCTCGCTCTGTTTTTGGCAGGTGGGAATCGGGTTAACTAGGGGTCGGGTTTTTGGCCGCCACAGCTAATTGACAATTCAAAATGTTTGGGGCGGCCAAGTGGAGCTGGCCGTGTCGGTCATAAAGTTAATAAGCAATTTGCATAACAAATTGTCTAAAACGCTGACAACATGTCGCATGGAAATGCCGAATGCGAATCCGAGTGGGACCGAGAGTGCAGCTAATTTTCCATACTCCGTGTTGCGTATACGCAGCGTGGACCTCCCAGTGGGCTGCGCGGGCATGCATTTAATTGTTTCAAACCGGACATCATCCCATTTTTGTGCCAGTCCCAGTCCCAGTCCCTCCGGTCATGACACTCGTACGCTTCGGATTTTTGCAAATGTGCATGCCCGTAATTTATTCTCGGGCTGTTAATTAGCGCGACTACATTCGAGCGGAATGGGTTTAGTTGGTTAATTCATCGACTAATAGAGTACCTTTTAGTGGCCGGATTTTGTTGATCTTCAAAGGGTTTGATGCTATTATCCTTGGTTTATGTGCTTTTCTTTTGGCCCTTTTCAGGTGAGTGTTATTATGATTCGACATTAAGAAAAACTCAAGAAACGTATTTTATGCATTTTATTAAATTTGTTTTAAATATTTAGAATTTATATAGTAATTTTATAATACATATGTATAGTACATTAACCGGAAGTTTAATTTTATAGTTCATAGTTTCATAGTTAGTTCCATGGAAAATATAAGCATAAAGTTAAAATTAAAATACATTTAAAATTGAATAAGATTTTATAATGCATTAACTGGTTAGCAAATACAATTAACTCCGCCGAATCGGTACTTCCCATCCCAATTTCCTGGCCCTGCCTTCCGGTGGCTGGACATTAGTTTGAGTTTCCTGGCTGCACATACGGCCCTTCCTGAACAGGGTATCCGAATAACATGGTTATGGCGCATTTGGCGGACCTTCCACGGCAATTAGCCAGTGTCAATTGTTCATGCTGTAGAGTGCGAGCGCGTGCGTGGGACATTAGTGGAATGCTTTTTTCTCCCACATCGAAACAAACCTATATGCATAACGAGCATATCTGCATATGTATATGCGGCTGGGAACCGAGCTAACTGCCATTTGCAGCTGTTTCTATTTCCGTTTACTGGCCACAAAGCTGCAGAGCTCCCCAGTCCATCCTGTCCCTCCATTTTCCCCTGGGCACTACATCATTTGTAATTTGATGGCTGGCTCGGTGGATGGGGAAGGGAAGGATAATGAAAGGACAGATGGCAAGGAACTGTGCCTCAAAGTATGCAACACAATTGCAGACACACATTGCAACACAATCCCTCAAACATGCACAGTACCAGTTTCCACAGTAACCCCACCAACCCTTCTGCTATCCGAGATACATTTGCTGCTAGCAGTTGCATTTCGCATTATGCTTTGTTATAATTAAATGATTATCAATTTGGCAAATATTTGATTGCGCCCTGCTTGCAAAAGGAAAGCCAATCAGGCGTAAATTGATCTCAGCTTGCACAGATAAATGACCAGAACCACATTGTTTGAGGGCTAATTTCAAGATGAAGGAAATGTATTATCATACAGTCTCAGGTTCTCTTTTAGGTTGACTCTAATTTAAAATGTATTTAATTATCCTATATAAATCCCAATTTAATGATTAAATCTCCATATCAAGAATAAAACAAATGTCATAAATCAATCCTTGACTCGTAAACATATAAGTTAAATTGACAATCATCCCTTAAATCAAATATTTATATTTAAAAACATAAAAACCCCTGAGTAAAAGATTCTTTGAGTTATTGGCGCGTGTAAATCGGAGCTGATAGCTTATCTAATACTTTTCGGCGCTTCTCGAAAGTGCAAAATAACCAAGATTTACGAGACCGAACAAAAGCTTAATGGACTTCCGCTGGGCGGCGATAAGGCGGCCTTATAAAGAGGGCGTTGTGGGCCGAGACTAACCAGTTGATTGACCAACATGAAGCTGTTTGTATTCCTAGCCTGCCTGGCCGTGGCCTCCGCCAGTGTCCTCCCCGCCGAGCCCGCCAAGGCGGTGGCCGTGAAGGACATGCCCCGCCCCGGCAAGATCGAGGGTCGCATCACCAACGGCTACCCAGCCTACGAGGGCAAGGTGCCCTACATTGTGGGCCTGAGCTTCAACGACGGCGGCTACTGGTGCAGCGGCTCCATCATCGGCAACACCTGGGTGCTGACCGCCGCCCACTGCACGAACAGCGCCAGCCATGTGCTCATCTACTTCGGAGCCAGCTTCCGGCACGAGGCCCAGTACACCCACTGGGTGAGCCGCAGCGACATGATCCAGCATCCCGACTGGAACGACTTCCTGAACAACGACATCGCCCTCATCCGCATCCCGCACGTCGACTTCTGGAGCCTGGTCAACAAGGTGGAGCTGCCCAGCTACAACGATCGCTACAACAGCTTCTCCGGCTGGTGGGCCGTCGCCTCTGGCTGGGGACTGACCAACAACGACAGCGGCATGTCCAACTACCTGAACTGCGTGGACGTGCCGATCATGGACAACAACGACTGCCGCAACTACTACGGCGGCAACTACGTCACGGACAACACCATCTGCATCAACACCGATGGCGGCAAGTCCTCCTGCAGCGGCGACTCCGGCGGCCCCTTGGTCCTCCACGAAGGCAACCGCATCGTGGGCATCGTGTCCTTTGGCAGCGGGGAGGGATGCACCGCCGGCAGGCCAGCTGGCTTCACTCGCGTCACCGGCTACCTGGACTGGATCCGCGACCACACCGGCATTTCCTACTAAAAACTAGAATGAAATAAAGCAATCTTATAAAAACCAAATACAGTTTGTAAGAACTATATAGGGGTATTCTTTTTATTTTGAAAACCTAAATGATCTTGTATTATTAAGTGGGACGTTCAATTAAAAGTTAAAGTATTTCAGTTCAGATCGCAGATAAAGAAGCAGCCCTATAAATATAAAATCAGTACTTTAGTTATTCTAACCGATAAGCAGGCAAAAGCGATACTTTGGCTTTAAGTACTGGAAGTAAAATTAAATATATGACCATGCTTACAAATTTGTTTGTTTACAAGCTGTGATCAGAGATTTTTAAAACATGCCACCATTGTAGTCTTTGTTTTGCGGTCATGATTCGTTTTCCATATCTAATCTGAACACCTTTATAAGAAAGTTGCTTGTTATTTAAATTAATATTTACAACAGTGACGATCAAAATAGTGATAAAGTATTAGCGGTGTGTAGTGATGAGCTTGTGTAAAAAATTTGTTAAGAGTCGAAAACTTTAGGAGGATCTTGAGACCGATAGATTTGAGAACTATAGAAGGTTATACCCTCTTCAACCCTATTTATTTTATAAATTATTTTATTGTTCGAATTTATTTTTATTTTTATATATATTTAAGGGATATTTTACTAATCTAACCTATAGAAACTGCATTTCTTATTCGCTAAATTGCAGCACAAAATCAATATCAAACGCGAGGGCCGTAAAAAAGGCCAATAAATTACAGGAACGTAAAACAAAGCAAAAACTGTTTAAACAATTTACTTGAGAAATGAGTTTTTGGCCCTGCTCCGGGCCAAGAAACCGAAGAGCCGGAAGTGGGGGATGTGGAGGGGCCAGAGGAGGAACAGCAGGGTAGCCCGAAAATCAATTCGCTCAGCCATTTGCCCGGCCCAGCGTGTAATTTCTCAATTTTCGGCCATGCGAAGTGTTGTTTCTCTTGTGTTCCCATCCCCGTTTGCCTCCTGGTTAATTTGGTTCCATTGCCGCGATGCAAAAGTGGGGCACAGATGGAGGTGGGTGTGAAATGGCGGATAGTCTGCAGAGCCATCTGCCATGGCTCGACTATTTATAAGCTGCCGGGATGAAGACGCTGTGCTCCTTGGCTCGTATTTCCCATCGCCGTGCTCCTTTTGTTCAAGGATTGCAATAAATCGAGTGACTTGGAGGTACGCTCGAGTTAAGTGCCTGGATGGAAAACTATCCCGGCGATTTAGTTCCGTGTGGCACGGATAAATAGCGCATATAGAAGATGTGCGATAGCGGATAATGTTTGTAAATGATAAGAGTTCGAAACAATTTATTAAGGAAGGTGGCGTTTCGCTCTAAAGAGGTATTCCGTTTTTACTAAGAAAAAGAGCGATTGTGGCTGCCAACAATTTAATTACATTCTTAGTAATTAGGTTGAAAACTTGACGGAAAAAATATCAATAAATATTTATTTAGTTAAAAGTATAATCATTATTCAGAAAAAGTAATGTTAAGTTTTAACAAACAGTTTTTAAACTTATTCTTGGTTTAAGGTCAGCAATTTTCCAGCTCATTGCGCCTGCAATGTGATCCCGAATTCTCTGATCCTCTCATCGATCCAGCTGCGCAGGTACGGCACATTGGTGTACACGGCGGGAATGTCCTCGACGCCGCACTCGACGCTCCAGGACACGATGCCCAGCAGCCGGTAGCGATCCCGTTCCCCAGGCATTGTACAGAAGAGCGGTGAGCCGCCGTCACCCTTGCAGGGGTCCTTGCCATTGCCGCCGGCACACATAAAGCTGGGGCCCAGGCGGAAGCTATTGGAAACTCGGGTGTTCCTTAACATCGCCTGGCACTCGTCGTGCTCCACCACCGGCAGGTTGAGCCGCTTGAGCACGTTCTCCAGCTTATCGCTGTCCGCCTGCTTGGCTCCCCAGCCGGTGGAGTAGCAGGTGGCCGAGAGCAGCTGGTTGATCAGCTCCGGCGACTCGGGAGGCGGCAGGCACAGCGGCTGGATGTGCGGAGCCAGGACAATGGGCTCGTCCAGGAGCAGCAGGGCGATGTCGTTGAACAGACGCTTCTGATCGAATTCCGGGTGCATGATAATCTCCTTGATACGCCTGCTCTGGTGCGGGAACTGCTCGTTGAGGCCATTCAGATCCCAATCTCCGACCCGGGCCACCAGGGTGTCCACCAGCTCGTTGATCACGTTGTGCGAGGAGGATATGACCAGCCGCGGATGGATCAGGGTGCCGCCGCAAAGGAACGACTGCCGCACGGTGAAGATGGCCACCATCCAGGGAAACTCGCCAAAAAAGGAGACGTCCTCCGGAGGGTTGAACCTGTCGTTGTGGGGAATCAGACCCCGGGGATCGCTGTAGCCGCAGTTCTTGTACTTGAAGTTCGACGCATACCGACTTTTAGATTCATCCACCTGGAATTTGGCAGGAGGTTATCAATGATTTCAGTTTAAGATTTCGAACTAAGACCTTGTCTTGGATCGAGGAGGAGACGGCTCGGTTCTTCGAGCTCTGCGATCTGTCCCAGCTCTCTAGCTGGGCCGTTTCGCAGCAGACCCTTTGGTCGCCGCAAATGCGGTAAATGCGCGGACCAATAGCCATGAGCCCGGAATCTTCGGAGTCCTTGCATCGCTTCACCGAGGTACACAGTTCGTCCGAGCTGCACATTTTCGAAACTGTGTCTTGGGCCTTCGAGCCAGGACTAAGGACCAAGAGGAACAGCCCCGCTGAGATTAGCCAGCTCATCATCGCTGTAGGGAAACTGGGAAACTATTTTCATGTGCACTCTTTATTAATTAAAAACAAATCAATTATAAAATATCATAATCCTTAGATTGCTCCTAAATAATTATTTATTTGTAATTTGTTTGGATTCATAGATTTCAAACAAGTTTTAAACCATTAGTTTTAGTTTTAAGTTTTAATTAATTAATTTCAAAATTTTAGAAATCTCGCTATTGAATCGGCCTACCTTTGAAACAAAAATCGCATTTCTTGTTTCAAGAAATATTTTCCTTGTTTTAATGGTGGCTTTCTAAAAAACCATTTCTTGTAGTTAGAAAATTTAATTTCTTGGTTCAAGAAATATTTAAAAAACATTTCTTGAAACAAAGGTGAGGTCGTCTCTAACAAAAATTCAATAAAGAAAATTCTAGATTTAAAAGGAATTCTTTGGTGTTTTTTTTATAAGAGTAGGTAAACACTTTGTTTTTGTAATATAATAAAGATTCAATTCATTTTATCTGCACACAAAAAAATTTTCTTGGTAAAATTGACCAACAAAGATAGTTACGTAACTATTAAAATAGTTACGTGTATTTTGTTTTTGCTTTGGGTTTGTGTCCTTGCTTATTGTGTGTATTTGTTGTTGTGAAAGTGACTATTTACCAGGGAACGTAACTGTTATAAGTTTTATTTTAAAAATCACACTTTAACTGTTATTTTCTGATTTGTAAAGTAAAACTCAAAGAATAACTGTTATTTTTTGAGTTTTATAATAAAAGTTGACAAATAACAGTTATTCGTCGTGATCAAAAATAAAACTCAAATTTTATTTATGGCGATTTTGTGGGTAAACAAAATTTTAAAAAAATATAGGTATAAAATATGCGCGGTTGCCTTTTTTAACAAATTTTTAGTAAGTTATAAAAAGCACGGGTATCATGTTTTTTTTTCATTTTAAAATGTCAAGGGAATAACTGTTATACATAAAAATCAAAATAACAGTTATTTTTTGAGTTTTATTATAAAAATCAAAAATAAAAATCATTACAATGATGACAATTTTGCTGGTTGGGGCCTGTTTGACAATTATTACAGTTGATTTTACCAAGTTTTTTTTTTGTGTGTGGCAATAATTTTTCAGTTTTTACAAACACTTTTTTATCAACTTGCTCAAACGGAACTTCAACAAAATCGATTTTTATGTAAATTCAGATTCAATTCCATTGAAACTGTTTTATTATCAGCTACTGGCTTCACGCTACATTTATAGCTTACAACTAATGCACTTATGTATGCGGATATGTCGGCGTATATATTGGTATAATATACCTACATGCTTATGGATGTTATTAAGTATAGATGCTACCGATCCAAAGGCAATGGTATTGCTTGTGAATCACAATGTCGACTGATCGGCTAGAGTTAAAATCAAAACATTTATAGAACCTGCTTGAGAGATTATGAGAGGCGGATATCGAAAGATTAATGCACTGAGAGAAAGAGAGAGTTTGGCTTTTCCCAATTCTGCCATCGCAACGCATATCTACTGAATTATTTCCTGAACCTGTGATCAAAAGAATGACCCTGTGAACAAAATGGAAGCCAAGTTATTTTATAAATATATTACATATATTTTGAAGAGTTTGTGAAGGGCAATACAATTTTACACGAACCAGTCGGTATTCGAATTAATGATCTATTAATCTCGTTATCCCTTATAAGGAGACTCGATTTGAGCTCCTAGGGATATGGACTCTATCTGCAAAGGTACAACAAGTTATTGAAGTCTTTAAAGAGAAAGTATTTGTTGGTATAACCTTATTCATAGAACAACAGAGGAAAAGCGCACTGCATCCGTTATCCACGTATATGACTCTTCAATAAATCAACTCGGATGTGGAAACTTTATCTACGCCTGCGCTACATAGATTTATAGGCACGAACTTTTTGTTAAGAGCGCAGGTCTCGTATTCGTTTTGGTCTCCTGTCCCTGTGGCCTCCATTTCGGGAACAAGCTTCAGCAAAAGAAAGAAGGCCGCGATCATCCAGCTCCATCTGATCAGTGAACGGCTCATTATTTGTTTTCAGGATATCAAGAAAGATCTGGTCTTATTGGCATCATAATTTTGATTAAAACAGTATGTACCTAGTATTAATATACATACATTACAATATTAATTGTAATGATGCAGTTTTAGGTTAATCAAATGCACTTATAATACCAGCTAGTTTGTGCGTACTAATATATGATCCTAAGACAACCTTACAGCTTGGATTTTACAAAGTCGACTGAATCGCCCAGAGTTGAGCTTGAAATATTTATAAAACTTGTTTCGTGTGTCACGGATAAATAGCGGATATAGAAGATGTACGATAGCTGTTAATGTTTGTAAAGAGTTCGAAACAATTTATTAAGGAACGTGGCGTTTAGTTCTAAGGAGGTAATTAAAGGAAAAGAGCGATTGTGACTGCCAACAATATAGTAATTTAATTACATATTTAGTAATAAGTTTGAAAACTTGACAGAAATAATCTCAAACCAAAAAACCTTTCAAACAACGTAAGAATGCGTATTTATTTAGTTAAAGGTAAAATCATTTTTCTTAAAAAGCAATATCAAGTTTTTAAAGACAATCTTGATATCTTATTCCTGTTAAAATGGTTTAAGGTCGCATATTATAAAAGTTCTTTATTTTAAATTTTCAATTTGAACAGTGATTTCTTAGCTCATTGCGCCTGCAATGTGATCCCTAGTCCTCTGATTTTCTCATCGATCCAGCTGCGCAAGTACGGCACATTGGTGTACACGGCGGGAATGTCCTCGACGCCGCACTCGACGCCCCAGGACACGATGCCCACCAGCTGGTAGCGATCCCGTTCGCCGGGCATGGTGCAGAAGAGCGGTGAGCCGCCGTCACCCTTGCAGGTGTCCTTGCCATCGCCGCCGGCACACATGAAGCTGGGGCGCAGGCGGAAGCGAGTGGACACTCGGGTGTTCCTCAGCCTCGCCTGGCACTCGTCGTGCTCCACCACCGGCAGGTTGAGCCGCTTGAGCACGTTCTCCAGCTTATCACTGTCCGCCTGCTTGGCTCCCCAGCCGGTGGAGTAGCAGGTGGCCGAGAGCAGCTGGTTGATCAGCTCCGGCGACTCGGGAGGCGGCAGGCACAGCGGCTGGATGTGCGGAGCCAGGACGATGGGCTCGTCCAGGAGCAGCAGGGCGATGTCGTTGAACAGACGCTTCTGATCGAATTCCGGGTGCATGATGATCTCCTTGATACGGCTGCCCTGGTGCGGGAACGGCTCGTTGAGGCCATTCAGATCCCAGTCTCCGACCCGGGCCACCAGGGTGTCCACCGTCTCGTTGATCACGTTGTGCGACGAGGTGATGACCAGCCGCGGATGGATCAGGGTGCCGCCGCAGAGGAACGACTGCCGCCCGGTGAAGATGCCCACCATCCAGGGGAACTCGCCGAAGATGGAGACGTCCTCCGTATAGTTGAACTTGTCGTTGTCGGGGATCAGACCCTGGGGATTGCTGTAGCCACAGTTCTTGTACTTAAAGTCGGCCAGCTTCGCCACGTACGGACTTTCAGATTCGTCCACCTGGAATTTGTCAGGAGGTTATCAAGGATTTCAGTTTCAGATTTCGAATTAAGCCCACCTGTTCGTCCACCGCGCAGCAGCGGTACAAGGACTTGCTGCACGGAATCGTGCTGATCCTGGGATTGATCAGGTCTATTCCGGAGTCGTTGATGACGTGGTCGCGACAGAGCTTCCTGGGCACGCACTCCATGTTCAGGCCGCAACTCTCGTTCGGCGGCGGCTCCAGCGAGGACACCTTATCTCGGATCGAGGAGGAGACGGCTCGGCTCTTCGAGCTCTGCGATCTGTCCCAGCTCTCCAGCTGGGCCGTTTCGCAGCAGACCCTTCTATCGCCGCAACTGCGGGAACTGCGCGGACCAATAGCCATGCCCCCGGAATCGTCGGAGTCCTCGCAACGCTTCACCGAAGTGCACAGTTCGTCCGAGCGGCACATCTTCGAAACTGTGTCCTGGGCCTCCGAGCTGGGACTAAGGACCAGCAGGAGCAGCCCCACTGAGATCAGCCAGCTCATCATCGTTGTAGGGGAACTGGCAGAGCAAAGATCAGATCGAACAGAGAGCTAGAGATAAGTGGAACCCTAATCTCAAACAATGCACAATGGAGGTTATCAGGCGTCATTGATGTGTTTTCATGTGCACTCTTAATCTAATTAAGAACACATCAATTATTAAATATTTAAGTCCTTATATTGCTCATGAATAATTATTTAAATATCTTTGTTTTATAATTTGTTTGGTTTCATAGATCGCAAACGCGTTGTAATAGCCATTTCAAATATAAGATTTTGTATGCACATTGATTGATTTTAAATTGCTATTAAAGACTTTTTTCTATATATGTTAATCACTTTGTTAACACCTTGTTTTTGTAATATAATGAAAGATTCAATTAATTTTACCTGGCAATATTCAGTTTTCACAAACACTTTTACATAAAGTTGCTCAAACAGAACTTCAACAAAATCGATTTTTATGTAAATTCAAATTCATTTCCATTGAAACTGTTTTATTATCAGCTACTGCCCTCACGCTATATTTATAGCTTACAACTAATGCACTTATATATGCGGATATTGGCATTATATACCTACATGGAGATTAGTAAGTAGATGTTACCGATCCGAAAGCAATCTTATGGCTTGTGAATCACAATGTCGACTGATCGGCTAGAGTTAAAATCAAAACATTTATAGAACCTGCTTGAGAGATTATAAGAGGCGGAGATCGAAAGACTAATGCATTGAGAGGAAGAGAGAATTAGGCTTTTCCCAATTCTGATTTATTCTCTGATTTATTCTCTGAACCTACGATCATAAGAATGACCCTGAAATAAAATGGATACCCAGTTATTTGATATATATAACATTTATTTCGAAGTGTTGTGGAAGGGCAATATAATTTTACATGAACCATTCGGTATGTATTTACATTTTTGGAATTAATCTTAAAAAATCTTGTTAACCCTTTCAAGGAGACTCGATTTGAGCTCCTAAGGATATGGACTCTATCTGAAAGGATACAAAAAGTTATTGAAGTCTTTAATAAGAACGTATTTGTTGATATACCTTATCCACAGAACAACAAAGGAAAAGCGCACTGCATTCGTTATCCACGTACGTCACTCTTGGATCAACCAACTCGGATAAGGAAACTTTAACTACTCCTTCGCTACATAGATTTCTAGGCACGCACTTTTTGTTAGGAGCGCAGATCTTGTATTCGTTTTGGTCTCCTGTCCCTGTGGCCTCCAATTCGGGAACAAGGAACAGAAGAAACAATGCTGCGATCATCCAGCTCCATCTGATCAGTGAACGTCTCATTATTTCTTTTCAGGATTTCGAGATTTGCAGATATTTTTAAGCAATCTAAAAATATTTCAAGGTTTTTTTTTTTAGAAAGATCTGGTCTTATTGGCAATACATTACACCATAATTTGTTAAGTTTAGTTTAGACAATCTTACAGCTTGGATTTTATAAAGTCGAATGAATCGCCTAGAGTTGAACTCGAAGTATTTATAAAACTTGTAAGCGAGATTCTGAGAAAGTGAGGAACAGAGAGGCCTGCAGGGAAAGAGAATGTGGTTTGCTTTTCTCCAGCTATTCCAATGTAAATCGATTATAAAGAAAAACAAAATGAAAACTTAATTATTTTTAAAACAGGTTGCCTATATTAGTTAGGGGTATCAATCATTAAAGAATATTGCAATGAAAGAAAAAGACTACAAAGGTTTAAAAAGTTATTAATGTTTTTACCAAAAAAACTTTTTTCCAATTCAGGATCAAGGTTCAGCATGAGAAACCATGCTGTGATCAACCTGTTCCATTTGATCAATTTGATTAGTGAACGACTCATTGTCGCTATTCAGAATATCAGGTAACGGAAAAACTTTCTACAAAAACATTATGTATTATACTTCCTAATATATATTTTTTTGATATTTGTAAGTTACATATTTGTATGTATTGTTGGAACCTGAAATACAGTATATACTATATATTATATATACTATATATTCTATATATTATTATATATCACCGAGCCGAAGACAATCTTATTGCTTACTCCACAAAGCTAATATGCATTCGGATGTTAAGAAAATAAATAGTCGCATTGCTTATATACCTGTTAGTTTATTAACAGTTAGTACTAATATCCGAACTGAAGTTACTCCTATAGCTTGGGTATTAAAAAGTCGACTGAACGTCCAGAGTAAAATTTAAAATATTTATAGAACCGGCTTGCTAGTTTCTGAGAACTGCAGCTCGGAAGAGAATCGAAAAATCAAATCTGTGAGTGTGAGAAAAATAAGTCAAGAGTTTTTTATAAATCTCCGGAGAGTCTCTCGATCCGATCATTCAGCCGATCGTTCCGTTCCGAGGGCACAGTCAGTCGAAAACGTGTCGCGGCTCTCGAACGTAATTCAAAATATATTGCGCATTGATCTACATGAAAATTTGAAGGGGTGACTCGGATTGGTTCTGATCTATCACCGATTGTGTGCTTCTTACTGTTTGTCGCAATTGAACTGTGTGAATGAGTGCGGTTTTTTCCCATTCCATCCATCGCTATGAATGTGGAGTTTGCGCTGCTGATCAGTCTGGCACTGATTTCCCTCAAATCGGTGGCTCTTGCGAGCGACATCTGCGAGAGCCACGAGATCTGCATTAGCAAGAAAAGGTGCGATGAGACCGATGACTCCGGTAAGGAAGTACTGGTCAAGCGAATACTGGACAAAAGCTGCGGCCGCGGCCTAGTTTGTTGCGATAAGGAGCAGGTGGAGAGCTTTGACGCCCATGAGGCCGAAATCGAGTACCGCAATCAGCAACGGGAAAATCCCTGGGGCTCTTCGGAAAGCCCCCTGGAGGCCGCGGCCGCAGCGAAGGAGAAGCCAGTGGTCGCCAAGGAGACCGATGAGGGCTACAAAAGCTGTGGGGTTGCGGCGGGAATGTGTGCCCCGCCACCTCTGCACCACCGGAGTGGTCAACGAGGATGGTCGCTACATCATCAAGCCGCGTATAAATGACAACAGCAACTTTGGCTGCCGATCCGTGGAGGAGTGCTGTCCCGTAGCCGATCAGGTAAAAATATATATTGGATAACGAGAAAATCAAAACTTTACTTAAATTACTAAAGCATTTTCTAGTGATCATTGGAACTTTAACAAAAAACATTTGAAATATTTCTTGTTAGGCAGTGTGCCTTTGGAAATGAAAACTGATAGTGCTTTTATTGTAGTAGAAAGTAAGGTCACTTCGAGAACCAAGTATAATTCATAGATAATTGTAGCTTTTGATTTCGTTTGAAGAAATGTGGGGTTTTATTGTTATTCTCTGTTTCTTTTTATTGGTTTATTCACATAAAGTAAAACTTATATAGGCATGAAGTAAAATTCTTTATTATATTAACTTCTTTCTTTTCGAAAATGTAAACTATACCAAAGTTTTAAGTAAAGATGTTAAAAAAGTTTTGACTTGTTCTTAATACTTTTCTGTTTGCTAGTGAAAGTTAAATTTAATTTCGAGCCTTTACCTCTTTGGTTGTAAAACCTTAATTTAATTGATTTATTATATTACTATTTGCATTTAGATAGAGGAGGGTCAGAATCCCATGCAGCGCAACGTGAAGGACTTCCGCTCAGAGGGCTGCGGCTACAGCAATCCCAACGGGCTGTACTACCAGCTGGATGGGTACAACAATGGGGAGTCTGTCTTCGCCGAGTTCCCCTGGATGGTGGTCCTCCTGGACATGGAGGGCAAGTACATCTGCGGCGGCGCCCTAATCCACCCGCAGCTGGTGCTGACCAGTGCCCACAACGTGGCCAACCACAGTGAGGACACGATGGTGGTGCGGGCAGGTGAGTGGGACCTCAATAGCCAGGCCGAGCTGCTTCCCCATCAGATGCGTCCTATTAGCGAGATACACCGCCACGAGGATTTCTCCAGTCAGACCGTTTACAACGACATAGCGTTGGTGGTGCTGGAGCAACCATTTCACCTGGCCCCGCACATCCAGCCCATCTGCCTGTCGCAGGCGGAGACGCCTCGACTGGAGGAGGAATTGCGGAATGCCCACTGCGTGGCCACCGGGTGGGGGCACAAGACCTTCACGTCCCTCACAATGGAACATCTGCTGAAACGCATCGAACTTCCGGTGGTGGAGCACGGATCCTGCCAGCGATTGTTGCGCCGGACGATCCTCGGGCGTCGCTATAAACTCCATGCCAGTTTCCTTTGTGCCGGTGGGGAGAAGGGCAAGGACACCTGCAACTACGATGGGGGATCTCCATTGTTTTGCACATTGCCCGGCCAAAGGGATCGCTATCAGCTGGTGGGCATCGTATCCTGGGGCATCCAATGCGGCGAAAAGGATGTGCCCGGGGTCTACACGAATGTGCCCTACCTGAGGAACTGGATCGATCGGAAGGTGGTTAAGAGCGGGTTCCCATTAAGTGCGCTTGGTTAACTAACTAGTAAGCTTTAAACAAAATCTCAAATAAAATTAATCTAAAGTAATAACGGTACTTTTTTGGTTTTTGAAGAGAAGGTGCATTGCTTTTGTAAATCACAGTTATAATTTAAAGCATCATAAAGTTACTTCCAGATATAATAAAAACCTTACCATGGTCAGGATCAATCCCTGGTGTATTTTGAAAAAGTCGCTTACTATATTTTTGCGTGTTTTCCAAAATCGATAAAATGGATTACTGAATTCGCATTTTGGGGTCCGGATTGCGAAAAAAATATTTCGAATTGGGTACAAATTTAGTTTTATTGGACAATAAGGCTAACGAATTTAAGATTTCCAAGAATCACACTTTAGGGTTTAAACATTTTTGGCAAAAACATAATAGATTTTTAGAATATCTGAAAATTACGATTCCTTCCAACAATCTTTTGTAATTAACCCGTTAAAACCGGCTGGCGCCATTGTTATGGACGTATCGCACAGATCCATAAATATCGATATGTCGTTAAAATATCGATGTGCCTTATGGAGATAAAGATAGGTACCTTGATAATGATAGCATTACGATTTTCTTTAATAAAAATCTCCAGCTATTGGTTTTTACATTAAGCAGCTTGTATAAAAATGATTGCCAATGAAATCCGTTTAAAAGTATCCCACCTTCAGAGTACACAAACTAAACATTGAAATGTTCCATCACTATTATCTAGCATTTGGTGAGTGAGATTAGTGTAAACAGGTAGTTGTGTGATTAGCCCAATCATTAGGGTGAGCACTGAACTCCGGACCAGCAGTTGGGATCGGCAGCCAGAGTCAGCATGAAGAACACCGGGTGAGTCTTGGCCAGCAGGAGAGAGCCAGGTGCCTTAACCACTCTCTTTGTCCCCAGAAAACTGAAGGGAAAGACCCTGTTCATCACCGGCGCCTCCCGCGGAATCGGCAAGGCCATCGCCCTCAAGGCGGCCCGCGATGGAGCCAATGTGGTCATAGCAGCCAAGACGGCAGAGCCTCATCCCAAGCTGCCCGGCACCATATACACGGCTGCGGAGGAGAGTAAGTGACCGTCGAACCAACGTTGCCTTTGCACCCTCCTTGACCTTTGCTCCCTGACTTTGCAGTCGAGAAGGCCGGGGGTCGAGCCCTGCCCTGCATCGTGGACGTGCGCGACGAGCGGCAGGTGCAGCAGGCCGTGGAGGCGGCGGTGGCCAAGTTCGGGGGCATCGACATCGTGGTGAACAACGCCAGTGCCATCTCCATTACGGGCACCCTGGACACGGAGATGAAGCGCTACGATCTGATGCAGAACATCAACACCAGGGGAACCTTCCTAGTGTAAGGCCCATAATCTTTTCCAATGCAAACCAATTTGTATATACATATATATGTCCGATCAAACTCCACAGATCAAAGACTTGCCTGCCTTATCTGCTGCGCAGCGAGAACCCTCACATTCTGAACCTTGCGCCGCCGCTGAACATGAGTGCCAAGTGGTTCGCCAACCACACCGCCTACACCATCGCCAAGTACGGGATGTCCATGTGCGTGCTGGGCATGGCGGAGGAGTTCCGCGCCCAGGGCGTGGCCGTAAACGCTCTGTGGCCACGCACCACCATCGCCACGGCGGCCGTCGAGATGCTCCACGGCTCGGAGGGGGCCCTGTACTCCCGGAAGCCCGAGATAATGGCCGATGCGGCCTACGCTATATTCTGCCGCGACTCCAGGGAGTACACTGGCAACTTCTTTGTGGACGACGAGGTGCTGAGGGACGTGGGCGTCAGGGACCTCGCCAAGTACGCTTGCTATCCGGAGAATATTCACTTGTTGTCTACGGATATTTTCCTGGACGAAGCTGGCCCCTCGGCCAAACTGTAAGGCCATTCTGAAGTTGCTGATTTATAACTGCTTATGTATCTATGTGCAATGCACATTGTGCATATGTTTACTTATGGTCTGATAAAAACATTTGGTATATATATTTGTATTTGGATTAAGTAAATAAAGGTCCTTAGCCTACATATAAAGGGAAAATATTTATAAACTGTTAAACCGTCAATACTAACATACATTTTCAAAACACTTGTCTTATTAGCCGATTTAAAGTACGCATACTTTTTTTTCAAATCATGAAGTTTACAGGAAGTTTGAATAAGGAGTTTACAATTTTATGAAGCTACATCGAACAGATTTTGGATTATGATTATGGATTCATACATTTCCTTTGAAATTACAGCCCATTTATATAGTTTTGTTTAAATAATTTGATAAACTATACAAAAAATTATTAAAATAAAAATAAAACGCAAAAGTAATTCATGTGACATTGTAAGATATGAGTGCGTATATTCCCATCTCTTCTTTATTACATGCAACTATTCTGATTTTAAAGTCCCTGCGTTATTTCCATGTTAAAGTTTTTAGCGTATCTCAACGTATTGCCTTATTTTGATCGACATGGGTAGACAATCAAAACCAAAGCCAACGAAATGCTACCCACTTACCGTGTTCGTCCTAACAAAAGCTCTGTCACTGAATAGTCGTACGCTTAAGCCATATTGAGTGGTTGAATTGGAAATGAAAATTTATGGCGGAGCAGGTGAAAGTTCTCCTGCCGTTTAGTGCAAGATTTATGTGCAGCTTAAGCCGCCGATTGCGATTGCAAGGGGGTTTACCGAACGACGTAGGTTTCGGTTTGAGGGCTAAATGAATTCACTAGCCTCCCTGCCGCCTCGCCGCACCAATTTGCATTGTTAATTGTTCTGGGGCCAAGTTGAAAAAACCTCGGCGAACAATCAACTATTTCCAGTGACTCACAGTCAATTAGAATGGACTACATATAGTTTACGACCGGGCTCTTTGGTTTGTTTATTTTGACTGAAGCTTAGATTCATTTGCAATGCAAAAAGTTAATTAGTCAGGCACTTTTTCTCGATTTGCAAGTTACCACATTTTCCGGCTAATAAGCAAATTAGGCAGGGCAAACAAGAAGACCAGAGGGACGGCAAGAATAATTTAAACCGCAGGGTAAAAGAGACCGGAAGCTAGGAAAAACAGTGGCCATTAGGTGAAATGTACATCTTGCTGAGATGCATTGTTACTTAAAGAACTTGTAGAGTTTAAAAATTTTCAAATTTACCTTTTAAGGCTGAATTTACGCCCCCTTGACCACTTAAAGTTCCGGATTTTAAAGTTTGCCTCGGACCTACGGCAAATTCACACTAGGCGAAGCATAAAAAATTCAGATATCGGTAGCTAACTGACTCACTGACTGGCTGACTGATTGCTCATACGCACCGTTGACTGCCACTGAAACTGTGTTCTGTCCGCTCCTGCGCCAAGTTATCTGCTGGATTTCAATAACAGAGACTCTGCCGCAGCTACTGTTTCATGGAATTCGGCTCGTTTTGCTCGTCTGCCAGCTGAAACATTTTATGGAGCTACAAATCAAAATTTGCCCGGCTCACGTTCACATAAATCAGCCAGGGCCCGGCATGAATCTCTTTGATCCGCAAAAAAAAGGGGGAAAATAAAATTATCATGTGACTCTCTGCGTGCGCATTTGACAATTTGCAGGAAAACTGAATTATTATCTAAACATTTTCGTCCGCCCTGGCCCCAAAAATGTGTGCATTAAAATTGCAGCCCCGTGTGCGCAATAATTAAGAATTCAATTTAAACTTTCGCAACTTTACTGGGTGGCAGGATGGCAGGATTTCAGGATGGCATCAGGTGGCTCAGAGCTGTGGCTTTCTCTGTGGCCGTGTAAAGTCAAAAAGCCGCAACATCATTACGCTTCTGCATTTGCATGCAGCCGCTGTTCGCCGAACTTCTGCTAACACACACGGAAATCACAAAAAACCCAGCCGGGCCACCTGGCGTATGAGCAATCCAATGCACATGTGCGGAGGTGGTTGGTCCATATGGTGCTGCTTTTTGCCGTGTCTCAACTGGCTTCGCTTGATTAAAGCATAAACAGCTAACATTAGGGCAATTAATATTAATACACAACTATGCTTATAATTATCATTTTATTTGGTGGCTCTCAGAATGCAAGCGAAAACAATGCAGGAATAAAATTCTTTTTAATCTATAGTAATTGTGACAGTATTTCTGTGAACTAGTCGGGTAGTAGGAAGTTTTATATGAGCTTTAGAAAACATAAAGTTAATATAATTAAATTACCAATTTTTGTTGTAAAACCCCCATACTTATAAAATAGTATTAGTTCTTTTTTGCAAAAATAAATATGCTTCTTTAGTCTTTCATACTGATTTAAAAATTAAAAAAAATAAAATAAATGTTTTTCATTAAAAAAAATAGATAAATCAACTATAAGAACAGTAATGAACTATTCTAGGCATATACAAATACATGGAGTCGGCTTTATTTATTGCTGCTTGATTTTTACAGACGTAACCGGCCAGTTTTTGATACTTTCAACAAGTCAGGCTGCAGTCGGCTCGCTTTACCGGGTGGAATACGATGAAACCGTGGAGCGCACAAGGGTGGAGCGGACAACGCGCCGGCCGAGAATCGATCGAACGTCCTTGGTGAAGCGCAGGGCGTCGAGGAAGGGCAGCAGCTTCAGCAGTTCCGTGTCGTCGGGATCGTAGATGAACGTCTTGATGGGCACCGCGTTGTCCGGAAAATCGCGGTACGCGTACGGCGAGTTGTCGATGATCAAGGTGCCGCTCATGTCCGGATTGACCAGCGTGAGATCCTTGGATATCAGGGGCGTGGAGGCGCGGCAGTGCTGCCGGTAGAAGCGGCGCGGCATCATTCCTCGTCCCGCATCCAGAAGGTCCACCACCTGGGCGGCGTACACCTCTAGGCTGGCCGTGTAGATCACCAGGTCGTACCACTTGGACACAAAGGCCAGGAACTCGTCGACATGCGGCCGCTTGAAGACCCGAAAGGAGATCGGCTCGAGACCCTCGATCGATACGCTGAGCACATAGTCGGGCTGGGCGCCTTCGGGCAGCTGGTTGCAGCCCACGTTGTCGTGTGTATCCGGATCGCTGTAGCAGGAGTGCACCAGAGTCTCGTCCAGGTCGAGGATCAGGGTTTTGCGGCCCACCTGGGCCAGTGTTTGTGCCAGGACCGGGGACACGGGCACATCCTTGTAGGAGAGCCCCAGCTGGGGGCGAAGGAGCGCATAGATCCGCCGCGCCACATGGGCCAACAGTCGTCTTATGTAGGCGCCCAGGTCGCTGGCGAGCAGGATCGAGAGGAGCCTCCGCTGGCCGGAGTTCGAACTCGATCGCTGGAGGTTGCCGACCACGGCGACGGCCACCTGGCCGGAGGGAGCGAGCTTGACTAGATGTGCGGACTGCGCGGGCAGCTGGCTGACCATCTTGCAACGGGAGTCCTTTCCAATTCGATGCCACAGAGCGATGCAACAGGCGGTGGCTGGTTGGCACGGGCTCACTTTCTTACATAGCAAATGTCCTTGGCCTTACTTTGGAGTCAATTTTCGAGATTTGCTGGTGTAATAAACCGAACGGGGAAGTGTCAGTGAGTGCAGGGGTTGTCTACGTTTAATTACATTTTTATAATATTTTTTCTATCGAAGAGGTGAAAACCCTGAAAATCATGTCAGTTGTTTTCAAGTTTTCGATTTTTCCACACACACAACACTGAAATGGAAACCAAGAACCCCGAGTTCTATGTGCGCAACGGCTTGGACGATGAGTTCGATAGCTTCTGGGACAAGGTCAGTTGCTTCGCGGCCAACTCCTTTCCCTTCGAGGAGCGGTGTGCCTTTGTGAAGAAGGCCAAGGACTGCAATCGGAGCACCAATGTGGTGCCCTACATGAGGATCATGGCCTGCGATCTGAATTGCGTGAATGACTTCGAGCAGCTGATCTTCCTCACATTGTTCTTGGCGTTCTGCTTTGTGATACTGCTCCTACTGATCCACGTATGCAACAATTAGTGAGTATAGGATATTTGAATATCGTTATTCATAGAGGCCATCAGCAGTCTAACTTCCACAACTTAAACCGCAAAAAAAAGTTTAACTTTTTATTATTTGACTAAAAAATAAGGAAAACTGAGAAACTAACTATACTATTTGTTAGATTTTAGCTCACCAAATTCAAAAGTTTTTGTACACTTTTTATTGTATAATAAATTTACTTCATTTTTCAAATAATTAGCCTCTAAACTTAAGAGTCTAAAGAGGTGCTAGGATACAATTACATACCTAGGTACTAGGTACTAGTAGAAAACATTTCCCTGTTTTTATTTATTTTTTTAAATATTAATTATATTGTTTTTTTGCACTTTCAGCTACAGTCCAGCTCTGAAGGCCGTATCAAGGATCCTCCGCATGAACGAGCACGTCGCGGGCGTGACCTTGTTGGCCTTTGGAAACAGCTCCGCCGACCTGTTCTCCAACCTGGCCAGTGTTAAGGCGGATGTGCCCGTTTTTGCCAATAGTCTGGCCGCCGCCCTGTTTGTGTCCATGGTTTCGGGGGGGCTAATCTGCTACATGTTTCCCTTCAAGATGAATGCCTACGAGAGTGTTCGGGACATTTTGTTCCTTATCCTCGGATCGATGATGCTTCAATACTTTCTGGAAACCGGTCAGCAAGTTTCCGAGTCGGAATTCATATGCAAGTGTTTGCCTTACCTTATTATACTTAAGGTTTTTTTGTAAAATGCATCTTGGTCTTTTAGGTCTGTCTCTTATATACATTTTTTACATATTTGTGAATGTGGTGGATGTATATCTTATCCGGAGGGCCTTAATCTGTAAGTTTTTCATTTATAGTTATGTAAAAGAATATTTTTAGCATAATTTCCTAGCAACAAATGCCCAAATCGATGCGCTGTTGGAAGGGGAAATGACCCCGGTGAAGAGAAAGAAACTGAGCGAACTGGAGAAACAGCAGGAGATTTATACCCGCGATATAGAAGTGGAGATATTCGAGAAGAAAAACTCGGGTCCGAACATTAACAAGATGCGGTACACGACCTTGCGAATGGCCCGAAACACTCGCGTAAGCGTCGACAAAAAAGTAACCCGGAATGTGAAGCATAACAGGGCGCAGGGAAAGAATTTTGGAATATGCAGGGACTTCTACTTGGCCATAAGACCCATTACGTGCGAGAAGTGGCGAAAAGCCAACATGATCGAGCGGGCCATAATGTTGGTAAGAACGCCGGGCGTAATCCTGTGCATCATCTACATCCCCCTGGTGGACTACGAAATGGACAAACATGGCTGGAACAAGCTCCTGAATTGCCTTCAGGTAATGCTAAATCCGGCCATGTCCATTATAGTCATCAAAGGTGAGCTGCTTTTCCCTCACTTAGTACCTAATTATTTTTTCCCCTTTCCGCCAGCTTTGTTGAGCTCTAGGGGCAACTCGTTGTGGTACGTTGCCATAACGAAGGAGTACATATACGGACTTTACTCCCTTCCCATAACCATGCCAATAGCCATTTTTATGTTTTTCCAATCCCGAACCGATGTGCCACCATTTTACCATTCGGTGAGACACAAACGTGCAATATTATCGGGGAATAAAATTCCTGCTGACTTACAATCACAGGTGTTTACCGTAATGAATTTGACTGGCTCCATGTTTATGATCTTTATTTGCGCCACGGAAATAGACAAGGTCCTGGAGGTGCTTGGACATATATTGGAGGTCGAAGACGACTTTATGGGCGCCACGGTGAAGGCTTGTACGGGCAGCCTGGGTCCCCTAATCGCCAACATCGCAATGGCCATGCACGGCTATCCGAAGATGGCCTATGCCTCGGCCATCGGAGGACCTTTCTTCAGTGGGTATTCACCAGATTATCCATCAGTTACATTACCTTTAATAACATATAATCCTACAGCCGTCGTCTTATCCGCGAGCACTGTGCTGCATGTCCGAAACCTAGTTGGCTTCAAGGTCACGAACATAAGCCAACAGGGCAATTATGGTGGAAATGCTTTTATTTTTCTAAATTTGGGACTATTTCTAACACTTCTCTGGTCCACAACGCTGGGCTTTTTCGCTAGACGATCCGTCGGTATCTTTTGTATCGTCTTCTACGGTGTCTACTTGCTTTTTGCTATCCTAATCCATAAGAAAGTCATACATTCGTTTTCTGAGGACATGCCACTTCAAGCCGCTTTCGGAGATATCTAGGAGGCAAAAATATAAATTCTGGGTATTTTATTAATGAATAAATAAAATATTTTTAAAGTTTAAAAAATAATGAAAAGGATGAAATAAAATTAAAGTATAACCATCGCACCATAGTAATATATTTTAAACATTTCGGCAGACTTTTATTAGTAAAATTGTTAAATAATGATTTCTAATAAGTTCAGCAATTGCATTATGATTTGTTGTAGTCGAGCGGTATCTTCATTATAAGGACTCAGCCATAGGATTGCGCATACGACGTGTTGCCTTCAAGCGGCTCTTCACACCTCTACGATGACAATGGGGCTAAGTCAAATGTGAGTCGGCGCTAATTGCAGGAAAGCCGCAGACACGAAGGCAAGACTCCTGGCAGCCGATTCATTAGGCCACAACAAGTGCACACAGCCACGCCCAGCGGATTAAGAGACTTGGGCGGGAAGTGACCTACAATGTCTACAGGAACAACTACAACAAACAGAAACTGGGGCTCTCTCCTGCCGCTTGACATTAATTAGGGCTTGCATAATTCACTAATACAGCTGTAAATGTAACTGTTTCTGCTGCTGCATCTGGACAACCTGGCGTATACGCAACCCATCCGCCGGCTAATTGAGTTATAATGCTAAGCGGCAATTTATGGCTAGCAGTATTAGCCGCGTCCAGCGCTGCAGACCGTCTCCAGGCATAAATCTTCCTTTTCAAGCTATTTAATATGGTGTGTACTCCGGTCCATAAATAAATGTTGCCCTCGCTGGCCTGAAATATTTCCCATTTAACCAACTGACAACTGCAGTGCAAAGTTTTACTGCGGAAATAGCTGGTTGCGAACTGCGACGTGAAATATGTTTGCAATCTTCTTGGTATTTTTTTGTTTATTAAGAAATGATGAGGTTTTCTCGTTTCCTTGGGATTTTGTAAATAGTTTGTGAGCAACTTTTGGTCTTCTTGCGAGGAAGAAATAATAATAATAACAACTGGACATAATTTAGTGGCAAGAAACAAGATGTCAACCATAGATTACTTTCTATTTCACACAATGATTTGTAAAATTAATAATCGTATATTTCTCGCACGTTCTTAAGGCAAAACAAAATTTATGACTATTAATGTCGATAATCAGGCACATCACTATAAATAAATTCATTCATGAGCGATACGAAATGAACACGCAAACGGAGGCCTGTCGGTCGAAATTAATCTACAAAAAAAAATAATAACAAGAACTACTGATACCGAGAAGAGCTTTTCAGCAATCAAATGGTACAGAATTAAATACCCATTTAATGCTAGAACTTGCCATGAAAACTATCCCAATGACACATCTTCCGAAATCAATTTTCCTTCTTGCATGAACCATCACTGGCAATCTGGATGCGATTCCGCACTTGTGCCTTAAATATTTGATGACTTTCACACCGAATCATGGCAAGACCAAGCCAATTGCATAGAAAAAAGGACTTCCTCCTCTCGTTTTTGCATTCAATTCGGGACTGCGAGTCTATGTAAAAACGTGAAGGAAAATGCAAAACAATTTGGTAACAAGCAAAATGCATCAAATCTCATGGCCATGGAGCTTCGCTTCGGCCCGGGGAATCGGAATCTCGAGTGGCGAAAGGAGAAACCAAAGCTGTTGCAAAAACATGTCACATTAAGTGCACAGATAGAGGGTCTGGCGGATGGACGGATGGACGGATGGACAGATAGACAGGAAGTCTAAGGGAAGTTGAGTGCTTTTATTGCTGCCGGAATTCTGCGTGCCATTTGCCTTAGAAGTTGGAGCTGCAAGTTGGCTTTCGCTCCGTTCTTTTTCCCCATACTTGGGCCAGCACTTCTTGTTTATGCAATTGTACTTAAATCTGATGGTTATGTTTCAGCTGCATTTGGCGTAATAGCCGGAATCAAGTGATATTTACATCTGCAGTCAATAATAATGTTGACTTGGGCGGTGCACCGAATACCAACAATTTTCAAATTACAAGAAATTTAAAGTAGGTTTTTTATAAAAACAAATGATTGTCATATACAATTGAGAATCTTGCTTGGCTTAATAACTAGTGCTTTAAATATGCTCCATGTTCAAGCAAAGAATCCTTTTAAATGCATTGAATCAGTTAGTCAGTGTCTCATCGCTGATCAATTACTTTAGTTCATTCACAAAGTCATTCGTCTGAGCTAATACTGGTATCATTGTTGCACAAATCACTTGCCCCTTGAACGCTGACAGGACACCAACCTCCAGTCATTTTAATCCTAATTAACGAGTAGCTTTGCCCATCCTTGCCATCAGCTTTCCTTAGTTATGCGATACGCTTTTTATGCAGTGAAACTGGAGCTGCATTTCAATGGACCGCTGTCAGTTATTTTGTTTCCATGCCGACGCCTTTCGAAAGCATTTCCCTTGGCAATGTTTTAATCAAGGTGCTTCATTAACTTAATTAGTCAGAACGTCGGTTGAAGTAAAAAGTCAAAGCATAGTTATGTGCAAGTACTCGCAATAAAAAATATTTTTATGTTAGTTTAGAATCCAGAAAAAAGTTGTTTAATGTTTTGAACTTTTTTTCCATAATCAAATCGAACATAAACAATTACCAAATCATATTGGGTCAATATATTCATCTCTGGAAAATGCATGCACAACTTCCCACTCCACGAAAACTGCATAGATGAGGAATAGGAAATAAATGAGCCACAGGAAAACTCCGGCGGATCGTCGGGCGTAAAAGTCGAATGTTACACTCCACCACAACGTGGTCACGATGGTTATGACCAAGAAAATATAGCAGTTTTGACCTAGATCGCCGTACACCCACGAATTGGCTCCCGCCTCGCGAACCCTGTGATTGAAGATGAAGGCCACGCTCATGGTAACTAAAACCGCTGAAATGCATACGAAATCAATAGGTAATCAATAAAGCGATAAATGATTTACCAAAAACTGGTCCTCCAATAATGGCGGCGAAGGCCATTCGCCCGTAACCCTGCATGGCCAGCTGGGAATTGGCTATAATATCGGGGGTGGCATTCGAAACGGCCTCAAAGGTGACCGCCATGAAGGTCTCGGATAGGTCGAAAACAATGCCCACGATCTCGGAGAGCACCTCCAGTTCGGTGACAGTCACCCAGAGGGTCACCATGGAACTGAAAAAGCTGAGGATGATAAACAGCTGGGAGAGAAGGGTAAGATAAGTGAAAGAGGTGATAGTTTAAGACTCCTTACGTGGTGATAGAACGGCGGTACGTCCGTCCGCGAATGCCAGAAGATCACTATGGCCAGCGGAACTGTTAGGCAGGGCGACCACATCGAAAAGCTGATGTCGAGGGTTATGTACCAGGTGTGATAGACACTGGTAATCGCAGCTGAAGGTCACCAGGATTTAGAGATCAGATCAGACCTACGCCTACGCATACCTACAATGCACCAGGGTAATGACCACAAACGGATTAGTCACAATCTGCGTGCAGTTGAGCAACTTGCTCCAACCATGCTTGTCCTTCTCGTAGTCCACCACAGGAATGAAGAGCAGCAGTACGAATACCAGGGGGCACCGGACAATCAAGTACAACCGATTGCAGCTGCCACCCAGCTGCCAGGCCTCCCCATCGATGGGGTTCAGGGACTGGAGGAACTCGGTGAACAGCAGGAGGTTTTTGGGATTTTCCGCATTATGCAGATTCGTGCGATTGGCCTCGTAGTCAACGTTCTCGGATCGTTTTTCCGGTCGGGGGGTGACAAAGTAGCCGCTACTCGTCGTATCGGAGAAGTGGGTGCCCGAATCCCTGGACCGACGATACTTCGTTGTGTCATTGATTCCTATGTCATCCTCCTCTTCCATTGAAGCCAGTCTCCGCAGCTTTTCCCGCAATTCTTTCGTCGGTGGAGGAGTCAGATTCCCCAGATAGTCCACTTCCTTACGAAGTTCTGAATAGTAAATAAGATTAGTTGCTCTTGGAAAACCGAGAATTTTATAATAACACTTACTTTTCATGTAGAAACGTAATATAACCACATCGGCTACATTAACGGCCACATAGAGAACGTAAATTAGGAACAGCACTAAAGGAAAATATCAAAGATCAGTTAGGTTTCATGAAATTTGATACTTAGCCCTACCGATTGCTTCCCCCAAGACTACTGCTCCTTGCCTTGTTATCATCACATATCGCAGGACCTCAACGCCCAGCAGCAGGAACAAAAGATCCCGTAGAATGCAATGTCCGTTCATTTTGAAGGGCCTAAGGAAACACACGGTTCCGCCGGCCAGCAGAATGATGGCCAGAGCATTGCCCACGGCTATGGTAAAGAGCGGTGCATCTGCCCTTACAGGCATGAAGTTGGCAATTATTTCAGGACTACAGTTGCCGAATGCCAGCAGGGTAACGCCCGCCAGGTACTCATTCATGTGCAGCTTCAGCGAGATTATCTTGAGGACTGGCGAAAAGCTGTGGGTTCTAAAATATTCATCAGGTGAAAAATAAAGTATATATCCAGGAACTTACTAGGTGCCAATGCTGAAGGACATTAGCCACAGGAAGGCCACACAAATCAGCGCAAATAGAAGCATGAACAGGACCTCTGTCGTCTTGTCATCAATGTCAATGGAACAGTACATCATCCTGAAGTAATTGAAGAAGTTGATGATCCGTTCGCAGTCAACGACTTGGGTGGCCATCTTGCAACGATACGAATAGGGAAGTCTCATCATCGCCCTGCAACTCATCTATAAATATTATTTTATAAATTATTATCAATAGATACACTTTCAAATATCTAAACAACCTTACATTCTTAATAAAGTAATGAAATTCGTAGTCCAGTTCTGTTAGGTTCAAGCTAAGACTTCTCTTGCGCACTCCCATGGTATTGATTTCCCTGCTCCAAGTCTATTTAATTATGTTTCGTGCTGACGGAAATCGAACATCCCACTTTTTGATTGCATATTTTCTAGAAAATATTGGCCAGCCAAAGTGTCGACTGGAGCCCGTTGATAAAGAAGTTATTTAAAGGAACCAACTCTAGAGAATGTGGAATAAATCAACATGAGAAGATTGGCGGGGTTCTAGCCGAGGGTCTTCCCCTAATACGAATCTAAGCATGTGCCACTGAGGAGAGCTGTAAATCAGCCATTAGCCAGCCGATAAGATGCCATAGCATTTGGATGGCGGGTAGCTATATAAGCGCCACCACCGACCTACGTTCTCCATCAAGCGATCGTCAACTATTACAGCTGGTAATCATGGTTTCCAAAGTGGCTCTCCTCCTCGCCGTCCTGGTCTGCAGCCAGTACCTGGCCCAGGGCGTCTATGTCATCCCCAAGTCGGAGTGGGGTGGTCGCGGCGCCAAGTGGACCGTGGCCTTGGGCAACTACCTGAGCTACGCCATCATCCACCACACCGCCGGCTCCTACTGCGAGACCCGTGCCCAGTGCAACGCCGTGCTGCAGGGCGTCCAGAACTACCACATGGACTCCCTGGGCTGGCCCGACATCGGCTACAACTTCCTGATCGGCGGAGACGGCAACGTCTACGAGGGACGTGGCTGGAACAACATGGGCGCCCACGCCGCCGAGTGGAACCCCTACAGCATTGGCATCAGCTTCCTGGGCAACTACAACTGGGACACCCTGGAGCCGAACATGATCTCCGCCGCCCAGCAGCTGCTCAACGATGCGGTCAACCGTGGCCAGCTCAGCTCCGGCTACATCCTGTACGGCCATCGCCAGGTCAGCGCCACCGAGTGCCCCGGCACCCACATCTGGAACGAGATCCGCGGCTGGTCCCACTGGTCTGGCTAGGTCCTTGACCTTCGCATGAACCCCAATCAATAAATATAAATAGTACACGCAAAGAAATAATGTCTTTTGTCTATAGAACAATATTTGATTCAGCTTTGAGTTATTTGAACCACCTCAATGTGCACATTGTCTTCGAAACCATGGATCCACCGAAATTCAATGGCAGTCGAGTAAATGATAAACAGTATGAAGATGCACCACAGGAACACTCCAGCGGATCGACGCGCAACGAAGTCGAAGGTCAGGCACCACCACATGGTGGTTATAATGGTTATCACCAGGAACAAGTAGATGGTGAAGCCCTCATTCCCAAAGATTTCCTTTTGACCGTGGTGGTTGAACGTTTTCGCCAGCATCAATTCGGCGGCAATGTTGACAACGATGTCTGCGGGAGAGATGATCTTATATCAATACAATTTCATGAATTTAGGTTTGACTTTTCCTTGAAAGGTTTTAGATAAAAGTAGGAAGGAACGCCTAGAGCTCTACTCACTGAAAACTGAACCGCCAATTATGGCGCCAAAGGCCATTTTTCCATAGCCGTGTTCGGCGAGATGCAAGTAGGATATAAAGTCTGCCATTGCAGAAGACATCGTGTTGAAGGTGATGGTCATAAAGGGAGGCGTCAGCTTAAAGACAATGCCAATTATGGATATCAGTACATCCATTTCCCAGGCACAAATCCACGTGAGAATAATCACGACACATAGAGTAAGCACGCAATAACCCTAAGGGCGTAATCCATTTTTTAAGGGCTTTGACACTGCGGTAATCTTACCATATGGTAGAACGGCGGGATGTCAGTGCGAGAGTGCAAAAATACAATAATGGCCAAGGGTGTCGTTACCAATAAGGACCAAAAAGCCATTGTGAACTTGGGTAGGTTATACCAATCCTTGTAGTTGTCGGTTACACTAGCTAAAAGGCAGATCATTATTAAGATTTAAGAAGTCAAATATATTTTTATATTAGCAAGGGTTTTAAATGCAGTATTTAAATTTAATAATTTTCTAATAATTTTTAATTAGATAATAACTCTTAGAGACTAAGATTGTATGTTATTAAAGTTATATTATTGTAATAAAAATTTCTGAATTAAATTAGAAATTATTAAGTTTCTGATCCTGAAAATCTCTCAAGACTTTTACACTCATAACAATATGCTAAACGTGTACTTACTTTCAACTAGTGTTATGATCACAAAAGGGGTTAATATGAGTTGAAGGCAGTTCAATAACTTGCTCCATCCATGCTTGGCCTTTGTGATGTCCACAAATGGGATGAGCAACTTTAGCATGAAACTAACTGGGGCTGTGACGACTAGTGCAATACGTGAACATCTACCACTGACGGCCCACTGCTCTGAGTTAATGGGATTGATCGTATGGAAAAAGTCGCGGAATAGGAAAAGATTCTTTGGATTCGACTTGCTGTGGAGAATGGTTCGGTTGGTTTCCGCGTCGACTCCCTTGTGTCGAATAAGTGGCTTGGGTGTGACAAAAAACCCTGCGTCAAAAGATCTCTTGTGAAATACTTTCGATTCAAAGATTTGGATCTCATCGTCCTCCTCCAGACCATTTAAAAGAATAATTTTGTCAGCCAATTCGCGATCGTGGCGATGGGATGATGGTATGTGCCTCATGTGTTCAATTTCCTTTCGCAGTTCTGTAACAATTAAAATAAAATATTAAATATTAAAAAAGGATAATGGCCTCATACTCACTTTTTATTGTGTGTCGTTGAAGAAGGACATCGCCTATATTGATAAGCAGGTATAGTGGGTATATACCAATAAACACTGGAAGAGGTTAACTAGGAATATATACTGGCAATCCATTGAACAGAGTTAACTTACAAGCACCCTTTACCCATGGCTTGTAGGAAATATCAGCTATTATAAGTCGTACCAACTCTATGGCGAGCAAGAGAAAGAGAAGATCCCGGAAGACACTTGTACCATTCATCCTGAAAGGACGAATGAAGCACACCGCTCCTCCGCTCAAGCAAATGACAGTTAGGGCGTTGGCCATGGCCGTGTTGAAGGCTAGGGACGTATCTCTGACTGGCGAACGGTTGACCAGAAGATCGGGAGTTGAATTAGCCACGCCCACGAGCATTACGCCCGCCATGTACTCGTTTATCCGAAACTTTTGAGCAGCGATCTTGAGCGTTGATGTTAGGCTGCACGGTTTGGAATTTAGCAATTTAACTCATAAAAAAGGCGAAAATAATTTGCATTTAGATTAGCTCGGGTTTAGTGCGGATAGCGACACAGAGAACAATTGACGTGTGCCCTACACCCAAAAATATAAGCATGTTCCCGTAAAATCGATATGGCCATGTAAATTTCAAGTCCTGCAAAACCTATATCGACCAGGTCAAATTTACCTGGCCACATATTAAATTCTAATTGATCTTAAATAATGTAAAATCGAGCTACGTTTCATATCGTTTTTTTTTTGGGTGGAACTCACTAGTTGTTGACGCATTTGTAGAGGATGCACAGGAAAATGCAGTAGATCAGTGCAAACAGCAACATCACCGATATTTCAGTCATCTTATTGTTGATTTCGAAGGTACAGTACATCATCACGTAATAGTTAAACAAATAGGTAATATATCTGCAGTCCGAGATATGTTTAGCCATGTGACAACGATGCGTAAAATGGAGATCCATCACGAGCAAACAGCTCACCTGTTTCAGGTTGATCCCATGAAGATACCAGTATATCATTTATAGTTAACCATACTCACGTTCTCCATAAAATTGCTATAATTATTAAAGGCTGTGTGGGAGTGTGTTAGTCCAATACGAAAATTAACCAGCAGGACATCCTACTTACTATAGGTGCTCGCATTCGTCGACATTCTTAGAAGATATCGTGGCTAAAAAGCTATTTGTCCTTTGGAATATATTGTTTCAAACGTAAAAGATGGCCTGACATGCATTGAACAACTAACTCGAATACAATTTTTTACTCATTTAGCATAGGATTACCATTTCTGAATGGATGACTTACATTTTTTAGAGGACCCATTGCTGTAAACGGAAAATTATGCGCGAGCCGAACTACCAGACTTGATAAGGACCTACCGGAATGGCCGATCGAATAAATCAAAATCAGCCGATTGTGACGAAGCTCTTGGCAAGGTGCTTCCCCCAACACGAATCTGGGCAAGTGCCATCGATTAGCGTTGTAAATCAGTTATATACGACCCCGATAAGATGCGATTTTCGACGGCAGTTTGCTATAAAAGCGCCTCCTCCAGGCTATGTTCTCCATCAAGCGATCGTCAACTATTACAGCTGGTAATCATGGTTTCCAAAGTGGCTCTCCTCCTCGCCGTCCTGGTCTGCAGCCAGTACCTGGCCCAGGGCGTCTACGTCATTCCCAAGTCGGCCTGGGGTGGTCGCGGCGCCAAGTGGACCGTGGCCCTGGGCAACTACCTGAGCTACGCCATCATCCACCACACCGCCGGCTCCTACTGCGAGACCCGTGCCCAGTGCAACGCCGTGCTGCAGGGCGTCCAGAACTACCACATGGACTCCCTGGGCTGGCCCGACATCGGCTACAACTTCCTGATCGGCGGAGACGGCAACGTCTACGAGGGACGTGGCTGGAACAACATGGGCGCCCACGCCGCCGAGTGGAACCCCTACAGCATTGGCATCAGCTTCCTGGGCAACTACAACTGGGACACCCTGGAGCCGAACATGATCTCCGCCGCCCAGCAGCTGCTCAACGATGCGGTCAACCGTGGCCAGCTCAGCTCCGGCTACATCCTGTACGGCCATCGCCAGGTCAGCGCCACCGAGTGCCCCGGCACCCACATCTGGAACGAGATCCGCGGCTGGTCCCACTGGTCTGGTTAGATAGCATCTTGGTGACATGAATAAAATTGTTTAAAAGAAATCATTTCGAATTCCATTCTCTGGGTGATCTGGCGTAGATTGATTCGTATTTCGAATGCCGTCTTTTAAGTGACGGACAAAGGATAAATACAATTCCAAACTCCTGCTCCTGCTCCCATTATCCATCTTCGTTTTGCAGCCGAACTCTCACGTTCGAGCTGTCAAAGTATTCATTGGCAACATTTACGAAAACTTTTCAAATTTATAGAAAAAGGAGGATGTGTGCCGGGCAAACTTGCAGAATATCATTAAGTCGAGTCGTCCAGACTCTTGTGCTGAACTTGGGCAACTTTAGTTCAATGCAACAGAAATGCTTGCATACAAATTTTTAAATTAACTTTCAAAACTGGACTGCGACAATTACTACAGTCAAAGCAGCGGGAAAGTCCTCAATCGGTCGCTGACCAAAGCGGACTATCCGCCACTTGGACCGCAGTCTCATTAACGACATCCTCGTTAACAAAGTCGTTCTGAATGAGTTTCAGTTGTTTTTGTGCTTAATAACTTGCTTAAGCTTTCAGTTTCGAGACTCACCTCCTTCCTGCCACAGGGAAAACCACTTGGTGGCACTCGGATGGCTGGACAAAGTAGATTGGCTGGGCCAAGTGGTTCCAGCCCCACCCCACTCACCTTGCTGTCCAGGATCTCCTCCGGCGACTTTCAGATTATTACAGTATTTTTATTTCCGTGATTGCCAGCTACTTAACAAGATTTACGAGTTCATCTGCCAGTTGCGATTATTGGAAAGGGAAATTTCTACAAGTCAGCTGTGGAAGCTCGTGGCTGATAAAAAAAAAATCCCCTTTATATCAATTGGCCAATTGACTATTGAATTAAAAAGTTACAAGTTTTAGGTGTAGCTGTTTGTTTATAAGATAAGGAGCCAAATAGAGCCTGGTACTGCGGTAATTATACCCGAAACTCGCAGGGTACGACTCTAAGTATCCTTGTTCAGGATCACTTACCGATCACTTACCGATCTAGCCACGTCGGACTATGTTGTCAATCATGTTTTTAGAAAACAGGATTTTTTTAGTGAGAACTATTTATTCGTTTAGTGATTTAATTTAGTTTAATATAATCAAAGTTCTTATAAGTTGATTGTGATCCTGCTAGTTCAATCATTTCTTGGTACACAGAGAAAAGAAATACCAAAAATAATCATCCATCGGGTATTTTTATACCCGTTACTCGTAGAGTAAAAGGGTATACTAGATTCGTGCAAAAGTATGTAACAGCTACAAGGAAGCGTTTCCGACCCCATAAAGTATATATATTCTTGATCAGGGTCACTAGCCGAGTCGATATAGCCATGTCCGTCTGTCCGTCTGTCCGTCTGTCCGTCTGTCCGTCTGTCCGTCTGTCCGTCTGTCTGTCCGTCTGTCTGTCTGTATGAACGCTGAGATCTCAGCAACTACAAAAGCTAGAAGGTTGAGATTTCCCACACATATTCTTTGGCTTCCTACGCAGCGCAAGTTTATTTTAGCCGAGCGCCACGCCCCCTCTAACGACCACAATCGCCCACTAACGATTTTAAAATGGGTCCTGCGCCCACATCTTTAAAGATTTCCGAGAAGTATAAATTCAATTTTGTTGTGTATATTTATACCTATCGAAATGTAGAAGACATTTTTTAGATCAGACCATTCATTAAAAAGTTATACGCATTCAAAATTGTCAATATATATCTATCTCCCTCGCACTCCCTTTAGCTAAGTTACGATTATTAGTCGGGACACCAACCCGAGTACAGCGTTCGCTTTAGCTGAGTGACGGGTATTAAATAGTCGGGACACCAACCCGACTATAGCGTTCTCTCTTGTTTCATATCAATTTCGGCCCATCTGTTTTCATATCAAAATGATATTTCCGAACAAATGATTTTGTACCATATTGATATGAAATCATACCATTTTGTTATGGAAAAATTTATATGAAACAATATCAGTTCCATATTCTTCCGATTTTTTTTTTGTAAATGATGTGTTATTCTTGTTGTCTACTTTTATGCTTTATTTGCCACAATGACTCCTTATATTGCTTTATCAATAAGTTTTTTGGATCCCGTCATGACAAAGGGGACAAAGAGAATTTTAGAGCACTTATCTTGTGGATCGTATTTGAAATTGGGGCGTATGACATACAAGTGATGCCAACGATCAATAATCTAATCAGCAATTAAGTGACCATTTTTTGCGTCGCTGATTAAACAATATTTTGGTTCGTGTCTTTCATTCATTCATATCAGCCACTTAAAGTACTTATAACTTTAAAACCACATATAAATTTAAATGGGAAACCGCCACATCGGTTTCGATTAGAAATCAAAAAAATAACTGAAACTATTTATTAATAAACTTTTAGTTCAATCGTACGATGCTACGCAAAATGTGAGCTTCAGTGCTGCCGTTTTAGCCATTTAAATATATATTCATACAAATCTAAAAATTAATAAGATATTTTGTATTTAATAATCGTCCTCTAACGTCAGTTACAAATTGTAACTTACAATAAATAAAATAATGATTTTACTTTTTATTTTTCAGGGCCTATGTTCAATGTATAGTACATGTATGCGTATACTTTTACGACACTGCCTTTAAGCTTGGACGCTTTTGAAAAATTTATCTACTTTCTAAAAAAGCTTGAGTCGTCCTTTCTAAGCTTTTAATTTCGAATTTATGGAAAATTTATCAAGGAACGTGTTATCCTTTTCCATAAATACCTATAAACACTATAATTCCTTACTTAGATTTTCATTTCGAATTTTTCAAACTTTTATCCAAGGACGTGTCTCCAATTTAATTGTATTTTATATTTACTTTCCATAATTATTTCCACAACAATAAAAGCTCAGCAAGGAAATAGTGGTCAAGCTTTCAGTTACTGCAGTTAATTATACTCGCATAGTCGACGGGTAAAAATTGTAAGTAAATAGTTAAGTATATGTATTCCTGATCAGAATAACTAGGCGAGTCGGTCTAACAAGATCCCTCTGCTACAGAAGTTGTGTAACTAGAATCTTTAAATGATCACTAAAATCAATGCGATGCAATCCTTATCCTACTCCCAAGCTCTTAAAGTTTGCAAAACACTGGACTGGCCTGTAACCGTTTAAATATCATCCATATATTGCTTTCTATAGATTATTAAAAATGTAATAAAATCCCACGTAATAAATCTTAAAAAAGCTTTTAAAAATGATAAAGTAAAGCGATAATAAATCTGGAAATTCGCAATGTTATGATAGGGGGCTATGCAGCACAATATATAGCCACCTCTTAGACAAATTAATTAATGCCACTTGGTCTGATTAGAAGCGTGATTGGTCCGTCGTCATCGCGGTATCAGGATCTGGTCAGCAGATAGCCCTCCTATCAGATGGAAGCACACGACCCGGTTCACAGCCCGAGCGAGGGATCGTCTTGCAGGCGATAAGCTATGCCGAGCGGTATAAAAGGCCCGATCGCACGACAGGCCACACAATCGATCCACAACCATGGCAAACAAAGCTCTCGTCCTTCTGGCAGTCCTCTTCTGCGCCCAGGCCGTCCTCGGCGTGACCATCGTCTCCAAGTCGGAGTGGGGCGGCCGTTCGGCCACCAGCAAGACCACGCTGGCCAGCTCCCTGAGCTACGCCGTGATCCACCACACCGCCGGCAACTACTGCTCCACCAAGGCCGCCTGCATCACCCAGCTGAAGAACATCCAGGCCTACCACATGGACTCCCTGGGCTGGGCCGATATCGGCTACAACTTCCTGATCGGCGGAGACGGCAATGTCTACGAGGGACGTGGCTGGAACGTGATGGGTGCCCACGCCACCAACTGGAACTCCAAGTCCATCGGCATCTCCTTCCTGGGCAACTATAACACCAACACCCTCACCTCTGCCCAGATCTCCGCCGCCAAGGGCCTGCTCTCCGACGCCGTCTCCCGCGGCCAAATCGTTTCCGGATACACCCTCTACGGACATCGCCAGGTGGGCTCCACCGAGTGCCCCGGCACCAACATCTGGAACGAGATCCGCACCTGGTCCAACTGGAAGGCCTAAGCGCAGAAGTGCTCTTTGAAAAATGTAAAAAAAAAACAATTCAATTAATGTCTTAAAATTACAATCGCACACAACATAATCTCGGGTATTTTTTCTCCAGGGGATTTATTTCTAGGGATTGACCTAGCTTATTGTTAATGGCTTAGTCATCGCAGCCCAGCTTAATGATCGGAAATTTTCAGAAAGGTACTTTTCTGTCACTGAATATCAAGGAAAATAAGATGATAAGCATTAAAGAAATAAGAGCTTTCTCTAAGTTAGATGATGTTGGGATTCTCCTGTTTAAACTTAAGAAGGATGTACGTTCAAGAATAGCTACATTATGTAAACATAGATTCTTTTAAAAATTGGCAAAATAAGGCAAAGAAGGAAAATCGTGCACCGTAACATTTTAATCAAAATAAAAATGTTTTTTACAAAACAGTAATATATGTACAAGTGTTTGACAAACCTAAAATTGTTATAAAAATTTTTATAAGAACGATTTGTACAATCATTAAGGAAAAAACTAAAAATTCAATTTTTTATATTATCTTTTGAACGGTGCTTCGGATTTAAATTGTATGAATCCATTTTTAACAAGATCGCAACCATGCTTAAGTTCTGAAACAAACTGGGCCCAACAGCTTACATCTAACTTTTCCGCCATTTCTCCATAGCCAGCGGCGGATCTGTGCAAAATTATGGCTCATTAATTTTCCATTTCCCTGGATCCGCGCCTGCATATAAATCTCTTAGGTTAAAAAACCTTTCGATCGAATATCACTCATTCCGAATAGACCATCAAAAGGGCTGTTCAAATGAAAACCAAAACACAAAATAAATATAATCTAATGTTTATTCGAATATCTCTGCATATTTAGACACAGTATACATTTAGATATTTTACACACATAAAACGTTACTGTTGCTGATAATATCATCATAATTAATGGATTATGTCTGCCTGTGCTGTTAGTTCAGTACTCGGTATTCAATATGCATAGTCTTACAAGATAGCTTAAAACAAAGAACATCGTAAAGGTGTCTACAATGCCAGCGACACTCTCTGGTAACAACTACTTGGGCCTACACTATCCGAAATGCTCAGGCTAATTCGGGCCAAATAAAAACGTTCTAACAGATTGTTGCAGCTACGTTCGGGTCAGATGCGGCCGAAAAGGAATTGAGGCTTTCCTCGCCAGCATCGCAAAATGTTTTTTGGTTTTAATGCTTGTTTGTCTACTAAATGAGCAGCAACTAGAGCATCTTAATTGTACGTTAAACAACAATAATGAGCGACGGCTAAAAGCGGAAACTTGTTTTCGTTTCGTTTCTCTAAAAACACTGATCAATACATTGAAGCAACCTTTTAGACCATGTATGTGTGCCTGGGAATGATAGCTATGAGATGAAAGACCAGAAACCAGATCATCTGGGCAAGAAGAGGATGTGGGGAGGGGTGGTCACCGATGATCACAACCCACTCGCCATGAGAAGCAAAACTAATCCAAGCTACAACTTAGGCCTGGCTCTCGTCGCGTCCGCAAAACACTTGTCCCGGGATGTTGGGTTGTTGGTGGTGAAGCGGCGACTGCGATGGCACCTGCACCTGGGCATCGGCCACGTCGTTGTAGGGCGGAGGCGGTGGAATGCCTCCGATTACATCCACGCCAGCGTCGATCACCTCCAGGTCGTCATACTCATCATCCTCAACATTGACGCTAACAGCGGCATCGCTCCGACGCATTGGTGGCGTATTGGCGTTAACGTGCATGGTGTTGTTATTGTTGGGTTGATCGTTGTTGTTATCCATGTTGTCATCCGTGTTAGAGGCTGCATTCGCGGTGGTGGCTGCTCCAAGGGCGACGAAAAGCGGTGCCACCGAGGGATTGACCTCTGCCCCTTCAGCCGCAGCGTCCTCTGCCTCCTCGTAGTTGGACATGGCCACCTGGTACGATGGCGGTGGTGCCTGCTTCAAGTATTGGGCAATCGCTTCATCGTAATTGGGCAACAGCGTGGAGTAGGAGCGTTCCTCGGCACCAAAGGTTCCACCCACACTGTGGACTCCAGTCGGCGGCTCCAGGAAGGGGAACAAAGTGCGAACGTGTTGCTGGCGGAGAGTCAAGTACTTGTAGCAGCGCCAAACGATTCCAATGCAATAGGCCTTGAGAAAAACAATGCAAATGAAGACGACGAGGACCACCACAACCAGCTCCTCAGGCGGCAGCTCCAGCAGCTTCTCGCGCCATGGCAAGCGGTGCGACTCGGCAATGATGCTGTGGATGGCCTGCAGGTAGCACAGATATCCAGCGGCGGTAAGACTGTCAATCGGAAGAGAATATATGCTTTAGCTTTAAATCTGTACAAACTTCTGTATCCCTAATCTTACGTGGTAATGGCGAAGTCAAACAACTGCAGGCAAAAGAACGGCAACAGGTGCGAGGGCTTTCCCTTGATGGTGCCATAGATCATCATCAGCGTTATGGCTATCATGCAGGTGCATACCAAGCCGCCCATGTCAAAGTTCTCTGCAAAGGGATAAATCAATTTGAATGCGTTGCTAAAGGAACTCTCTCCACTGCTTACGGTAACGCTTACGATAGTTGAAGGAGTGGTCACGGTAGGCGTACGGCGGTTCGACCTTGCTTAGTGGAGTAGGTAGGGCCGGAGCACTCAGATCCACGGTGTAGTCGTGGGTGCCGCCTTCCAGTTCGTCCATCATCTCGGGATTGCGCCATATGACGGCCAGAACACTCAAGGCCAAAATGTTCAAAAACTGAAAGTAAAATTAACGTTTAAAATGAGATAGTTATTATAATAACTAGTCATATAACAAAATAAACTATACAATTTCTGAGTAAGACATAAGTATCAAGATATATTTCACAATTTTTACAACCAACATCTAAACTCAACTAATGGCTTTAGTTCGATCCAACCTTTTGGCCTGACAATTGAAGCACACATTGCTGGTCTCTACGAGTTCCATAGATTGCCAGTAGTCCCGGTGCTGGGTTTGCAGATAGTTCAGGTACTCCACGAACGTCTCGTACGTTAGGTCAAGCGTGAACTTGCATTGCAAGCGATGGTGATGACGGCACTTTCGGTCGAATATCCAGCAACGTTGCACGGGTGGCTCGACACTCGTCTTGTGCAAATGCTGCATGAACGCCTCGCGATCTGCTCCGTAGAAAAGTCGCGTGGTGGTGTATGCGATGCCATCGTGAATGGCTTGTCGCACCTCGGGCTGCGTTACAATTCGCCTCACTTCCACGGCGGTGACATCCGGCTTCTGCAATCGGATGAGCAACCAAGGCTGGATCAGTCCGAAACGAATGCTGCCCGCAACAGCGGTTAGGTTTCGTTGTCTTTGGGGCCAGTGGTGGCTAAGCCAGCGAGCAGCGGCCATGAAGACCTCCAGCTCTGTATTGACCCCAATGCGGCTGGACCTGATCAGCATGAGGAATGGGTTCAGCGGGAGACGCAGGAACTCTTTGGAGGCCACCAGAGTGAGAAAAAACTTGGAGACGCGCATTAGGAACTCCCAGTGGGTCTGCTCCAGCTTGAGGATCTTAGCCTCAAAGTACAGAATCGCCGCGGAGTCCTCCTTGAAGCCATTCTGCAGACAATACTGGCATTGGCTGATTAACTGCGGAATCTGCAAGAAAGTGGCAGCTTGGAGAACTTCCAGAAGACCGAGGCGAGGTAGGATCGGCCTGTCCTCGATCATCCAGTCGTAGATGAGGCAGAAGGAGCGAGGCGTAATCTTCTCCTCAGGCAGCTCCACGCTCAAGTCGTTGCTGATGTCGCGAAACATTCGCGAGAAGCTCTGCAAGGCCATTAGATGCACGGGGTGCCGACTCTTTCCGATGCTGACCTCTGAATTGGTCTGAGCTCGCCGTTTGACAAGGCTGACCACCTCCTGGTACAGATTGGTCTTCCCATCAAGTAATTTACTGGTTTCCAACGGTTTCTTCAACGAATTCGCCGTCGAGTAGCCCATAGAGGACAAACTGCGCTCGTTGACAGTGTTGAAGACGCCGGCCTGTATGCTCAGCACAGCGGAGGAAGATCGATTGAAGGCCGTAGGATTGTTGTGCAGATACTCGAGGACATCATCCGTCACCTGGTCCCCTTCTTTCTCCTCGGCCGCCTCGCTTTCCTCCGTCTCTTTTGAACCAGTGGTAAAGTCGCAACTCGAATCGTCTTCAGGATCTGTGTCGTCTGCTTGGGGCATTGCATTTGAATCTGGCTGACGCCTTCCGCCGGAAGCGCTTTCATCGGAAATGAGCAATGTGGGGAATTGTGTGTGGCTAGAGAATTATTCCACAAGTTCTGAGTTAGTTCGCAAGGATCACGAGTGGGGAATTCAGAGATATCTCAACATCTAAAAGTATTTCAAGTGCGTTTAGCAGGTGTGTGGGTCCGCGCATCACGATAAGCCTGGTCGGAATAGATAAGGGAGCTTCGCCCGATTTGATTTGCAACCTGTGTGCTTCCAGATGACAGCTGAATTAACAATTCTCGGATTTATGGCAGGCCACTTCAGAAGGCTGCTCCAGAAGAAAGATATACACCGAAAAGCAAGAGTAAACCCCCAGAAGAGTAAATATTTTCGCATCATCTGTCCAGTACGTGTAGTTGTTAAAAATAACCGAATCGCTCATGAAAATATGTACATATCTTGTTGCTGTTTGCTCATATGGTCGCGTTTGGATATCCGATTCGGTATCTAAGTATCTGAGTATCTCAGGTTGAAGGCTGTACTATGATGACGCCTCGACCTTAGATGCGGCAGTTTGCCATCTTTCGCTTAATTATTCATCGGTGCGAAATGTAATCTGCAGTGAGCCGCATCTTATCTGCAGCCATTGGTGTATCAACTTTCATTGTCACTCTGCGGATGAGTCAACTAAACCATCGATTTCTGGAATTGCTTTGTTTTTGCGGGCCTCTAACGCTGTGCCTATCTACAAAACGTAAACAAAGGAACCCTTGAGATTGGCCAGATTAGGGCAGATAGCCCCAGTGCTGTCCAAACCGTAATTACCGAGGCAACTCATGTGACGGAGTTTGCTGCTGCAAACGTGACCTGAGCCGCAATAAACACCAGGTATCAGAGGCGAAATGCATGATGAAAGTTGTAGGGGGCGGATTATCGAGCACACGAACAGTAAGTGCACTGAGAGAAACACTCTTGGTTGGTAGTTTCTCATTCAAAGAATGTGTCATAGCCACGAAGACGTTATCGGGGTCAAGTAATCCCTACCAAGCAGTCAATTATCTAGAATTTGTAGTAAAAGAAACCACAAACTTGGGAACTTTGATAAAGTCTAAAGTCTATGATAATTGTTGACCTATTAAAATGTTCTTTGGATATTATTTTTTTTTATTTCTGGAAGTATTTTTGATTATTTTTGATTTTATAGTAAAGTTCTAGCTATGAAAGTTAAACTAAGTTTTCAAATTAAGTTAAAAGTTAAGCAGTGTATTTAATAAAAATATTTCATGATGAACTCTTTGTTATTCCCCATATATGCACATATGCAGTAACTTTGCTATGGTGCACAGTTTTTATTATTTTTTCCAGTGCCGCAATTGCTTATGCGAAATCAGGGGCTTATGAAAGGTTAGTTTCGGACAATGGACGCGGGATTTGGAAACTTCCGCAGCGGCGATGCCGTAAACCCCCGACTATTGTGGTTCAATTTGAACAGCTGACGCAGCAGCGGCCAATCAGCCCCCCCATTGACGTCACAGGCGGGGAAAGTGCAGAGTTGGCTGCTCGCCTACAAACCGCAAAGTTTGGCAGTCATTGGCCGATTGATTTTTCCCCTGCGTGACACTGAGCAGGGTCAAGAGTTTTCGCCGGATTGCAGGCGTGGGTGTCACTGGATGTACACCTGCAGCAAAAGGTCAAAGGGTATTCTCGATGCACTTACCAAGTGCCACAATCCGATCATCAAGGTGGCCGTGTGGACATGCAGGCCGAAGCAGCAGGTGAACTCCTTCAGGTGACGGTTTCCGGTGCTGCTACTTCCGGCGGCCGCATTGTTGTTGTTGTTGTTGTTGCTGTGCAGCTGGTTGTTGCGAGACGGACCCATTTTGAAGTGGATCCTGAACATTGCACGCCCCAAACAGCGACTGCGAAAAGGAAAGCGATAACGATAACGGGTGCAGAAACAATCAGATACTGTGGGTGTTTTTATTCCTCCCCTCCCCCCGGCCGTGTGGCGTGTGTGCTTGCGTGTGTGGGTGCATCTGAGTGTATACATTTGGAGCTGTGTGCCACTTTTCACGGCTGCCACTTTGACCTTTCACTGCAGCAATTCGCCCACTGTTTATGTTGTAGTCAGTGGACGTACCTTCGATCTGGGGGCCGATGCAACCGCTCGATTTTTATATATATCCGCAGCTTGACTTTTTTCGCTTTCGATGTGTTCAAGTTAATTTAACTGCTGCGCAGCACAGAAAACTCCAAAACATTAATATTCGTCTTGTGGGAAAATACCACGAGAAGATGTTTAGTGAGCGTGGTCGTTTTGCAACACTGGGCTCGTTTATGCGAGCCCAATTGGTGAATTTACTACCAGTTCGTTAATTATTTCTTGTTCTTCAATTAAAAATTACTCGAGAAAAACTTTTATTTACAAAATGTTATTTTTATTTCTAACCATTCTATTTTTAAATTAAATGTTACAGAAAAAAAGAATACATTTTACAAAGATTCTAAGGCAATTATTAAAACTTTGGAAAAATAAAACTTCGGTAACCTTTTTTCGAATTAAATTTGAGGAAGATTTAACAAAATGCATTGCATTATGTGTTGCTCCATGTGGCATAGTAAAAAAAATACATGAGTTGACAAGTTCAATAAAGCAAATTTTATTTGGAATGGGGCTATAATTCCCGCTAACTGCTATTTTTTAGTTTGTTCCGTACCCGCCAAATCTAGTGGGAAAACACCTAAATTGGCAGCACTGAGAGTCAAGAAACCTGTAGTGTTATCGACTATTGTCCATACCTAATGGTTTTGGAGAGCAATCTGAAGTGCAGCAAAACAGAGATTAATTTGCCAGCGGACGGAATTGAAATGGTTTAAATCGCACGCTTACACACGCTCGCGCAACATTTTATTCGGTGTTTATTTTATTTTTTGTAACCAAGCTGGTGGACGTGGAGTGCAAGTGCAGTTACATAAAGTTACGGGACTGCAACTGCACATTTACAGTAAGTTTCGTTTATCAGCTCCCTTTGTGTACCTTGCTTCCTTCAGTTTTGCGTCGTTCATTAGCGCTCGCTCTCGTGTTCCTTCTCCCTCGCTCTTCAGCGTTTTCCATCCCTCCCCCTTCTGCTTTTCCCAACTACGTCACCCACCGAATTCACTTTTGTTTGCTATTTATAGCTTCAGATTAACTGCACTCCGCAGCCAGGAAAATGGGGAGAGAAAAGTGTGAGAAAGTTGGTGGTTCGGTTCGGTGGTCCGTTTTTCGTATCTGTAAACGCGCTGTTATCAGGGCCAAACAACAGCCAATGGTAAATAGTGCGAATAAACATGCTTTTGCGCTGCCAATCAGCTGATGTCCCTTCCATAAATCAGAGTGAGGGGCTTTTGGCCTTATCTGCATGTTTACCAAACGAGTTACCCCGCAACAAACACACATCTTCGAACTCAGCCGTTCCCAATTTTCTAGCTGCGGTGGCTCTGTCGTCTAAAGCGACTGGAATTCCCTACGAAAATGCGTACGCGAGTTCGAGTCTCCGCCCATGCTTGTTGGCTTCTTTCGACGATCACCCACGTTATTTAGCCGTTAACTCCTTGGGCAACATTAATTTTTTTTTTTCAATCTCAAAATATATATTTAGTGTAAAAAAAAATGTCACAATCGGCCTATTTTATAAATAAATACTATCTCTGGGTGATATCATGCTTCTATATGTACATCTTTTTACAGTAGCACTTCCATGTGAACGATAGCTGTAGTAAGATTTATTTCTTCTTGAAACCTTAACCAAGGAAACTCGACTTTTCAATAGATCTACCTGATGGCTAACAGTATCTTCAACCTCTCCGAAACAAAGACCTAGTTATTTTGACAAAGTTTAAACTAGTTTTAAAAGATACATGTTAAGCAAGTTTACTTATCGTTTGCTTGCTCATATTCAAAGAAAGTTTTGAAACAATACTATGTTATGAACAAAAGTTTTTATTAACAAATAATAATATTAAATTTACGTGACCACAGAGTAGTATAATATTAAAAGTAATGCTTGGATACATTTTTATACGGTTTATTATCTACGCAATTTTCCTTTAATTTTCGAATAACGACTTGTGGAAAATCGAGTTATACTTGGATGTTCGCCTCTATTTGGTGGTCTCCGGTCCCAACCCCCTTTTAGTTTGTTCCTCTCTCTAGCTCTTACTCTCTTTGCTCTCTGGCTTCAACTGGTGACGTAATTTAAAGCGCTGCAATCGTCTTGTTTTGGTCTTATAAGAAATACACGCTGATGGAACCGGTTTTGAATAGTTTACTTTTGTTTTCGGAACTGCGCCACACCAAAACAAACCCGCCATCTGCTGGCGGACCCCCAAGCCACCTTTCCCCAACTGAACTCAACAATCATTACTTTAAGATGAGCCTGAATCCGAATAGATAATCATCGCACGAGTATTATCGGGCCTGGCTGTCTGGTCGTCCATATCAATGAGGTGACGAAAGCGTTCGCTTGTTGTTAATGGGCAGCAGCAACAATAATGTATAGTAGCTTCCGTCGCGGCCTTGACATGGTTACAACAGCTCGTCCAGCTCCAGCAATTGGCGGCAAAGCATAAACAAAGCATAAACACGCACATGGAATCGATCTCGTTTGATCTCATTCTAATTATAGAGACCCGCCCCCTTTGATACTACCAAAATAAGTTCGTGACTACAGTGCGGTTCACGTACATAAGGCCGTTTTGAAGTTGTCTTGGGGCTACGGGCATTTCCTACTTACTACTTTTAAAGTTTACTTACATTGCACTTTAAATATCGGCGATAGTTTTATTAACTCAGAGTTTAATATATTGTTATATTATACCAATAGAGTTTGATTATACCAATTTTAATTACATAGAATCTGATGAGTAAGCAAAATGTCTATATTTCTGACTCATGCAGTGATATTTACAACATTTTTTTAGGCAGTTAAGTCGTGTAATTACTTAAGCAAACATCAAAAATTTATCAGTTGCAATCTAGCAATGCTTTTCAAGTTTTCCGACCCTTCTTGAGGGGGGATTTCATTACAACTGACTAATCGCGGCTCAGAGGAGTGCTAACATCACCATCGTTGATGAATGGATGAGCTTTCCATTGGGTTTAGGGCCCAAAATGTCACCCACTCAAAAGTGTTCGCCCACCCGGGAAAGGTTTCCCCACCGTTACAGCGGCTGGTGTTACAGTTTGGCGGAACGAAAGTGGGTCAACCGGTTCCATTTGGGGGCACTATCAGCACGCAACCTGTCAGATCGATAAAGGGCCCCCTGCCTCTGTCGTTGACCCAAATCTCCTACGAAAAACTGAAATATAAACAAATGTTTTTGTAACAACAGCTGTCCTTTCAGACCGTGTCAATCCTGTGCTGAGCCATGGGTCAGATCGTGGGCTCCATGCAAATGAATGTTGCGGAGGTGTTTAGCAACCGGCGGAAGCGGAAGCGAAGCACGGACTCCTCGCTGGGCAAGGATGAGCAGGCCCAGCTGGACACCACGCAGCCCAAGAAGTGAGTGGCTAACATTTTACATAGATGCAACCATTATAAAATATGTTCTTGCAGGAAAAAGCTCCTCACCACCACGCAGTACATATACAAGGCGCTCTTCAAGGAGGAAAAGAACTCGGATGTGGCTGTTATGGCTCTGGATAAGGTGTGGCACCTGCACAAGGTCTACCTGAGCCAGAGTCCCTACTTCTACACCATGTTCAACGGGAGCTGGCGGGAGGCGCAGCAGAATTTCATTCAGATCGCGATCCTCGACGAGCGGATCACCGTGGCCAGCCTGGATGCTGTCTTTGGATCGATGTACTCCGATGAGATCGAGATTGAGTCGGCGGATGTGATCTCGGTCCTGGCCACGGCGACGCTATTCCACTTGGACGGGATCATCGACAAGTGTGCCGAGGTGATGGTGGATAACATCAGTCCGGAGACAGCCATCCAGTACTACGAGGCCGCCTGCCAATACGGTGTGGTCGGTGTGAAGAAGTCCACCTTCCAGTGGTTCCAGATCAACCTGCTGAGCATCTACAGTAAACAGCCGAACCTGCTGAGGCACATCTCCATCGAGCTGATGAGTGCGCTGACCGCCAGTCCCGATTTGTACGTGATGCAGACGGAGTTCTCCCTCTACACACTGCTGCGCACATGGATGTTCCTGTGCCTGCATCCCGACTACGATCCAGAGGACCCTGTGCAACGGGCGGAAGCGGTGAAGGCCCAGGAACGATTGGTAAATGCCGGCGTGGAAACGCACACCCCCAGCGGAGATGTCGTCCAGTGGACGTACTTCACCAGCCGTATGGAGGAGCGCTCCTTCCTGGCCACACCCGAGGGCCAGCCGTACGTCAAGGTCTTCCAGAAGCTGCGCACCCAGTACCTGACCAACCACTACATGGATCTGAAGATCATCTATAATGACAACATTATACCCAAGGAGTGGCTCTATCGGCACATCCACAACCACTGGGACGCCCTACTGCGGATCGATCACGGGCAGGAGGACTGGTAAGTCTCTGGTAAGCCTTTCCTACTTCATTAGTAATTTATTTTTGAATTTTATTCCATACAGCAGCCCTCAGCAGCTGGACGACGAGCAGTTCTTCGAGAGTTGCATGCGCTGTGGTCGCATGTTGCTCGAGCCTGGCTACCAGAAGTGGCGCTGGACGGGCTTCAACTTCGGCATGGATCTCATACTGATCATGGACTCGCGCAGACTGAACATTCGTCGCCACCATCGGCACGAGCACGAGCGTGTGCTTAGCCTGCAGACGAAGCGCAAGTTCATGGTCCGCACCACGGTGACCTCGATAAACGCTCAGCGGCAGCCGGTCTTCACTCAAACGTCCGAGATTTGCTCCCTGAGCCTCGAGAAGAATGAGGAGGTACCGCTGATGGTGCTTGACCCCAAGCTGGTGCACCCACTGCTAATCTCTATAAACATGCTGGTGGTGATGCCGCCGAATCAGAGCTTCAAGGAGATTGTGCCGCTTAGCGAGGAGGCGACCACGTCGTTGTCCATACCAATTTCGGAGATCGGAGCGAACAGCGAACGACCGCTAACCCCGTCCAGTGCCGATGACTCGGCAGTCTTCATTGGCGACTCGGAGCCCTCGACGCCATCCTCGCCGGCTCCGCGGCCGAGGATCGTTTGGCCGGGCAGTGAGACGGACGGTATCTGCGGCCAACTGGCGTGCTGAGCATGATCATCGAAGCAGTCCACCAAAACCAGTACCAATACCACCACTACCACCATTTTTTGTTCATTTACCCGCTGCGGCCGGGACTCGTTGTAGTTATATTTGTATATTCGTTTTTCGCCATCGCGATTAGCTGCGGCTGATCGATCTGATCTAGACGTTTGTACATTGAGCAAGAGCATATCCACGATCGTGTTGGTATGCGCGGATCTATATTTTTGTATATCGTTTACATTACTAGTATCTTGTAATAACGCTTAACGTCATCTACTTGTTATGAGTAGACGCACGCTCCAGTGCCCTCGCACAATGTAGATGTTGCATATAGTTTGTAAATTCAGAGTTCTAAGATTGATTGATAAGTAAAAGAAAACGCAGCAAAGAAACTATGATTTAAGCGTCTTCGAATCCTGCAAGTTCAATGCATATATTTAATTACTGTCATTAACACGTTTTTAATCGCTACATGTAAGCACAGTAACTTGTCCTGAGTGATCATTTATTAAAAATTAATATTAATTCAAACAGCCAAAGCTTCGGTCTAAATAAATATTACATCGTTTAGCACGCATTGCTGCCAGGATTTGATGCCGTTCATCAATATCCACGGGGTTTGCGTTTGGCATTCGGCTCCAGTAGCGGATTCCCTCAGTTTCGCCAGCACCCAGTTGACCTTTTTGCTTCGCGATCGATACGTGTAGGTAAACCTTCGGGCAGCAGTAACAAAGGGTTTCTTTTCAGACGGGCTCATTGATCCCCACAACCAGCTTGCCATTAGAGTTACTTGTCCCAGGGGCAAGTGGCGAAGCCAGACTTTGAAACTTTTTCGAAAGTGGGCCAGAAACCAGAAGAATGGATTGCGTCCATTGCCATTCACTATCGAATGTCTACTGATTGACGTCGCCTTGGAGATATGACAGAAAGATGCCGACATCTCCACACTTTTTTTCTCAGAACGTCCCATTTTAGGCAACAATTTTGAAAATATCTGAATATCTGTTCGGTAAATATTTGACTATACTTTCATAGTACGAATTTGAAAAAATGGAAGCAAGGATGATCAAAACAAGATGCAAAAAGATGCCTGTTACAAGAAAATATAATTGTTTCATTCCATTAGGCAAAATAATGAAAAAAAAAACCGTTTTTGTTTTCAAATTTCTGTATTTTTTATCGGGTTAAAAAAATTATTTTTAATTAAGAGCGAAAATATTATATTCTGAGACAACATTTTATTGGTGAAGTTTTATGTATTGAATTTACACATTTTACCAAAAGCTTTCTGTTTCCGTCCCTACAATATTGGGGGAAGATCAGGGTTGAGGTTCAAGCTAATTTCGCAAACATAATAGTTTTCTTTAAAGCAGTCCACATCGTTCATTAAATGCTCAGATTGTGTTTCCAATTCGAGGCACTTGTCGCACGAGTCCCTTGACGAATAAAGATGTGAAGTAAACATGAGGAATTGGGGTCTCTCTCTATTAGTTTCTGAAACAAGTGAGGTCTCAGTCCTAATGTCTAGCCAGTAGCTTTTGTTTCGCTGCAAATGCATTTTTAAAGAGTTCCACTCCTCGAAGTTTTGAAGACTAACCAGGCTAGCGTTCATTTGCTGACATTTATCCAATGCCAAGAACCAGACAAGTTTTTCTTTGTTCTCAATGTGGTAATACTTCGTACCAATCTTCTTGAAATTAGGTTTAATCTCCTCCACTTCATTATATTCATGCTCTAAATCATTCAGCTCCATCTTAGTTTCATTTAAATTCGATTCCATTTCATAAAACTGTCTTTCACCCACATCAGATACACAATTTTGTTCTTCGTTATTGTAGAAAAAATTTCCATAATCTGTATCTGAATCAGAAATATCTGACTCCATTAGGTCACCTTCCACGCTCTGCTCCATTACATTTGGAATCTATTATTATTAATGAAATGTAAGCATGTTGCCATTATAGGGTTTATAAAACAAACTCACCATTTGCCTTGTGCGGCCGTTTTCCCAAACAAGAGCGAAAATGAGAAGAACTAAGAAGTTTCGCATACTGCCAGCTACTTACAATTGTTAAACAACAATATATTATGTCGACTGCTGGGTTGCGTTTTTATAGTCTTTTGCGAGTTTCCTTGGAATTTTTCTTCCAGCAATCCGTTGCTTTATCCATTTATTTGTAAATTCTTGTTCATTAAAACTTAATGGTCATACTTTCCAGTATTTTGACGCGCTAATCGATTACACTCGTTTCTTTATAAATAAGTAAGTAAGGATGAGATTATCGGAATTACTAAGAAAAACCGTATAGATGGTCCCTTAAAGAATTCTTGTTACGAAGCTAGAATCAAGTTTCTTACATTTAAATATGATTACTATTTTGATAACGCTTGTCAGGAATTAATAGAACATAGAACATTTAATTTTGGTCGATTTTTTGTCATTACAAAGACATTTATCAAAAAACAGTTCTTAATAACCGAAAATGTAGAAGAATGCAATCGTCTAGGACTCGGAAAATGTAAAACTATGGATTCAAAACTTTAATTAAATTTATTTGATCAATGTGGTTAATTTTATATTTGTTAATTTTTTTTTTTTAATTATCAGCGACATAGTCTAGAGAGCTTTGTATAGAGCTTTCCACAGTAAATACAAAAACCTCTTGATCATTGGTGCACTGCTATTTGTGTTTGAGATTTTTCCAGTTCCTTGGCAGCTTTTTCTGCCCTTTTCTTTTCCCTATTGGCCAGCACTTTCTCCCTGGACTTCTGGGCCCTTTCAGCGCAATCATTTGGGCGTGTTTTCAGAGTCATATCATCCACAGCCGCCTGTTTACGAGCTGATCTTGAAAGACACCGTTCCATGCAGCTGATGTCCACGAATCTTCCAATAAAGCAACCACAGTGCGAGCAGTAGTGGTTAATGTCCTGACGTCCGGGCCATTTTTTACTACCAGAAGGAAAGGCAAGATACCATTTAAAATACAAATTAAAATTTTAATTTCAATGAGATAGCAAACCAAAGCTTTGTGAATCCCAGAAATCTCTGTAGGCAAGTTACCACCTCCAGTTGCACCACACTGGTTCCATACTTTTCACACGAAGGACAATGAATCCATGTGGGCTCATCCTTTAGGTATCCCACTTGTTGTTTGTGACTGACACTAATGGCCACAATTTGCGGTTCGTCTACGGTCATGGTGTGAATTCTAGCGAGAATGATCGGTGACTGAAAGTAGATACAAATTTAAAGAGATCACTAGAGGGGAATATTAGAATCGGAGATTTCCAGCCACCGCTGTCTCTCTTTTCCGATATATCTCTTTAGGTGAGGCGTTGGTCTGGTAATTAAATCAACGCATCGAATCTTATAAATCATTCTCTCTCTTTATTACAAAATTCCTTTTGGTGTGTCAAACATTTTATTTAAGAGAAAAATAGAAAAAATTTGATAAGAATTACATATTATTTGTAACTGTTAAAAATAGTTTTTATTGTTTATTATAACATCCAGCACAATATTTTTCAACATCCTTGTGATGATAAATAGATCGGATATCCTTTACAGTTGTGGCCGGCGGTATACGCCCAGGTACTCCCCGCAGGCACCACAGTGGTGCCTCTTGGTGCAGCAACGCAGCCAGGATCGCACCACGCGGGTCTTGGCCTTGGTCCTGCAATAGGGACAGGTGATCTCGTTGGGTCCGGGACCGACGGCAAAGTAAAGTGCTTGCGGATCCTGAGCCATGTCGGACTGCCAGATGTTGACTGTTTCAAAAACGAACGAAGACTGAGGCGAGCAAAGAGAAATTAGATCTATAAAGTGATCAAACAGCCCCAAAAGAGAAAATCCGCCGAGAGGGAAGAGAAGAGAAGGAATGTGATCATTTGAGTTTTATTTTTGTTTTGATGGTTTTTCAGTGGGTGGGTGTTTGGGTGTTCAGAAATATATCAGAAAATGTGCGAACTATGCTGACTAGGCGGTGGTTGCCTTTAATTTAAGTGGTTCCCTCCTCTTCATAGAGCGTCCAAAGTAGCAACCACAGTTGCCGCAGTAATGACTTCGGTCGGTTTGCTTGCAGGGCACATAGTAATTGAAGCAGCAGCAACAACAAAAGCTCCTGCAATAAGATTCAATAAGTTATAGATTTTCCCACTAATATTATAAAATTTGTATAGCCTACACAAAAAGACAGCCCACAATGCGGTTAAGTTCACTGGCCCACCACTTGAGATCATTCTGCACCACACTCAGATCCTTGATTCCGCAGGCGGGGCACTTGATCTCCACAGGCTCGCGTGGGAGGTTGAGGAAAGTGCCCGCCAGGGGCGTGGCAAAGTTCTCGTAGATCTTCCGCTCCTTCCGATCCTCCAGAGCCTTGGCCTCCCGCTCCCGGACCTCTTGCTCCGTTTCCTTCTCCGGCAGCGATGTCGTCATGATCGCTCAACAATCGAAACTGAATCGAACAAGAAGGCAACCTGTTTGGCTACTCAAAAGAGCGACGGAGTGCACACAGAGAAATCGGAGTGCCTCAGTGCTCAGAGAAATAAATGTAGCTAATATCACCCAACAGAACTCTCTTTACATTTAGAAAAGGTATATTCCTAAAAACCAAACCTTTTTCAAACCTCTAGAAGTAACTTTTAAGGGTAAATAGAACAGTAAATATTTTACTATAGTGTAGTATACTTTTATTTTCCCAGTGTAGCGAAGAGTATTCGTTCTGGAAGAGCAAAACAAGAGCACGCCGAGAATTGATTTACGGTGGGTCTTTAATTGAGTTAGATGCGTAATAGAATTATAAAATAAAACCGAGAAATATTTGGCATTAATATCATTTTAATTGGTCCATTGAATGGCCTATTTGGCCTTGCGCTGGATTCCCACTTTGCCGCCGCACGAGCTGCAATAAACGCCCTTGGTGGTCCATTCCCGATTGCAACCGCACCAGGTGCACACGCAGCAGATCCAAAAGAGCGGAAAGATGCTGCAAGGAGGGAAGATGGGTGGTATAATTTCCAGATCCCTGATGGGTCAAATCCCTTACCAGGAAAGCAGACTCAGACAGAAGCTGGCATCCTTGCAACTGGCTGCCCTCATCACAGCCGCTTCGCTTCTCTCGCGACACAGGGGGCAGAGTAACTTGTAGGTGGAGGGTCCTACAGCATAGTAACGGAGGCGTGGCTGCTGGCTGGAGGCGGATGCTGGGGCAGCAGAGTCCTGTGCGATCAGGGTCACCTTCTCCGCCTCATGGTCGTCTATGAACGGCACCAGACCGTCCTCCAGCACCACATTGGCTATGATATTCCTGGCACGCTCCTCCGCCGTTCCAGCGGGCACCAATCTCACCCGCAACCTCTCCACCTGCTGATGCTGCTCCATGGTAACTGACTATCTGATCTCCGCCAGAACAAGCGAAACTCAGCGGCGACAGAGAGCAAATCCCAAAGAGAACCTCAAAGAGAGAAGACTCCTCCACTGTAGAGAAGAATTTGTACATGACCATGGAGCTATGATGTCATCAGCAGCTATTCAGGGAATACTCATTCGGTGTGGCCCCTCAACCAGAACCAGATCGACAGCCAAACGTTTGGCGAATGTTTATTTACCCAACATATAGATCTAACCCACATAAACCACATGGAAAACGTCTCGAAATTCCTAATATTTGATACTTCAAAATGCAAATCACAAATATTGAAAGATGTACCTTTATACTGAACATAAAAAAGAATATACATACATACCTTCTCAAATATTTGGAATGCATAACAAATATTATTCATTTTTTATGCAGTTACATAGTTTTGCTGATTAGTGTATTATTTTCATAATAATAAACACGTTTACCGGTAAAACCAGCTGATGCTTATGAATGTTTATGTTTATGTTTTGGTTTAGGTTTATTGTTTATGTTTGGCTTCGCTTTGCTAGCATTTTTTCCCGATTTAGAGCTGAGAAGAGAGAATTTTTAAAGAGAGCTTTGAAGCTTTAAAAAAACGCAGATAAATTTAATGGTTTATTGGAGCTAGAAAATTAAACAGAAAGTAATTATTTTTTAAATTATAATGTGTAAAATATACGTACAATGTCAAAGTAGAAAGAAATAATAAAAATTTAACTTTTTTTTAAATTTAATTTAAATGAACAAAACAATAAAGCATTATATCGATTTTTGAAATATGAAGTTGTAGGACCGGAGATATCCTTTGTGATTTATTTTCTCTTGGTCAAACGAAGTTTTAGAGGCTCTTTGGTAACCAAAACAGGGGCGGCATCGAAGCGGAACTTAACTTCCTTGCGGGGAGACTGAATGAGATCGAAATTGGCCAACACCTTGGCCACCGCAACTTTGGAGTTAACTTTGCCCATGCGAAGAGCTGAAATAAATCATGTTAATAGACCACGTTAACATTACATATCACTAGTAAAATCGGTACTTACCTATGCAGTGCCTGGGACCCTCTCCAAACGGCATATAAGCTGCCTGATCGTAATCCATGGTATCCGCATCAAATCGATGGGGATCATAGCCATTGGGATTGGGGAAATAAGCCGGATCACGTTGGATGCCAAAGAGCGAGATCAGGATGGGGGTTCCCTTGGTTATAATGTGGTTGGTACCGGGTACAGGATAATCTTCGGTGCACTCTCGATTGAGGAATGGCAGGCCGGGGTACTTCCGAATGGTTTCTGTAAACAATATTGTACCATAAGATCAAAGTTAATTAATCAGAAGCTAACATTTAGTTACCCATGATGCAGAGGTCCAAAAACTTTAAGTCTTGCACTGCCTCGTAGGTGAACTTATCCTTGGGCTTCAGGTTGTGCTTCTGAAGCACTGCATCCACCTCTTCCCGCGCCTCCTTTAAAAGCTCCGGATACATGGACAACTCATAGAGAGTAAAAGCGGAAGCGGCTGCTGTGGATTCAGAACCAGCCACGTAGAATAGAAAAGCCTGGGCGGCAATCTTCTCAATCGACATTGACTTGAGCTGTTCCTGTGCAGTTTCCACGTCCCATACTTGGTCGTCGTCTTCGCCGATTTTGCCTGTATTTCGCAACCGGATCAGCAGCTGCAGCATATCCTTACGGACGACATTGTGCTGCTCCCGGAACTCGATGGTGCGTTTCATCATATCTCGGAGGGATGTCAAAATACGACTCTCGTAGCCCAAACGGTTCATCAGCTTGGCAATTCTAATAGGTGTAATTTAATAATATTAATTCGGTTCAGATTTATCCTGTTCCATTTTTACTGAATTTCACAATTTTAGGTAATTAATTTTTTTAGGCAATTTAATTATGTTTTATTGTATCGAATTTCACAATTTGGTGTAAAATGATTTTAAATTATTTTCAATTCAGATCAATTTTATTATTTCTATTTTTGCTAGTTTATTTAAGGCATTCTGAAAAGCGCACTTCATTTATTGCTTTTTGGTGCAGAAGTACTAAAGCTAGCATCTAAATATAGATGCTGCTCTGGGTATTAAATTTTATGAATTTTTCAATGCAATATGTATTGGGTAAAACGAAATTTTCGTACACACAAAAAAATTTGCTTGGTAAAATTGACCAACAAAGATAGTTACGTAACTATTAAAATAGTTACGTGTATTTTGTTTTTGCTTTGGGTTTGTGTCTTTGCTAATTGTGTGTATTTTGTTGTTGTGAAATGACTATTTACTTAGTAGAATTGACAATTTAGCTGGTTGGGGCCTGTTTGACAATTATTACAGTTGATTTTACCAAGTTTTTTTTTTGTGTGTACTCACGGTGGACATATAAACATGGACATATTGTGGATCTTGAGCAGCAGAGACTCATCCTTAGCCGTTGAGCTGCTTATCTCACGGAACTCGTTCTTCGGATTACTAAAGCTGTCTATCTCCAGGCCGAAAATCACCGAACCTATGATGTCGACCGCATAAGTGGTCATCACATCCTTGATCTCCACTTCGTCATTCTCGTCCAGAACTGTCTCCAAGTGCTGCACTAATTTGTCACCCACATCATCGATCGTTCCGAACATGCCCTTTATTCTCCCAGAGGAGAACGATGGAGTGAGTTTGTGACGGAGATTTCGCCACGATGCACCTCTGAGGTTGAAGAGATTGGCGGACAGCGGATCCTTTTCCTCGTCCACATACACTCCGCGATCGTGGAAACTAGCGAAATCACTGGTCATGATTTGGCGAGCCAATTGGGCATCTCGGACTAGAATACTCCTCTTATTCATCATGTATATTCCAACTATTTTGCCTTCGTGCCGGGCGTATATGTCGCCTAAAGCCATTCCCAAACTGCGTTCTCGTTTCATTACAGTATCCATTACTCCAAAGGGGATTATCGCCATCTCCTCGTCCACTCCCAATCTTTGCCAGTGAGTATAGTGACGCCTCACATATTTGTACAGCAGGCCCAGGGATAGGATCAGCAAAACAATTGCCCACATATTGATACGCTATAAAGTGAAGCTGCAATTTTTGGGATTTAAAAAATTCCTATTTCTTTTGATGGTGAAATCTTTTCAAACTCCTCGATGTACTCTTCTCAAACTGCAAAATTCTACTGGCTGGGACTCGGTTTTATATAGACATAGAGCCAGCCGATAAGCATTGCGAACAACCAACCAAAGCAAATAACGAACTGCGATCTCGACGCTTTTTCAGGCATACGTTCTCTTCCAGCTAAACAATTGACTTCTCAGCTGGAAGAAGCTTTCGACTATTCAGGGAACAGGGCTGAGAAAGAGCAAAAAGACTACCTGTTGATAACAAAATTATTAACTTGTTTGAAATTGATTTAAATAAAATTTGTTAATTTAAGGCGTTTTATAGATTTTATAATATTTTACAAATATTTCATGGGTAGCCATAACAAGAATAAAGACATGTGAATATATTTCTTAAGTAATTTATTTAATAATTCTCATTCGAACGTTTCGATTCTAAAGCCTTGCGCTGTCTACCCAGCTTCTTCTCGTCGAGCTCCTCCTTCTCCACCTTGCGGAATCTCTGCCAGCGTCCATTGTCCTCCACCTCGCCCCTCTGAAGGCGGAAGAGAGTCCTCTTGTACCAACTTAGAGTGATGTCGCGTCCAATGAAGCAGCCACAGGAGCTGCAATAGTGATTGACATCATGACGACCCTTCCAGCGAATGGGATTGCTAAATAATAATAATATTAAAATATGTTTAAAAGAGCACGTGTTAAGACTGGCCTTATATGTATATTCAAACTATATTTTGTAAACAAAGAGGTGTTTTTTATAGAAATGAATTCGCAATCTTTGTATAAAGTCACAGCTAGATCGATTTTGAGATAATTAAAAATGATCTAATAAAATTAATAAGTATACTAATATATATACTACAGTTCGAATTTGATTATATTTATCACTTGTAATATTATAATAACCGATTCGGTACTTGAACATACCAACAGAGGAGCACATTTAGCGAGCAGGCAATCTTCTGTAGAACGGTCACCGCCTCCGGTTTAACACGGGTAACCTGCAACTCCTGGCAGGCCGGGCACTCCAACTCCTGGGGCTCGGTGGTCAGGTGACCCACCTGCGGCACGGCCGAGATGTCGCCCTCGAAGGCACTGCCATCCAGACTCTCGGTGCTGGCCATTTCGAAGCGAATGAGCAACTAACTCAAGAGCCAAGAACATTCGCATAATGTATCCCCGTCTGCATTCGTGTCTACATCACAATCAAACGAGCTAAGAGCGCGCCAGAGAGTGGGAGAGATACATACTTTTTGGAGGCACCGCCTGAGTGATGATCGAATAAATTCAAGTAACTTATTAAAAAATTTGACAACAGCTGCCGGTTTATTTATAGATCATTCGCGTTGATTTTCGAGAGCTAACTAAGTGGTGGTCCGTCCAGCTAAGTGGGACGCCAGTGGAAGCCCAGGTGACCGCCGCATCGGCTGCAGAACACACGTTTCGACTTGAGGCGGCTCTGGAGACAGGAGTAGACGAAGGTCAGGGCGAAAATGGGAAAGCAACTGGAAATTGAGATGACAAACGTTAATCCTTTGGAGCGGAATATATCCGGAGTTTTCGAATATCCTACCAGGACAGAGCGGACAGAAGGCAGCTCAGCTGGCCCAAGGCTCCCGTCATCTCCACGGTCTCCGTTTTGGAATTTTGCTGGCACATCGGACACCGCACTTGGTAGCTACTGGGTCCAATACTGAAGAATCGCACCTGAGGCTTGCCCGGACGCTCCTCCAACGTGATTGTGGTGGCCACCGAGTGGCCATCCCCCCCCTGGAGATCCACCTCCAGGTCCGCATCCAAGTCGTTCCCCCGAGACATTGCGACTGGCCAGCGCTAAATGCCAAACATTTTGGCAAATTCTTTTCCCCAGCAGTGAAGCGAAAAACAAAGAGAACTACCTAACAAAGAGATCTGACCTAAGAGAAACACTGAGAGAATAATGCAGAAATCAACAATTTTTTTGGCACTCGGCTACTCAGTCTCAGCGCTCATCACTCGCCGCAAGGTCAACAAAAGAGTGCTTAAAACTATACAAAACAAATAATTAAGTGCGGAGCACCCACTCCAAATCCCCCCTTCCCCACGCCCTCCCCTCGCCTCATTGTCTTTTCCATGCCCCCAATAGGTATCCACACTTGCCACAGATGACCTTGCAGTCGTTGGCCGAGCGTCTCGGGCAGCAGGGATAAATGGGCAGGAAGGCAAAGCAGCTGGAAGAAGTAATAGGGAATTAATAAGGATAAAAAACGGACTCAGTAAGTCACTAATGAGAATAACATTTTCAAAACCTCTTTTTATTTTATTACGGCATAGAAAAATTTAATTTTTTTAAATACTTAACACAGTTTATTTAATTAACTTTCAGAAACTTTTACTGATTTGAATTTATCGTAAGAAAAATCACAAAACACTTTTTGCAGGTAGACAATTAGATCTTAAATTAAAATTAAAATTTATTGAAATCTGATAATTGATAAAATCTGATTTAAGTTGACCATCAATGAAATTAAATTTTTAATACGATTTACTAACTATTAAAATATTAACAATCCAATAACAATATGATGGCATTCATATTAAACGTAAATGGTTAGTTATAATGCTTCGTTCTCTTGGTTCTCCCTAAATACCAACAAAGAATAATATCTAAAATTCCTTTGCGTTAGTAATGGTTATTATCTATTCTTCTAATTATATTTAACGAAAACTTTTAACCGAACATGATGGGTTTATTATGGAATTGTAAGTAGGCAAATTTAAAATTTATTTTTGTTATAAAATTAACATATTTGCTGTCTATCACTCACCACATGGTCAGGAGTCGCTCCAGTCGGACTCCCTGCTCGTGGAGTCTCTCGTGGCACTCCGGACAGTACATCTGGCGCAGGCAACTGATATTGGTGGCCGCTGGTGGAGGTGGAGATACCTTATCGGCCAGTTGGCCGGTGGAGTTGCTCTTGCGGCAGAAGTAGGTCTCCGGCTCCGAGTCCTCCGCATAGCCATAGGGATAGCCTCTGTGGGGGGGAGTGGCCAGAAGCAGTTGGTCCAGAGCCTGGGCTGACTTCTGCTTGACCTGGCCGCAGTTGGGGTTCAGGTTTATCTCAACCAGATCCGCTGGGAACACCTCGTCGTCGGGAGCTTGCAGATGGAACTTCAGCTGGCGACTCATGTTGTTGAACTGACTCGACTTGGGATTTCTATTTGCCTATAAATTGGGTTATTTTACAATTGAAACATTGAAACCATAAAAAACATAAGTCAAACAGTTATCGTTTGGCAAGAAAGGCAGAGCAGGGGAATATATAAGGGTTGAGAGGGGCTGTTAGCCAAACCAGTTGTTCATCTGTTTTGTCAAGCCCCCGTATTTGCCTAACACTATTTCCATGGCTGCGATGTTAACGGCTGCACTTGAACGTGGAGCCCATGAAGGAAAGCTTCCCCAAAGCTTTCGCCGAGTGGGTGGCTAAAACAGCTTTTCCCATAAAAAACCGTTTCAAATATAGTTAGTTTAACCCATTGAGCACCGATATGGCAAACTATCGCTTTGTGGAAAAATTGATTTATTTTAGAAGTGTAAATGGGATTTTGCTTCGTGTTTGTTAAGTAACCGGTATCTGTTAGTCGAGGCACTCAACTGTAGCGATCCCTCTGGTTTTTTATATTTATTCACCAGAATTAATGAGTGCTTATATTGATCACTTTTTGAAAAAAAACAAGAAAGGAAGCTACCTTCGGCCAGCCGAAGCTTATATACCCTTGTAGATAAAAGAATACTCACTCGGTGCAGTTCCAGGGATTCCAGATTCAGCGCTTCGATTTATTTCAATTTTGTTTTTAAGTAGTCAAGAATCAAAACGCCTACTTCCTACAAAGTTACAATGAATTTTCTTATATTTGATTGGGAGCCTTAAGATATAGTGGTCCGATCCGGCTGGCTCCGACATATGTACTACCTGCAATAGAAAGAAGACCTTCGGGAAAGTTTCATCGCGATAGCTTTAAAACTGAGAGACTAGTTCGCATAGAAACGGACAGACGGACAGACGGACAGACGGACAGACGGACATGGCTAGATAGACTCGGCTATTGGTGCTGATCAAGAATATATATACTTTATGTGGTCGGAAACGTCTCCTTCACTGCGTTGCAAACATCTGACTGAAATTATAATACCCTCTACAAGGGTATAAAAATCTGTTAACAAAACAAGAAACACAATTGTTAGGATCACAAATGTTCGGTTCAGTTCGTTGAACAATGCAAAGATTTGAAAGAAAGAAAAGTCATGACCACTTTTTATAGTAACTTTAGTAACATTGATTAAAAAGTTGAAATATCACTTAAATTGTAATTGTATTTGTATGTGTTTCGCGTTTATAAAAATCAAGTAACAGGTGAATAGCCCTATTAAATAAAAGAAAACAACAGGTGCATTACTTTAGATCTTAAACGTAGGCTGGAGAAATGGAATGGTGATGCAAAAACCGGTACAGTACTATGTCCAATCGAATCACGCACTTGCTAATATGATTAAAGTGCAAATATTAAAATGAGAGAGCACGAGTCGACAACCTTTATTTGTTTACACTCTCTCCTGACATTATGTCTCTTAACCAAATACACGTAATTTCATTTTCCATACATTCCATGTTGTTAAAGCGTTTGGAGCTTATTCATCGCCATTATATATATTGCAAGTGTTATCAAATAAGTGAGTCATCTGTCACCTATTTAGAGGAGCATCGCAGTCGCTCACTAAATCAAGTGCACAATAAAAAAGATATCCCTTTATGAGTTCGACAGAAACCCCCGTTGTATAGAAGCTATCACAACGTAGCGATAAGATAGCGATACCCATCGTTGAAGTAATGCCGGAGCTCCAGTTTCAGTTCGGTCTTCAGTGCTACGCCAGCCAGCAAAGCGATCGGTTCAGTTTCAGTTCGATCGGTATATCCAGACTCTCTTAAGAACAAATAATTCAGAATTATGGACAGCAAACAGCCTCCGCCGTACAGTGAGCAGCCTGGATTCACGCCGGCACAGACCTATCAACCCGGTGGTCCCACCCAGCCACCGCTATATCCACCGATGCCAAGGCCACCGCAATCTTCCACAGTGATCATCCAGACCACCACGACCTCCAACCTGGTGCCCATCGGCAATGGGCCCACTCGCATCTGCTGCCCCTCCTGCCACGCCGAAGTCCTGACCACCGTGAAGGCCACTCCCTCTGGAAGGACGCACTGCTGGGCCCTCATCCTGTGCCTATTCATGTTAGTGATTCAATTCGTAGCTATCGTAACTATCTATCTAAACTTACCATCTACTGAGTTAGTGTTATATGCCCGAAAAGATCAAGAAATAATCTATAATTAGTATCACAAAATTTATTTTATAGCTATAATTCAGTATTTGATGAAACTTTTATTTCGTCCCTTATTTAAGATCTACCGCAACATCTACAGATTAAAATTTGTATGCCTCAAAAGATCAAGCGATACTCCATATATAATATCACAACCTTTATTATTCAGTATTTGAAGAAATTTTTACAAAAATCATTCAGGATAATAATCGTCAATAATATTTTATTGCAAACATAGAAATAACTAGAGTATTTTTAGATATATTTTATTATCTTCCTAAGCCAACATATTTCATTACCTGTTTGTCAAGACAGGTTGTCAGAGTTTTCTTTGCCTGAGAATAAAAAAGCTACGCCCATGCAACACTTGCGCCCTCTTATCGCCTGGAAAGTACAATAAGTTTCTATAGGTATTGCGTGTGAGGCGTCGTCTGTGTAGGCCATACTTGAAAACAATGTTATCTCAACTGGGACGGCTGGAGTTGAGTCAGATAACAAAGCTAGCTGCCTGCAATGGGGGCTAAAAACAAGCAAACTGAATGAAATTGGCTGTAGACGTCGGCCTTAGGGCGTTGTATAGGCCAATAGGAATTAGTGCTCTGACTAATCGATTAAATCCCCGAACTTATCTAATCGATCTCTTCTAATCTCCATCCACAGTTGCTGGCCTTGCGTTTGTCTTCCCTACTGCATGGATTCCTGCCAGAATGCCAATCACTACTGTCCCAACTGCAGCGCCTACATCGGCACCTACGAGAACTAATTTCTTCTTACACATATCTACCTTTAGAGAACCCTACACATTAGCGTCATATTGCAACGAAATTTAACTGTAAATATACTTGTACGACCGTCACACATTAAACATGAGATTCAAACAGGAAAAGGGAAATGCGATAAGCCAGCTTGGTTTGCTAACTTGGTCTAATTACTGTGGAAGCTAAATCACTCGTGTGGGTCATAAAATGTCCACAGCACTCCCTAAATAGCTGAATAATGTTAAACAAACTTTGGAAAGTTCAATGCCACCATTTCATTTTTATCAGCTAGTGAAAGTATTAGGTGCAGGCATTTAAAATTAAAAAGGACTTAATGCAGCCTAACATTTTAGATCGATGATGATGATAAACCATTGGCAACAGCCTGATGACTATTATACAATCAGTATATTTATAACGCTTAGCTAAGTTTAATGGCTCCAATAAAAGAACAAGTATAAATGGATTATTTTGTCAAAAAAGTGGTAACCACCAAGAAGTCTCATTTTCAAGGATTTTTTGAAAGCCATATAAGATGTCTAGGTAACCTAACTCTTCTGGTACCTTAGCTATCGAATTGTTAGTCATTAAAGTGTATGGAGTTACTGGAGCCAATGTCAATCGATTAAGTGCTGCAAATGCCAACTCTTTTTTTATAACTCGCCATATCGTCATAGCTGTTTCGGTTAAAAAGTACCTGTCGATTAGTCAGAAAAGATAACAAGTGCGATAGAGCAGTGTTGTCATTAAATGGCCGGTGAGTTCAGTGCATGCTCCGCGGTAAACATGAACAGCACATGGGTGAGCACGGTTCCAGACACGGAAATGGTGACCGTAGCCCCAGCCCCTCAGCCGGACTCAGACTGTGGGGTGGTGGTGACCCAGATACCCATTTACACCCTGAACGGAGTGGGGGCGGGCGCACTGCCGCTAACTGTTGGCTGCCAGAAGATGAGGGTGAGGTGCCCGTCCTGCAGGGGTGAGGTCACAACCAGTCTGGTCACGGCCCCCACCCGCAAAACCCACCTGTGCGCCCTGACCTTGTATGTCTGCTGGTGAGTGGAGCGTCCGGATACCCCCCACATATAGATATACTAATTGGAAACCCTTGATCCCTTAGCTGCTGGCCCTTCGTGTGCCTGCCCTACTTCATAAACTACTGCAAGAGTGTCCAGCACTACTGCCCCAACTGTGGATGCCACATAGGAAGCTACAGCATTTGAAGTGATCGAGCTATTTTGCACTGCCAGTAAGCATTTACATGTACAGAGTCTTATTTGAGACTTTAAATATATTAGAAAATGTATCTTTAAGAAATGAATTTAAATTTATTTTGGGCAAGCCGGATTAATAGTCGTTGGTGAATTAGGGTTGATTAGGATTTTTGTTAAACCTTTACCTGTAAAGGTATACCAAATAAGACAATTTTAAGAAATAAGTAAGATTTGGAGATACGAAAGACCTAATAGGTTGATCCTCACGTTTTGTATCTTCTTAACTGATAAGAGTTTGTCTGTTTCTTCGAGTTCGAATTTCGGTAGCTCTTATCGATGTAATCCCAATAGCGATAACTAATCGATATGTGCAACCTACTGCGATCGTATAGTTGTCTCGCTCGCTCACACTGCCGAACGCGAAGTTTAAACTTTTTTTTTTCTTTCTTTTGTTTTCGCCGAAAGCAAAGCACATGCACTTCGGGAGCTTTCAGTAGGAGTAGCCGTTTGCAGTTGGCAAACATTCAGAAGAGAATTTTTAACTGTAAGCACTGCCGGTTCAGTCGTCGTCGAAATATTTCCTATCTACAATGGACTACAAGCGCGTGGACTCGCCGCCGCCCTATTCGGATGACTTCGCCACCGCTCCTCCGGCCGAGATGGACCTGCACCAGTCGCCGTCGCACCAGCTCTACCCGCAGGTTCCCCAGGCCTCTCAGATGGAGCCGATGTCACCACCACCACCGCAGCCGGTGAGCGTGATCCATCACCAGACTACTGTTTTGGTGGACACTCCCGGCCAGGGAATGATATGTCCCCATTGCAACGCCCGGATTCGCGTTCGAGTGGAGCACCATCCTACCGGAAAGACCTATTGCCTGGCGGCGTTCCTCTGCCTGTTCCTGTAAGTAAATCTTTATATACGGTGGTGTCATAGAATTCTCTCTTACGTGAGAACCGTAACGGATTTTAGTTGGAAAAGATTACTGCGACACCCTGATTGAGTAGTTACAACTGTGGCCATAAAAATAGCTCCAAAAATATGTTAAAACCCTTTTTTGCCTGACCAATCGCCAGTTATTTCGTTGTGCTTTTTTTGTGGCCGCAGTTGTTTCGTATACATACATTTCGCAGGAAGTGTACTGAGTAATCGTCGATCGTGCTTGGTAAACAATATAGCCCATTCTCTCCCCTTTATCCCACAGTTGCTGGCCCTGCGTCTGCGCCCCTTGCTGCTGCAACTGCTGCTACAAGACCTCCCAGTTCTGCCCCAACTGCAACGCCTGTTTGGGATCGTTTTGAAGACGCCAGCGAAAACACTCGCCGATTTCATATGTACACCATTATTTTCATATTCGTATATAACTAAGCATATATATGTCCTAATGTGGAGACACCAACAAGAAGCGGTGCCTTTATCATACTAACACTTACCAAACATACATACATTCATATGTACACTCTTCAAACGACTCTGTATGCGAAACTTAAAGAGAGAATAGATAAGCAAATAAAGCTTTGCCAAGCGAAGCAATTTCTGGGATTCCCATAAAATGAATTTTCTTTGTATATATACACAGTTTTGTTGCGGATCTGGCAACAGTTGGCTGAATCTTTTTCTGGAAAATAAAGAAGCCAAACTTTATCTGTTTTAACGGCATGACAAATTATTTTTATTTTATTATACATAGTATTCATTAAAGATCAATTTAAAAAAAAAAAAAACTTCTACCTTATTATACCCTTGCACCTATACCCCATCTAGCCATGTCCGTCTGTCCGTTTCTATGCAAACATTCTACTTATGTACAAAAGAATCATAAATACAAATTATGTTAGGAGAGTTTATACTGACCAAGAGATCATCTATGTAATTGCTCATCTGGTTTCAATCCACAGAATGGATTTTTATTTCTGAACAGTTTCCAATTCACATTGTGTAAAAGAGTATGCTAGACTAAATTGTATTTAACCGCACAATCCAATCCTGGTTTAAGATTTATACCAAATTGAATTCGTAATTTGACCATTTAAATCAGTGATGGCAGGCAGCGTTCAGGGTTTCTAGATGATTTTTCAAAGGAATTTGCATTTTCCCTACACCGTTGCCTGCTAAAAGGAACAGGACTTCTAACACTGCCCGCCAAAAGGAAAAGGACTTCCAATACTCTAAGAACCACCGTCTCACTTTTCCGGCGGCTGCTCGCACTCACACAAACGCATCTGCTAGCAACATTGCTGCAGCAACATGTGGCAGGAACAGGAAGCAACAAAGACAAAGCAACAATTTCAAAATTCAACGAGCGCAGAATCCTTTTCCACAGATCAAATTCACAGCTTCATCAGTGCGCAATACGTTGTGGGCTTGCTATTAAATACGAGTTTCTGTTCGAGTTTAACACATTTATTTCGACCACGTAGAACCCACTCTGTAAGTATACGGCCAAAAATTAAAAATTCAGAGCGCGTAATATTGGTACAAATATGTGCAACGGATTTTCAATGTCAAGTTGAGTAAAGTACTTATAAAGAAGTCGACTCAAATTTAATGTAATTTAAATTGAATGCTTATGCATCGGTACAGCAATCAATATCTATGTTATTAAAGTTTCCTGTTCGTTTTCCGCAGTGCTGGCAGAAAAATGTCCCCTCCCGTTGGTCCGGTTCCCTGCAAAGTAAATTGTCCCAGTTGCCGCCAAGAGGTTACCACCCGTGTTAAGCCGAGGGCCACCACCAAGACGCACATCCTAGCGCTGATCATGTGCTTCACTTGGTAAGCTGTGATTTCTCAGATAAAGTTTTTATCAAACAAATCAAAATGCTCATTAAATACTTATCTCATTGGCTAAAAAGACCTTGTAATAATAATAACGCTTTCCAGCTGCTGGCCCTGTGCTTGCTGCCTCTACTGCACCAAATGTGCCCGGAACGCGAACCATCACTGTCCATCTTGCAACGCTTACATTGGCACCTACGAGCGATAAGAAACTTCCGTCATTCCATCTCTCTAAAACCTATATTTTTAAGTAAATTAAATCATAATAAAACTGTAAGTTGATTTGTGTCAAATCATAAATGAGATACATAACAATATCCCTTAAGTGCAGCACTTTGCACTAGCAGACCCAGATCGGCCCGCCGATAATCATAATATCGAATCCAACTTGCTTGAGTTGAACTGCCCTTCCGTAGCCATATACATATAGAAAAAGCATAGTTGGGTCTGGGTTTTAATAATTAGCATCTAGTTTCTAGAGTTGTGTAACGGGAGTATTTTAAAGTTATAGCGTAAATGAATTTTAAGAACGAACCGAACCCCTAAAACGAATCGGACATTTAGTTTTTAGTGCGTAATGCCATAAACGAACATTTTTTAAAAGCAAAATAATAACTGACATTTACTTACGATATAAATACTATATCTAGATATATACATATAGCATTTAAAATTACATAAACAATAAAGGAACTATTTACATTTATGTGGAAAAATTAAGTCCTTCATTTTGGAATAGTTTCTGATGGACATGGCTATGTCGGATCAAAATCTGGCATCTTGTATCTGCTGCCCGCAGATAAAACAAGTAGGTATGCAGATTTATTTCGCTGGGCTGGGCGGGTCTTCACTCCGACCCGCCCGGCTGCCCTGCCTCATCTTAATCTGCCCACGGAGATTGGATTTGTGTCTTTTACACTGCGCGTTGCACCTTTTTCGCTGCGTAATGCTTCTACCTGTGATCCCCAGAGGCAGCTTTAATGATTGTGATCAAAATACGCAATGCTCAAAAAATAATAGAAAACAAGAGAGAACGCTATAGTCGGGTTGGTGTCCCGACTATCTTATACCCGTCACTCGGCTAAAGGGACTGCAAGGGAGAAGGATATATGTATAAACAATTTTGATTGTGCATAACTTTTAAATGAATGGTCCGATTTGAAAATGTCTTCTTAATTTTGATAGGTATTTATTAACACTAAACAAGAGAGAACGTTATGGTCGGGTGCCCCGACTATCAGATACCCGTTACTCAGGTAAAGGGAGTGCGAGGGAGATGGAGATAGAGATAGAAACCGTTGATCACGCATAACTTTTTAACGAATGGTCCGATTTGAAAAATTTCTTCTACATTTCGATAGGTATTGATAAACACAATAAAACTGCATTTTTACTTTTCCAAAATATTAAAATTTTTAAAATCGTAAATAAGCGATTGTGGGCGTTAGAGGGGGCGTGGCACCGTTTTGAAACAAACTTGCGCTGCGTAGGAACTCCTAAAATCTGCATGCAAAATGCCAATCTTCTAGCTTTTATAGTTTCTGAGATCTCAGCGTTCATACAGACAGACAGACGGACAGACGGACAGACGGACAGACAGACGGACAGACGGACAGACGGACATGGCTAGATCGACTCGGCTAGTGATCCTGATCAAGAATATATGTACTTTATGGGGTCGGAAACGCTTCCTTCTAGCTGTTACATACTTTTGCACTAATACAATATAACCTTTTACTCTACGAGTAACGGGTATAATGACGAGGGAGAGGCAGCCCAACCGAAAACCAATCGAATATTATACGTATGTGTGTGTGTCCAAAAGACTGATAGAAAGAGAGATTTTGCCAAACCGGTTTAACAGGTAAAAGAGGATTAAGACGCGGCCTTCTACCCGCCAGGATAATGACTATACGGCTTGTAGAGTCTTCGAAAGGAGGCCCATGAAATGTTGATTTTGCACTGAGATAAAAAGTCTTAGCAAGCGGTGTATGCCCTCAAAGGGTAATAGATGTTCAATGGGATATTAACATAGAATTTTTAAATATATTTGAAAAATTGAGTTTTTACATTTTCAGTAGATTTTTAAAAATAAGTGGGAAATCAAGTTTTTATTTAACCACACATACTTTATAAGTACTTTATAAACAATTCTTTGCATTTTGAAAACCATTAATTGACAGCCGAATATTTGCCATTTTTTTGTTTTTCTTGTTTTTTATACCCTTGTATATTATAATAATATTATAATTTCACTCAGATGTTTGCAACGCAGTGAAGGAGACGTTTCCGACCACATAAAGTATATATATTCTTGATCAGCACCAATAGCCGAGTCTATTTAGCCATGTCCGTCTGTCCGTCTGTCTGTCTGTCCGTCTGTCCGTTTCTATGCGAACTAGTCTCTCAGTTTTAAAGCTATCGCGATGAAACTTTCCCGAAAGTCTTCTCTCTATTGCAGGTAGTACATATGTCGGAGAAATCTGGATCGGACCACTATATCTTAAGGCTTTCATAGGAGTATTCAAACAAATTTAAGAAAATTCATTGTAATCTGAATCTGGAATCCCTGGAACTGCACCGAGTGAGCATTCTTTTATCTACAAGGGTATATAAGCTTCGGCTGGCCGAAGGTAGCTTCCTTTCTTGTTTTAGGGTGTTTTAATGTGAAATTTGAAATTGTTTTGATGCAGTCGGAAAGATAATTGTTTAATAAACAATATTCCAAAAGAAAACATTTTAAAAATCTAGTAATTGCATGTGCATTACCCATTTAAAAAAGAATTTCTGACATTTTTCCTTTTGCAAACTGTATGTAATTGCTCATCTGGTTTAATATAGCTGTTTCACTAAAATAGAGTCCTAGTACTGATGATCGTCTCAACTAATCAGCATTATTATGCCTCCTATGAGACGTTTTGGATTTTTACTTCTGAAATGCATGTGGAAAATATGTTATTTTCATAAGGATTCTCCAAACAAACGGAAATGACAAAACCTCAATCACCCCTTACATTTCTTCCATCTCTGGGGTGAATGAGGTTATTAGATAATTTTCCAAAGAAATTTGCATTTTCCTTAAACGTTTGCCTGCTAAAAAGAACAGAACCTTCCAAAAGGAAACAGGATTTCTAACACTTTAAGAACCACCTTCTCACTTTTCTGGTGGGTCACCACTAACTTAATTTATTTATAAGATCTCGCTTAGCTAGCAACATTGCTGCAGCAACATGTGGCAGGAACAGGAAGCAACAAAACAATAGTTTGAAAATTCAACGCGCGCAGAATTTCTTTCCACAGAACAAATTCACAGCTCCATCAGTGCGCAATACGTTTTGGGCTTGCTAATAAATACGAGTTTCTGTTCGAGCTTGACACATTTATTTCGACGACGTAGAACACATTCTGTAAGTAAACCGCCAAAAATTTAAAATTCAGAGCGCGTAATATTGGGACAAATATGTGCAACGGATTTTCAAAGTCAAGTTCAGTTAAGTTCTTATAAAGAAGTCGACTCAAATTGTATATTTCTCTGGGTAAACCGGACAACGCCTTCGAGATGATTACCGCTCTTTGGGCGCTCCTTGAAAATAAGTTTGGGGAAAACTGAGGAAAAGCACGCAGGGCCACAGGTGGGTCCAGGGGGAGTATTAATCACTGGCGCCGGACGCACCCTCAGCTTAGTGATGATACTATGCTATGGTTGGAAAAAGTGTGAATATAAATAGAATAGATTGTGTTGATTTTGGGCAGGGTCAGACCGCCGCGTAAACAAATTGGGCAAGTACCTCGAGGGCGCAGGGAGATGATGGATGAATTGGGGGTTGAATAGGGCAAAGAGAGACGCGATTTCTGCGATGACGACATCGACAGACAGTTTGCCACATGGCTATCCACACTTTCGGCTTCTGCGGGCCACAAAGATGACCTCACACACTCACAACACAACCCTAAAAAGAAATTGAACGAAACAGTGGAACAATCAACGGGAGATAAGGCTGATCACAGCTTGTTTGCATGGCGGGTATACAATTAAATTCTCCATCACACAACTAATTTAATTTTAATGCTTATGTACCAACGGCACGCGAAGTTTTCAAGGTCGGTGCAGCAATCAATATCAGAGTTATTAAAGTTTCCTGTTCGTTTTTCCGCAGTGCTGCCAGAAAAATGTCCACTCCCGTTGGTCCGGAGCCCTGCAACGTGGTCTGTCCCAGTTGCCGCCAGCAGGTTACCACCCGCATAGAGCCGAAGGCCTCCACCAAGACGCACATCATAGCACTGATCATGTGCCTCACTTGGTAAGCTGTGATCTCACAGATAAAGTTTTTATCACACAAATCAAAAGGCTAATTAAATACTTGTCTTATTGGCTAGTTCAAATCGAAATGTTGTAATGAAGGTATATTTTCCTATTTTACAGCTGCTGGCCCTGTGCTGGCTGCCTTTACTGCACCAACTGTGCCCGGAACGCGAACCATCACTGTCCATCTTGCAACGCTTACATTGGCACCTACGAGCGTTAAGAAACTTCCGGCGGAAGTCTTTGCTTTTCCGTGGCCTGCGGCCAGCAGCCGTGATGAAATGCAATCCGAACCATTGTATTTTTACTCCGTTGTTACCTCTCTCACATTTTTCAATACACAATAATTTGTTAACACGCAAATCATTGTAGTACCAACTTAAGCTTTTGTATCCTTAGCACAGCAATAAAAAGATTCAAGGAAGAAACTAATGACTCTTATTTGGTTTGGATGGATAATTATGCATTGCATCTCTCTAAAATTAAACCTACATCTTTAGGTAAATGAAAATATTATGAAACTTTAAGTTGATTATCGTCAATTTATAAATGAGTCACATAATGATATCCCTTAAGTGCAGCCTAATAGAGGAAAATTAATTGGAATGCCAGGACATCATTCACAGCTCACGTCACTTAATGTTTAAGGGAATCCAAATAGTTCGCAGGGGAAATGGCCCTTTTAAGAGCTACAGTAATACCTTTCTATACGGTAAAAGTTCAAGGATCAGATAAAATAAGACATTTTATTGTGAAAGTAAAAAGGATTAAAGTTATGCAATGGTTAAAACAAGGACCCAAATTTATAAATGAAATCAAACTTTTAAATAACAAAAAATATTATTTTTTTAACAATTATAAATTACAGTTACGTTTTTTTACGCCTAAAACTGTTACAAATATTATGATGAAGTTGGAAGAATATGCATGCTTTATTCAGTCAGTTGCACCCGGTTTCTGGACAAATATTCTAATCGATCCAGAGCATACGTCGGAAATTGCTTAGTGAGCACATCGTAGGCTACAAAAAATTCCCCACATCGCAAATGAAATTTTAGGTCCCGTCTGTGGAGCGCGCTTTAGTCGTCTGCCTGAACTCGAACGCGTAGCACCTCGGTCGGAAGTAAATAAAGCGAATAATGGAGAAGAATTTTCCGTACGACCAGCAGCAACAGCAGCAGCAACCCTATGTTGCTCAGGCACCGCCCAGTTATGACAACACCCAGGTCTATCCCAACTTGAATCAGCCTCAGCCGGTGATTTTGACACAGCCTCAGATTATGCAGGGTAAATATAAATGTATTTTTAAGGACTTCACAGTACACAGATACGGAATCTATACGGATATTACTAAAGTTAAGTCCAGAGCGATATGGAGACTATATTAACATTGGAAAAATGTGTGTATATAAATTAATGACGAAAAACATTCGCGAAAAAAAGCATTCTTTAAATAAAACCCACAGTTTATTTATACTTTGAGTGCAAAAATATATTCTATAAAATATGATAAGAGCATTATCAAAATTCGTTATACGTAATATTTATAAAAACTTTTTTCTAGCACCCCCCAATGTCTTGGGTGGCGTTCCATCTATGGCTACGTGTCCCAGTTGCGGAGTCCGTCGGCAAACGAAGGTCGAGTTCGAGCCAAGTACCAAAACCCATTTGCTGGCCCTTCTTATCTGCATGTTGGGGTATGTATATCGTGTCTGCTCCTTCAGCCAATGAGACTAATTCTGATCCTGTGTTTTAGGGGAATCTGCTGCTGCTGCATTCCCTACTGCACCGACTCTTGCCAGTCGGCCAAACACACCTGCAGTAGCTGCGGAGCCTATGTGGGAACCTACAAGAACTAGAAATCCTATTCGAAAACCAAGCAAATTTATGACGTCATAAAATGTGAAAAATATACTGGTACACAAACTATGTATTCCTAATGGATCTTCAACACTTCTTTATTGATCTTCGAACTCCGATTTAACACACCGATGTACACATAATAGGGCTGTTAACACTATCCCAGTGTATATTGTGAAGCAGCCTCAATGCATATTTTTACATTAAATTTAAAAAAATAAATAAACACATCCAAAATCGGATAAAGTCTTTAATACATAATTTTTCACTTCAATTAAAATAAATAAACATACCTACTTAGACTTAGACTACCGGAGATGCTTTCAAACTTGCTTTTCCTGGCCTATTGATAACACTTCACTTGTCTGCAACTAAAAATAGTTTAGCATCCGACAATCCGGATTGCAATGCAAATCTATAAAGCGTGAGTCATTTTCTGTGGTCCGGATATGTTATTTCACCATACTCGACTATCAATCCGTATGTATTATGATACAGGGAAAATGCAAAGCGCAATAAGTACAGTATCGAGTTGGTTACGCACCACAGCAGAATGGAAAAAATTGAATCCGATAAAGAAAGTAAACATCAGGGTATATTCCAAGGAGTACCCACTCCTCCACCTCGTCCACAACCGAGAGATTAATCCCCTATTTTCCATTGTTCAACCATAAAGCATTAACATGGTCTTATACATCATGTCAAGCACAAAACAATTTAGGTTAAATTAGTTTATTTATGATTCTAAAACAATTCATACTGTTTGGTCTTTGTTTGTTTTGATTCTTGATCAGGAGTCGACCATCTAAGCACAACTTATATATTATTGAAAATTGTCCTACAATTATTATCAGTGCTAATGATCTCTTTGGTAAATGTTTTGGTTGAAATGTACACTGGAGCTTTACATGAGCTGACCTAAAATCTCATCCTATATTTGATTTAAATTTTATCCCACGTAAATTAAAGTTGGCAACCCGTTCCTCTACAAGATGGAATAGTTGCATAATAAACCCATTTTTAAAAAATGTATTATAAACAGTGAGCATTTGTCGGAAATTGCTTCATTGACCATCGAAGGCTGTACAAAATTATCACCAATTTCGCCAATTAGAAAAATGGCAAATGAAACGTATTTTAGGTCCATCTATGGAGCTCACTTCAGTCGCCTGCCTAAATTCGAGCGCGTAGCACATCGGTCTGAAATAAATAAAGCGAACTATGGAGAGGAATCTTAAGGACGACCATCAGCAAACCCAGGCGCCCCAGGAACCGCTCAGTTATAACAGCACCCAGGACTACTCCAATTTCAAACAGACACAGCCAGTGATATTTGCTCAGCGTCAGATTATACAGAGTAATTACTGAATAAAAAATAAATTATAAATTTACATTAACTTAAACCTTATGGATTTTGACCATTCTTACAATTTAATTGGATTTCCAGCTCCTCCTAATGTTTTGGGTGCCGTTCCATCTATGGCTACTTGCCCAAGTTGCGGAGTTCGTAGGGAAACGAAGATCGAATTCGAGCCAAATACCAAAACTCATTTGCTGGCCTTTCTTATCTGCTTGCTGGGGTATGTAAATCATGTTTGATCCTTTAGTTTGATCATAATACTAATCCTGTTTTTAGGGGTATTTTATGCTGCTGCTGCATTCCCTACTGCAGCGACTCATGCCAGTCGGCAAAACACACCTGCAGTAACTGTGGGGCCTATGTGGGAACATACAAAAACTAGAAATCTGTTCCGAAAACCAAATATTGCAAAGATGAATCTCAAAAAAGGATATTTAACTTGCTTAACCATATTAAAATGTATGTCATACAGGACGACAAATCTATGAATCCCAAACAGATTTCCACCATTCCTTTATTGATCTGACACTGACACCTGTCACAGTTTATCCTGCAAATTAAATAAATTAACACTTTGGAAGCATAAATCTGAAAGTATTTTTTGGTAGCTAAAATTAAAATGTAAGCCGATTCTAGAAAATGTTTAAATTAAATTTTATTCTTTCTTTAATATTAATTGTGGTCTAAATAACAATTAATATTAAATAATAATAATAATATTGTTGCGGAATTTTTTTTGACTCAATTGCCATTAAAGTTTTTTGGGCATGACGTCATAATAGTCTCGTTAATTTTCAACAACCTCTTTTTAATTGTTCAAAGATAAACAATGAACTTCATCCACACTAGGTATGTACGTAATTTGTCTTGTATGTACATTGTACACGGAGCGTATGTATAATAATTTTATAAATAATTAAGTAAACAAACTTATCGCTGGCAATTCGTGGAACTGAGAATCGGAGTCTCGAACTGTGTTACATATATAAATAAGCAGGGAATTTACGGTTCTGATGATTGTTGTATTTGTGAAAACAAACTTTGGTTTAAATCTATATTTAATACCTAAGACTCAGGACGAGTTATCTATTTTATTTTCATAATATTTTAATATTTTTATTAATAAAACGGCAATTATTTTTCTTCTTTCGTAATATAGGTACATGTTTAATAATTTCAAGCTCTTGGGGAAAATCCCTTTTAAAAACATTATGGTTTACGTTTGCTTCTCTAAGCATTTGTAACGAGCCGGTTTTAAACAGTTCATAACGTGTTGGTTGCTTGATTTGTATTTCCCAATAATTAAAACGTTGACTTAGACTACCGGAGATGCTTTTAAACTTGCTTTTCCTGGCCTATTGATAACACTTCACTTGTCTGCAACTAAAAATAGTTTAGCATCCGACAATCCGGATTGCATTGCAAATCTATAAAGAGTGAGTCATTTTCTGTGGTTTTTCCAGTCTTCCAAATGGGTTATTTCACCATACTCGACTATCAATCCGTAAGTATTATGATGCAGGGGAATGCAAAGCGCAATAAGTTCAGTATCAAGTTGGTTACGCACCACAGCAGAATGGAAAAAATTGAATCCGATAAAGAAATTAAACATCAGGGTAAATTCCAAGGAGTACCCACTCCTCCACCTCTTCCACAACCGCCCCAAAAATATCAGCCTGTTGCAAACCGAAATAATTTCGTTGATCGTAAGGATTGTTATAAATGTCTACAAAAAGTCGCACTGAATACGATGAGCTCTGAAGACTTCCAAATATGGAAACGCTGTAGAGGATGCGTGGTGAGATATTGGTAATTAAATTGTTTCCCAAATCTACCTACAGAAATTCATATGTACATTAAAAAATAAAACATTTGGGATTCTTTTACAGCAAAACTTGTACATTAAAAAGATCAAACTAAACTAAATAAATAGTGCATTTGATATTGATACAATACAGATTTTAAAACATTTTTTTCTAATTATTTTGCTTACGGTTTAAATCAAACAATGATCTGCATACATATACGTGAGTAAAAGATTTGCGCAGCATCAGCGAATTCGAACTTTTCCGAGAAAACCCTCTCTTCTCTTGATAAGCATAATGTTCAAGAGAATTCATCCAATGAGTCACACAATAACAATAGCAACATGCAGCCGCCACACACAACTGAATTGCATTGTAATAACGACATTCGACGCTTGCAAAACTTAAAGAAATGTCGGAAGATTTAAGATGTCCCAACTGCGATTCAAGAGCTATGATGAGGAAGAGGTACTTGGCTATATCACGAATGAAGAAGTTAAAGATGGATTTCTGGTAAGTAATAAATTCCACTTTTTTTTTTTAAATCGAATAAGATTTTCTTTCTTTTAAGCGCTCTTTGCTGCTGCCGTCGATATTGTGGAGTAGGAATTTATGAAACTGTCTTCAATTGCCGATCGTGCGGATGGAAAGGCGATTTTCACAGTCTACACTAAGTGTATTTGTTGTAAATAACAAATAAGTCACTATTTCGCATTGCAGTGGCTAGATTTCAGTCAGCTGTTGCACTTTGTGTTTGCAACAAAAAAGCTTTTCAACTAGAGAAGCTTTGAAACTGCACCGCACATATACAAAACAGCGAACAATTAAGAAGCTCTGAAATTTCAAAAAAAGGTTTCAAATAAAAACACATTCTACATAGTATATAAATGTATTATATATATTGTGGTAACTTTATGGACATGTACTTTTATTCTTAATATTTGAATACAGTTTTCCAAAAATGAAAACCCATTAAACACGCTCCTTTTACGCTCCTATCAATGATTTTGGTTGGGTCTAATCGCTTGCATGGATCACATGTACTTAACGTTTTTATTTTTTTAATATTATTTATTTGAAAGCAAAACTGTTTCTATGCTTTGCTCGGTGAAAAACTTAACACCCTTAAATATCCCGTCCCTCTCATACACCTAAAAATAGTTTCACGATCCAGTAGATATAAGCTCTTGTCATCAGTGGCGGATCTAGTATTTAGTTCTCGGGGTGTTTTTAAAACCAATTTTTAGTTGCATGATATATGAGCACCAAATTTCTTATTATTATACGACCCAGAAATGGAGGGGAGTGTGGTGGTACTTATCCCCCAAATACCCCCGTGGATCCGCCCATGTTTGTCATTATCAAGGCCCGATTCTTTCAGATTTTTGATTCTTTTAGTTTGTTGACTGAGGCTAACCGTGAAGCACATCTGCCGGAACAAAACAAATATAGAAAAATGTGTAAGTATGAAAAACCCGTTTCTAAAGTGCAAGTACTAAAAAATTGGGAAGTTCGAACACTAATGGAGTATTAAACAATTATCTTATTTTTCCGTGCTATTTTTTAAGCCGACCCCAGACATGTGATTTAATCTGTCCAATTCTTCGATTCCCGATTGATTTTGTTAAAAAAAATTGTATACAACTTATTTTCTATTCGTTATTTATAGCAAATGTTCTAGGAAATGTTCCATCTATGGCCACGTGCCCGAGTTGCGGTGAGCGTAGGCAAACGAGGGTCGAGTTTGAGCCAAGTACCAAGACTCATTTGCTGGCCCTTCTAATCTGCATGATTGGGTATGTAATTAATTCTATTGTTTGATCCTTTTTCTAACTGAACAAATCTTCTTCTCTAGTGGTATTTGCTGTTGCTGCATCCCATACTGCAAGGACTCCTGCCAGTCGGCCAAACACACCTGCAGTAGTTGTGGAGCCTACGTGGGAACATTCAAGAACTAGGAGTCCAATCCTAAAAACAAAGATCGACCAAAAGTTTTATATTTCATCGTCAAAAACTATGAAAATAACTATATTCAGTATACACAAGAATAAATAAAACCTTATTAAAAAAATAAGGTAATTAACTTTTTTGCTCACTTCTTCTTGTGAGCCGTTTGTGTTATGAGTAAGTACGTGTGCTTTAAATATTAAGTATACGGCGTTCAAATCGTAAAAATCGTTGCCTACTTTTATGACCCTATCAAATACAAACTAAAACACTTCGAGATAAAAAAAATTGACGATCGCACCATCAATTTCAAATGTTCTAATATCATATTTTGAAATGCTTCATCATTCGGCACGCTTCCTTAAAATCGCACAGCTTTACAGGCATTTTGTATTGCAGCGGCCATACTTAGTAGTCTCCTTGCGCACACTCCCGGTGCGATTCGTCACTACGATGACTTGTTCGTTATATAAATCGTTTAATTATGTTTTTAAAGTTTCAAGTAATCGTCGCATTCGTTTTTAAAGCATCGCAAGATTCAAGAAATGCATATCGGTGCTCAGAAAACGAGTTTGATTTTTACTCGTAGTAAAAAAAAGTATTTAACTACCTGTTAGGAAGGATGTGTTTCCGACCCGTCTGGGGATTTCACTAAATAAAACAACTTCTGTGTCTTTTAAAGGTGTAAAATAATTTTATATGTTAATTTTTGAGCTGAAAGAATGAGTACTCTTATTGTACATAAACACTTTAAGTTTCTTAAGCATACTGCTGACTTTGGGTCCCGTATACTTCACGTTTAAATATTTTGAAAACATTTAATTAAAAAAAAAAGCATAAACTCTCTGCCGTGCGGGGAAAAGAAATAGCATGACGTTAAAATGTATAAAAATTCTTGTCATGATCAAGGCCTGTCTCTCTCAGATGGAAAGCATAAACTCAGATACTCGAAACAAATTTGTTGCCCTTTAGTTTAGTGGTTGAATCGGAACGCGAAGCACATCGGTCGGAATTCAGTATAGATAGGAATGGAGAAGAATATTCCATTGGACCGGCAGCCATACGCTCCCAACGCCCCACCCAGTTATGACAACGCGCAGCAAATTTATCCAAATTTAAATCAGCAACCACCGGCACAGCCGCTGATCATGCAGGGTAAATATAAAATACTTGCCCATTTACCATTTGGCCATTACTTTTTGATAAGTGTTAAGAACTCTTGGGAAAATCAGAAAGCGTTTCAAGAATTCTTACTATTTATATGAATAATACAAGATATGTATGTATGTATCAAATAAAAACACCTCTTAACGAGGTAAAAAACTAGTGACGACCGCACCTTCAACATACAAAAGTTCTGATATCAACATTTGTGACGAAAAATTATTACACTCGTCATTAAATAGACTTTCTAATATTTTCTCATTCGGCCCGCCCTAGCAAACTATTCCAGCATTTTTCCCTTCACAGGCATTTTCTATTGCAGCGTGCCGAATGAGAAAATATTAGAAAGTCTATTTAATGACGAGTGTAATAATTTTTCGTCACAAATGTTGATATCAGAACTTTTGTATGTTGAAGGTGCGGTCGTCACTAGTTTTTTACCTCGTTAAGAGGTGTTTTTATTTGATATCAGAAGTTTTTGTTTGTTTACATTTGCTCTCATAGGAGCTAATATATACATTTAAATTTAAATTGGTCAATCATAATTTTTAAACTATTGTATTTTAACAAATTAAGTTAAAAAGGCGTTGAAGTATTTCAAAATACCTTTTAAACGAGGTATAGCACATGTCTGTACCTTTAGTAGTGTAGAACTTACAAACTAACGAAATTTAGCTATTTTTAGCTTTTTCCCGCTAAAGTAGCGGCTTTTTTTAAAAGTCGTAGAACAAAAGATTCCTATATGGAACTCTTAAGTGCAAATTTACTGATTCCATGACCCTAAAATACAGTTCGGATACCCTCCCACAAAATTCAATACTCAGGGAGCGTTAATTGTTCGAGCTGGCAAAAGTGGCTATTTTCGTATAAAAATAACTTTTAAACGTGACTTTTTACAGTAATGTGTTATATACCAAAATTTAAGGAATCTCAAGGGCTATACAGTTTAAGGTTTTAAGGAAAATCGTTAGAGCCGTTTTTGAGAAAAATAAAAAAAAGCTAAAAAAAAAGTTTTAAAAAATTGTCTTTTGTTCATATTTTTTTAATTATTACATTTACACAAATTGCATATAGAAGGCGTTTATAGCATTTAAAATTACCTTTCAAACGAGATGCAGCACAAGTCTGTAGCTTTAGTAGTATAGAAGTTACGGCTTTCCGATTTTTAGCTATTTATAGCTGTTTTCCCGCTAAACTAGCGAGTTTTTCCAAAAGTGGTAGAACAAAAGTTTTTTATATCGATGTGATGAACGTCATATAAAATTTTCAAAACTTAAAAAACATGTTTTGGACAAACTGACAAACTGACAAACTGACAAACTGACAAACAGAATTAAATTTTCATTTTGGGAAGACGAAGAAAATCTTATTTTGGCTATAACTTTTGAACGGAGCGTCGGATTTTGACAAACGACCCCTCATTCGACGGGTATTTTCAAAAGGAATACAAGTAAAATATTGCGAGGGGGCAATTATCCCCACCGGCCCCAACAGCTCCAAATTTCGAAATTTTCACTTTTTCACTTTCACCGCTCTCTCTCCCAAGCAAATTGATTTTCTTAGAGTCTTGGTATGCAATCCTGTTAGTTTTTGCAATACCTTTCGATAGGTGTATCATTCATTATGATCGGACCATCACAGTAGATTTTCATTTCTTCGTGTATATATAGTAGTCGCCTTCGCACACTCTCCTGGTGCGCTTCGTCACTACATGGACTGCCGTCCATAGTGATATAGTGCTCTCTAAGTGGAAATTAAAGATATTTCTGTTTGGGTTCCTTTAAAGCTACATGTGCTATTGATATACAAAAAAATATCTTAGAACAAATTTTGATTGAATGAGAAAATTATTAAAAATGATTACAAACGAATTTTCTACTTAATATTTTAGCACCCCCAAATGTGCTTGGAAATGTTCCATCAATGGCCACCTGCCCGAGTTGCGGCGCTCGTAGGCAAACGAGGGTCGAGTTTGAGCCAAGTACCAAGACTCATTTGCTGGCCCTTCTAATCTGCATGATTGGGTATGTAATTCATCCTTTAGTTTGAACATTATCATAATTGAACTAATCTTTTCTTATAGTGGTATTTGCTGCTGTTGCATCCCATACTGCAAGGACTCCTGCCAGTCGGCCAAACACACCTGCAGTAACTGTGGAGCCTACGTGGGAACATTCAAGAACTAAGAAATGCATCCTAAAAAGCAATATATCCAGGAACCTTTTAATTTACAGTGAGTCGCATTAATATTCGGTTTTTTTTTTTTGTCAACTTCAAACGTGAATAAAAAGTTTGAAACTAATAAAACAAAAAATCAAATAATGCAGAAATAAAGCTTATTTTATTACCTTTTCATAGATATATATATGTTATTACTTTTTTTAAAATTTAACTGAGAAACATGCATAAACGAAAGAAAAGCCGAATATTGGGGCCACATTAATATTCGGTTTTCCCTTTTTGTACTAAAAATCAAAAAAATTATTTAGGAAGTAAACTAAATTTGACATTTGAAATGCTAGCCATTATTGTCTATGGTATCGTTTAAATATTTTGGCATACTTAAAACTTTTTTTTTTGCCTATTCTGGGCCAGTTTTTCCAACCTAAAAAAAGGATGTACGGGATAATGTCAAAAAAGTTTGCAAAGGTACAACAAATTCTCGATTTTTTTTTTTAATTTATGGTTAAACCCTTAGTCTTTAACTAGAAATCAGTTTCAGCGCAATCCATTAATCACACCAAAAAAAATGGATGGGTACAAAACGGAGTCGCTCAGAAGAAGCGTTTTGCTGCTTGATTCCATACAAAACTTAAGGAAAAATTAATTTTCGAGCGACTCTGCTTTTGTACCCATCCATTTTTTTTGGTGTGATTAATGGATTGCGCTGAAACTGATTTCTAGTTAAAGACTAAGGGTTTAACCATAAATTAAAAAAAAAAAATCGAGAATTTGTTGTACCTTTGCAAACTTTTTTGACATTATCCCGTACATCCTTTTTTTAGGTTGGAAAAACTGGCCCAGAATAGGCAAAAAAAAAAGTTTTAAGTATGCCAAAATATTTAAACGATACCATAGACAATAATGGCTAGCATTTCAAATGTCAAATTTAGTTTACTTCCTAAATAATTTTTTTGATTTTTAGTACAAAAAGGGAAAACCGAATATTAATGTGGCCCCAATATTCGGCTTTTCTTTCGTTTATGCATGTTTCTCAGTTAAATTTTAAAAAAAGTAATAACATATATATATCTATGAAAAGGTAATAAAATAAGCTTTATTTCTGCATTATTTGATTTTTTGTTTTATTAGTTTCAAACTTTTTATTCACGTTTGAAGTTGACAAAAAAAAAAAACCGAATATTAATGTGACTCACTGTATATAATCGATAATCGATTTAGCGTCGCTTGTGAACGGTTGTGTTTACCTGTGCTCTGAGTTTTTGATTTATTTTTGTGATTTTTTCGCAAGTGTTTTGTGTTTAGCTTACTAACAAAGTTTGCCTAACAATCGCGTTAGTGTTTTAAATAGATCTCCCTGTTTAACGGGTATGTGGTTTTAGTTATTTTAACAATTTCCATTAGATTTGTTTAATATCTTGGCTTTGTTGGTGTTATTTTGCACTCTCTAAATTTGCTCTTGTATTCTCTCTCTTTTTCTCTCTCTCTATTCCGCTCTATTATAACTGTAATTTCGCTCTCTCGGAACCTGCCAAATTTCTTGTAGACTCTTGGGTGCTTTTCTCATAGTCTCTCTCTCTCGCTTTACATTGTAACTGTTCGTTCGTTTTGTTGTTGGTGCCCCACAAGCCACGCTCAGTCGATTGAACACTTTTTCTCTCGCGCTCTCTTGCTCTCGACTTAATTCGCGATCTCGCGCTCTTATACTTTTGTGTTTTGTGTTTTTTGCGGTTTTGGAATTTGATCCCAGTGCCAAATTTACTCGAGGTATATTTTCCACATTTTATTTTCTATTTCTTTGAATAATCTTTTTTTCCTATAAAATGGCCCTTATCTGTATAAAGAAAAGTTGTGCTCTTCCGATGTCAACCAAAGATTCTTTTATTATCTGCTGGCTCTGCGATTCGGTCATGCACGTCAAATGTGCAGGATTTACTGGCAGAGTTAAAGACTTCATTGAAATGCGTACCGGTCTCATGTGGGCATGTGAGTCCTGCAAGGAAATGACAGTCGAAATGAGCAGCTTTATGAGGCAGACTCGAGACGGACTATTAAACCTTTCACGAGTTTTCACACAGCTCAATGACGGGTTCAACTCAGTTTGCGACCAATTTAATAATAAGAAATTATTATTAACCGAGTCGCCTAAACGGAAAAAAGCCAGCTCAGGGGCGGTTAATAAGACCGTGAAACAAAACAAAACATTGAACTCGGTAGCTGCAGCAGTTCCGGTCGGCACAGGGGTAAGCGAGCCACCTGTGCCTATGGTAACAGCCAGTTCCGGAGGTGACCCTGTTTCTGGATGCCAACCTGAGCCACAGAAGTCGGTGCTGACCGTAGATACAGTAGGAACCGCTTCTGGGTCCCAGCCGAGTGAGGTTCAGACTGCTGCTGGGGGGCGTAAGAAACTTTCAGTTGTTCCACATAGGAAGCAATTGTTTGTTTCTAGATTTACCCCGGATACCAAATCTGAGGATGTTATGGAATTCATACGTGAAAAATTCCCATCCGAGGACATTGAAGTTGAACAATTTCGATTTTCGTACGCCCGTAGGATATCTTCTTTTAAAATATTTGCTCCGCCTGATGTGTTTAATGTACTACTTTCTGAAAGCTTTTGGCTTAATGATGATTTGGTAATAAAAGAATTTGTTCCCAATAAACCGAGAACAAATAACAGGCCTCCCACTGTGCCTAATAATCGGCTTTCCACTGTGCCTAATAATAGAGTTCCACTGTGCTAAAAAACTAACCATTTTATTTTTGGCTTATCAAAATGTTAGAGGACTAAATATGAAGCTACCAAAGCTTTATGCTGACTCCTCTGCATTTACTGAAGATATTTTGGCTTTTACGGAGACTTGGCTGAAACCAGAGATATCTGACTCTGAAGTTTTGTCAATGAACTTTAACACATACAGGACCGATCGCTCCCCGCGTAGGGGGGTGGTTTAACATCGGAGAGGCTTAACATTCATATCCCTAACGATATTGAATTTGTTAGTGTCAAAGTTTCCATTCAATCCTTATCTATTTTTGTAACCTGCTCTTATATTCCTCCTGGCACTTGTTTTATTAATTTATGAGCACCATCTGTGTGCTATAAAATCTGTTCTATCCTTTCTTTCCAACAGAGACCTTTTGATTGTTTTGGGTGACTTTAATCTCCCAAATATCTCTTGGTCTCTTCCCACTGACTCACTTGTCGCTACTCCTTTATCCGCCCATGATTTTGTGGATGGCCTTTTAGAATTATCGTTACAGCAAGTAAGCTTTATACGAAATTCATTAAATAGACAATTAGATCTAGTCTTTGTTTTAGATCCGCATGAAGTCACTGTAGCTAGAATTGACGCACTTGTTGTACCTGAAGACCAATATCATCCAACTTTGGAATTGACAATTGGCCTCCCCTGTACTGATACCCTTTCTCCTTTAGTTCCTCAAACTAAAAGGAGATGCTTTCGTAAATGTGACTATAATAAACTAAACTACATGATTTCTCAATATAATTGGACTGATTTGTACAATTGCATGGATATTGACAGTGCAATTGAACTTTTCTATAGCGTTTTAAACACTTTTTTTGACGAATGCGTGCCTGACAGTCTTCCTCCGAAGCTAAACAGGCCTCCTTGGTTTAACAATGAGCTTCAAAGACTTAAAAATCTTAAATCCAACACTTATAAAAAGTATAAAAAAACGGGAAAGCCATCTGATTTTGCGAAATATGTTGTGGCTCGTTCAGATTTTAATGTTCTCAACAGTCATTGCTATTCCATGTATTTAAATCGATGTAAATTCGAGTTTTCAAATGATCCGAAGCAGTTTTATAACTTCGTTAATGCCAAGCGTAAGTCTTCGGCATTGCCTTCATCGGTACGTTTAAACTCAAAAGAGGCATCGTCGGATTCTGAAATTGCGGATTTATTTGCCGAGTTTTTCCAAACTACTTATAGTTCGGCTGCTTGGTCAAACCCTACCTACCCTAACCACTTAAATAGGGCTAATTGTATTTTTACCCCTGTAATTACCGAAAGTTCTCTTTTAAAGGATTTAGCAACAACAACGCCAACGTATTCTCCCGGTCCTGATGGACTCCCTGGGAGTGTGCTTAAGTTTTGTGCTTCAACCATTTGTAAACCGATTCTTAAACTTTTTCATTTGTCTATTTCATCATCAGTTTTTCCAACTATCTGGAAGGACTCTTTCATTATTCCACTCCACAAAAAGGGTGCGAAGGCGGATGCCCAGAATTATAGAGGCATTTCTAAATTGTCGGCAATTCCTAAAGCATTTGAATGTATTATTACTTCTCATTTGCAGCATTTATGTTCCTCGCTAATATCACCGTGTCAGCATGGTTTTGTTAAGCGAAGATCGACCACCACCAACCTTCTTGAACTATCATCTATTGTAATAAATGGATATAAGAATAACATGCAGACTGACGTTATATATACAGATTTTAGTAAGGCCTTTGACTCTGTTAACCACTCTCTCCTTTTATTCAAATTAGATCAGCTTGGGTTCCCATGTAATCTATTAACTTGGATTTCAAGTTACTTGAATGGTAGGACTCAGAGGGTTATATTTAAGAGCGCTGTTTCTAAAATGATCAACGTGACATCTGGAGTTCCTCAAGGTAGTCATTTAGGCCCTTTGCTGTTTACTTTGTTTATTAACGATCTTCCCTCTATCGTAGCTCATTCTCGTGTACTAATGTACGCTGACGATGTTAAGCTTTGTTTATCATATAAAGATGTAGGGTCCGGTTTCAACTTACAGTCAGATATTGATTGTTTTCAGGGATGGTGTGAGTACAACCTTTTAAATCTGAACTGCCTTAAATGCAACGTTATGACTTTTTATAGGGGCACTCCTACGTTTGTTAGTTATTCTCTTCAAAATACACCACTCGACCGTATATATTCAATTAACGATTTAGGTGTTCTTCTCGACCCAAAACTTAAATTTGATTGCCACATAATGGCCACTGTCAATAAAGCTATGAGTGTTTTTGGGTTTATAAAGCGTTGGTCAAAGGAATTTGATGACCCTTATACAACCAGATTATTATTTACCTCCCTTGTCCGTCCTATTTTGGAATATTGTTCTTCAGTTTGGAGTCCACAATATCAAGTGCACATCGACCGTATTGAGTCGGTGCAAAAAAAATTTCTTCTTTTTGCCCTTCGTAGTTTGAACTGGGATCAAAACGTAAGGCTACCTTCCTACCAGAGTAGATTACTATTGCTTAATTTACCTACACTTGAAAACCGTAGAATAATGCTTGGTACTATTTTTATGCAAAATCTTATAAGAGGTGATATTGATTCCGTAGAACTGGTAAACCGTTTAACTTTTAATGTTCCCGTTAGACTAACACGAAATTATTACCCTCTTAATTTGCCTCGATGTACATCAAATTTTACTCTGCATGAGCCTTTTCGTGTTCTATGTAAAAATTATAACAATCTTTATCATTTAATTTGCACTTCAACATCTATCCCCGTATTAAAAACTAAAATTTTATCTCATTTGCTTCAATCTTAGTTGTAGTATTTGTAGTATTTGGTTTCATGTCTTTTCCTCGCGAACTCGCATTTTTGCCCTAATTGATAAAGGGTCCCGCGCGTAACAAGCACGTGCTTGGTATCGTTGGGCCACTTGTTTGTACTGCTCGAATCTATAACTATTACTAGGCTTCAGTTGATACTAAATAACAAACTTGAATTTTCATAAAAAATATATATTTTTTTAAAAAAGGCGCTTTCGATTTCAATATTGACATTTCGCTGCAGCTCAGAATTATGTATGAGTAATAAATATAGCGAAAAGCTAATTAAGAAATTATTGATAACAGTCGGAGCTTATCAGCTTGGAATTCCTATTAAATTCGGGAGACGAGTTTTGAGCGCAAATCTGTAGCTATTGAGTTGAGCTCAGTTTTAAAAAGATGTCGCTCAGGAACAGAACAGTTTTTAAAAGGCGATCGACGGAGGTTTACAGAAGTTTGTCGGAACCAAAGACAAATTCGAAAGCTGAACAGAAGAGAAACCCATCCAAGAGATCTATCGATTCGGAGGATTTAAAGTTATCTTGGAGTAAACGAATATGGTTTAATGTGCGGTATGTTGAAGATATAAATTTGGCCAAAAAGCAGATTTTCAAATTTATTGTATTTCAGAACCCTCTGTTGCTGTGGTAAACCGATGACTAAGTAAATTATTTGTCATTAAAAAATAGCCCTATTAGTGTTAGGCTTAAGTCTTAGAGGCATAGAGATAATTCAATTTTGAATACATGTTTACAAAATAAAAATGTAATATCGTCATATATTGTAATTTTAAAATCGAACAATTAGTATTTTTCTGATGAAACATTTGTGTATGTGCAAATAAAATAAAATAAAATGGAATACCGGCACTTCGCAACAGCTTATTATTCTTATCAAGATTTAACATGTATTGCTGCACACGACAAAATGTCATTTTTTGCAAGTATTCAAAATAAATTCGTGAAACACGAGAGGGTTTTAGTGTTTCTACAGCTTATAAATATAATATATCCATTCAAAGTCGAAAAATTACTAAGAACTCTTAAGTGTTTATGCAGTCACGTCCGCCAAATCCCCGACGATATCCTCTTCATGTGAAGAGTCAACCGAATACAAAGGATCTACCGCTGGCAAAAGCCATTACCTCTTTAAGGGTATAGAACTAAAAGTAAAAGAGTGCTTTTATAAAACACCTATCTTCTATCCATAGACTATTAGGAAAGAAAAAGAATTTCTTCAGGTGGAAAAGCGCTTTCGTTTTCAACAAATTAAGTTGTTTGACCGCATAAGTACAAATATAATATAGCTAAATGCAAACAAGGTAAAAAGCTTAAAAAAGAGCTTTGGTAGACATCGCAGCGGCAGTAAAACGCGAGAGTTGTACTCGGTTTCAGTTCGAAATTGGTGGTGAAACGAAGATGCAGTACAACCAACCGCCGGCGGGGCCAACAGGGTATCCCCATCAGATGCCACCACCGAGTTACGAGCAAGTGGTGCATGTGCAGGCGCCAATTCGAGTGGTTCACACGACGGCACCTCCGCCCGTGGTGATCATACAACGTGGGTTTTGATTACGGGAAAATTAGTAATGATATATTTTATACATGTAATAATATATTTCATATACAGATCAAGCCGTATTGCCCGTGGGTCCCGATCCTACCTTCATCACCTGTCCGCACTGTCATGTCCAGAAATTGACCCGCGTGGAGTATTCGCCCAGTGTGAAAACGCATTGCATGGCCGCCATTCTCTGCATAGTTGGGTAAGATCCCCATCTTCATCTCCAGACTCCCGAGCTCCTCCAACTTATCTTATCTTTAATGGAAAATACCAAACAGCCTCTGGTGTTGTGCCTGCCTGCCTTACTGCGCCACCAGCTGCATGAATGCAAATCACTTCTGCGGCAATTGCAACAAGTTCGTCGGCGTTTACAACAGCGATTAGTAAATGCCCCACGAAATAAATAGAACCAACCGAACCGAACCAAATCGAACCGATCACACCCTCAACAGCAAACCCACGAGTCATTTATGAAAGCGAACATTTTTGGTCAGGTGTCGACACCTAATGGGGTAAACAATCGGGCCGGCGAGCTTTTGGCTTTACTTGATAAGAATACGCGATACGATACCAAGCACTTTTTTCTTTCCGCGGCGCTCCCTTGAGTCATTTCCCAGCGATTCACACACCCAGTGCAAAGGCAACAATATGGAGCCCGTCTATCCAGCTGCACCCTTGGAGAAACCCAAGGGATCCGAGGCCACGGTGCTACAGTCCCAACCTGCAGAGCACCAGCAGCTCCTGCCGCCAGCGCCACCGAGCTACGACCAGGCCACCTCCATTCCGGCCGAGACCACGGGACCAACTCCAGACAGACCAGCTTCGGTCACCACCCAGCACACGGTAGTCGTGGTGCCTGGTTCGCCCTACGGCCCGGAACCCATGGACGTGCAGTGCCCGCATTGCCACAATTACGCCCGCACTCGGGTCTCCTACAGACCCAATTCGCGCACCCATCTGATCGCCCTGATATTGTGCCTGTTCCAGTAAGTATCCAGAAAAAGATAATTTAAATATAATGTGTTGGCCACTCGAGCTTAATGGGTAGGTAACCACCTTTCTCATTAGATATTCCTAAAATTTGTTATGAAAGTAACAAGTTGGTAAAGTGAATCTTGCAAAACTTAATAATTTAGTTAGATTCTTGAGCGCTGTAAGGTTAATTTCAATTTAAAATTCTCCATATTAATTACAAAATATTTTTATTGTGGCTCATTAAGTTTTATAATTATGAGATATTTTCAAAATATGTTGGTAAAAAAAGTAACTATGTCACTACAATCATCAAAGAACTCTAGCGAAAAAGTTTATCTGACTGATAAAAAAATACATAAAATGTTGTTTGGCGTACACTATTTTGATATTCTTTCTTATCAATGATACTATTGATATGAATAGCCATCTATTTGAACGGTTGGCTTTTAACATTGAATTATAATATTCTATGTTTGTTATTAATTAAGTAACTTTAATATGTGTAAAAACATTCCGTAATATTTATATCCCAGAAGAATAAATATGAAATTTAAAATACTTTTAATTAAAACCTATTTATAAATTGTTTGTTTAAAACATTACAATAAACCGCAGTAGAAAATGAAAAGTTTTCTGTGCAAGTTCCACTTATGTATGACTCATTTTGTCGGTTTTTTTCTCTTCTTACAGGTTGTACTGCTGTGTGTGCCTGCCGTATTGCATTTCCAGTTGCATGAACACGAATCACTACTGTGGCATGTGCGATCGTTATTTGGGCACCTACGATCGTAAGTGAGCAACTAAGGAGTTTTTGTCTGGGCTCTCTGCCCATTTGTACACATTTTCTTCAAATGATTAGTTAATAAATGGCCTGCAACAAGCAAGCCGAACCAAAAGAATGTATTTCGCACTTGAAAGTGGGTTTCAAAAGCTTTAATATTTAACCAATTCTTTCTTATAATAATGTTCCAGATAAATGAAAATTATTTTAAAAGTAAAACAGGTTCCTAAAATCTTAATTAATAAAGCCATGTTAATTTTAGTTTATTAAGACTATAATTTGGCTTACTATTTAATTGTAAAAAGCTCTTGCTCTTATTTTTAGAATTATTAGAGTTTTTGCATTTTATAATATGACATTCAAGGGCGCTTTGATAACTCAATCTTTTAGTTACCAAAAGCTTACTTAATTAGCGACATACTACTATCTGCTATAAGTATACTTTATCGGACATCCTATTCTCCGACGTGAGATACCTTGGATAAACAATGAAACTCATTGTGTGCATTAGATAAAGCTCGGTAAACATTATTCGAGAGATACTTTCGGTTTTGCAACGCAACAGGCCGAAAATGATTGCTCAATCTGCTGGTCTGGGGAGCTTTTTCAAGCTCGCTCCGATCTGAGCCAAAAAACTTGATTGGGATTCCGAAACTGAATCTTTACCTGGATCCAAATCCGAATCCGCTGGCAGTTGTGAGCGGCGATCGAAGTGCAAAAGACGCCGTCTAGTTGTAAATACGCAAAGTAAACACACTCGTCTGCTGAACGGGAACCGGAATCTCTTACTCATTACAAATCGAATAAAAAGAGACGTTGAACTTCGCACTAAAACTAGGGCTTTGTACGGCATTCAAAGATGGATCAGAAGCGAGCCATGCTTTATCCGCAGGTGGATTTCAACACCCCGAGTGCCCCCTCGCCGACGCCAACGAGGGAGTTGGGCAATCCCATGGGCCTGCCCCTGGAGGCTCCTCCATCGTACGATATGGCTGTGTCTGTTCCGGTGGTTCCAGTGGTTTCCGCACCAGCAATTGCCCCAGCACCACCGCCAGTGGTCGTTGTCGAGCAGCCAGCACCACAGCCGCCTACAGTGGTGCCAGTAGGTTGGTAGTTTACTCGGTAGTTTTGGCATAAAGCTCTCCTGACGTCACTTTCCGCTGTTGCAGACACCCTGCACTTGGGTCCCAATCGAAGTAGGGTTCTTTGTCCCGCCTGCGGTGCCAACAAGACCACCAGGATGACACACACGGCCAACTCTAGGACCCACATGGTAGCAGGTCTTCTCTGCTTAGTAGGGTGAGTTGTGGTTTCTCTTGAAGGTTAGCAAAAATATACTTTAATACCTGTTTGGAAAAACCTTTCAAAGTGTCTGCTTGTCTTCATAAAATGTTTTTAACTTACTCTAAAGTTCATTTTAATTGCTTAAAAACTAGAAATATAGAATCTATGTTTAAATGTTCTTTTATATTCTTTTTTTAGATTTTGCTGCTGTGCCTGTTTTGTCCCCTATTGCATGAACAGTTGCCGCACAGGAAATCACTATTGTCGCAAATGTAACACCTTCCTGGGAGCCTATAATCCAAAAGGGATAAACTCGTGATAAGACTGCGATACGGGGGCTAAGAAAATAGATCAGTTAAAAGTTGTATGCAAACAAAAATCAGCTGATGTTTGCCAGCGAATAAATTAAGATTATCACAGAAGCACTTGTGTAAAACGCAAAGCGTTAAAGAAAAACTAAAGGTAAAGAAAATATGGGCATCTATTATTATTTTTTAGCCTCTACTATGTTTCTGTAAAAAGAGATTTCCATTTAAAAATAATAAACACTATAATAGACATAGGCAAAACCGCTCACCTTCGCCTTTGTTGCTGAGCAGCTGGCCTTTGGCTTTGGCTGGCTAGTAAAAATAAAGGCGTAGGTGGAAGATTCGCTTGGCTTGACAATAAAAAGATAAAAAAAGAAACAAATACAAAAATTGCAAATCAATATTATTTTGGCGCCTAGCTCCCATAGTAATAATAGGAAAAATAATAGATTCTTGGGAATTTCACGTTTTTAATATTTCAGAATAACGAATTAAATGTTATTTAAATCATAGGTCACTATGATATAGTTAATCGGATCGATAAGTAATGCCTAAAATCCAGGGACCGTAAATAATCATTATTTGAGATTTTTATTTTAAAATGCCTACTGAGGTTTTTACAAGTTTTAATCAACAATTTAATTGGTTTTTATGCACTTTATAGACATGAACAAATAACAGTTCATTTGCTTTCCAAATTTGTTGAAATGCATATACATACTTTGTGGACAAGAGTAAAAAGAACGTTATTTTTGACGTTTAAAACAAAATATCACAGTAGTCTTTTTAAAATAAAAATCTCAAATAATGATTATTTACGGTCCCTGCTAAAATCTATTTCTTCGTTTGACATCAAAATGAATCTAAGTATCAAATTGTCGTAATATTCTGAAATTAGTTTGTGATTTTTCAAAATATTCCTTACATTTAAACCATAATTAATATTTATACTGCTACTACTGAATAAACAATTAGTTCTTTTTGCCATCATTTGTCATTCACTTCAAATTCAATTCAATAATGGCGCCAAAGGCACAGGGTGTACCATCAAACGGCTCTTCCCTTGCAATTTCGCCATTATTTATTAGTACTGGAGGAACAACAATATATCGATGTGTTATCGATGCACCGATGTTTCCATCGATATTTATCCATCCAAAAAAGCTAGCTATTCCAGCTATTAAAAGCTAGAAATAGCCACTAAATGGCTGACCTGGCAGCACTGCTAAAAACACACCAAAAAGACAATTGCAATTTTTTCACAACAAAAAGCCACCTAAATCGCGCAAATTAAGCAACAAATGCGTGCCAAAAACGCAGCGAATCTCCACTGAGGCCACCGTGTGTTCGTGGGCGTGGCAAAGGTGGTCGCACAGCAGCAAAACATCACAGGCAGCAGCGCAGCAGCAGCAGAAGGGGCGGGCAGAGGCAGCGGCAGAGGGAAAAGTCGGGCATTTTCAGCTGCTTCTTCTTCTTCGTGGGACTGGACTGGATTTGGATTGTTGTTTTCCCAGCACAGCAGCGCCCAGGCGTTTCTCCTCTCCACGTATATTATGGACAAGAAATCCTCGCCGGTGCGACGACAAAAGCGGCAGGCAAAGGTGATCGAGGAGAACTTCTGGGACTGCAGCGTCTGCACATATAGAAACTCGGCGGAGGCCTTCAAGTGTCGCATGTGCGACGTGCGGAAAGGTGAGTGACCCCGATTCCGAATCCGATTTCGTTTCCGAATCCCCAAGATTCCCCAGATTGCCTGGCACGCGTTCCGGTTTTCGTCTTCTCGATCGACTATTGAACGGTTTTCTATTTTCTATTCTATTCAAAAAAACATATCTTTATTTATGTAAACATTAATAGATATGATAGATGGATAGGGTATCTGTTAGATAAACTACTTTGTAAATACTGAAATCATAAAAAAACAACTATGAACTGTAGCGATTGTAAACATTATTATATTTCTAGCTATTTTAAACTTTTTTTATATTTATTGATTTTTTTTAAAAATGTTTATATTTTTTTGATCAATCAATAATGATAAAAAGCTACGATTTAATCATATTTTTTAATAAACTGCTATTAAATATCTTCAAAATATGAAGAATAGCTTAATTTTTTATAAATTCTTTATTTAATTCTTATTAATTCTCGCTTAAAAATGATAATTAAATTGATTCACTCGTAAAACTTTGTTAACGTAACAAAATGTGATATGGTAAACGACCAATCTCTTATTATGTAAAAGCGAAAACCGAAACGTGCCTGACTAATTGGAAATTACAAAGTAACTCACTAACATTTCGTACCCCTTATCATCAGGAACATCCACGCGCAAGCCGCGCCTGAACTCAGCGCTAGTCGCCCAGCAGGCCGCCACTTTGCCGGGCGCCAGCGCCAACATGCCCAACGGAAAGTCCGCCTCCGGGTCGCGGCATGGCAGCGGGCACGACCGGCAGCGGCATAAACGCTACCCGGCCCGGTTGAAGAACGTGGACCGATCGACGGCGCAGACGCGCGAGGTGACGGTCAACTCGGTGACCGTGTTCATCACAGAGTACAAGGCCAAGCCGGTGAGCAGCCGGCGCGAGTCCAGCGAGCAGAGCTTCAGCGAAAGCAACGACAGCCGGAGTTAGAGGAGGCACTCCAGGCTCCCGCACGCCCAGCTCCCCGATATTCTAAGCCACGGTTCCCGGTCCCCTGTTACGAGTTGTAAATTCTAAGTGTTAGGCCCCTGGCGATAACAATTGTAAATCGAAATCCGTTTAAGTTACCAAGTATTAGGCCACATACAAGCCCCGAAAGCCACGCCCCACAATTTCATGACTTCCAGCCCAGGCCAAGTTGGCGAAGCAAGCGAAGCGACGGCGAGTCGATTGCATTTACACGACGCTCTCCAAATCCAATCTTTAAATGCGCTAAACCCTGTAAATAGCGATGCAAGAGTTCCCTGAATATCTCTGTCTCGTATCGTAATTTTAGTTGTAATTTAATTCTGCTACTCTAATTCTAATTCCTAATTTATTGATGAAAAGGCACCTGTGTGTAACCGCCGTGTACATGTTCAACAAAGATATCATTTGTTTTGTAAGTGTCGATTAAAATATGGTTTAACTAAGTGCAAGCTAATCTCAATGTTCCACTAGCAGCGTCCCATCTCCAATGGTTTGTTTAACTATTATAAACTATCCCCTGTTTTTTACACTAGAAAATGCTGCCTGACAACGAAGAGTAGGGAGGAGAGAGCCACGAGCTGGTTGTAGAAATTTAAAAAAACCCCCTACCCTAAAAAAAAAAGGGATAAAAAAATTCAAAAAAAAAAAAAAAAAAAAAAAAAAAAACCCCCCCCACCCAAAAAAAAAAAAATTTAATAAAAAAAAAAAACAACCAAAAAAAAAAAACCACCCCCCCCCCCCCCCCCTCCCCCCCCTTCTTCCTTTTTTTCTTTTTTTTTTTCTTTTTTTCTTTTTAAAAAAAACCAAAAAACAAAAAAAAAAAAAAAAAAAAAAAAAAAAAAAAAAAAAAAAAAATCCCCCCCCCCCCAAAAAAAAAAAAAAACAAACCAACCAAAAAAAAAAAAAAAAAAAGAACACTCCTTGTAGCTTGGTTGTAGACAATTTGCTAATTTTAATTCGTTTGTATACAAGACTGATTAAGCGTTACCAACCAGATATATAGGCGCCCGTACACGCACCCAGCCCGAGTCCGATTTTGATTTCAATTTTCAACCAGGAAGGACGTCCTTCCAGCAAACAATAGACGAATACTCGAACTCGCAAGATGAGAATTTTGTACTTAGCAGAGCTTAAACGCTCTTCCACCATAGCAATAATTACTTAGCGAACAAACAAACAAAGAAAAACAAGAATTTTGATATGAACGATTGTATTTAATATTGGATAACGGATATAATGGTTTATAAAGTGCTTGATATTTGTATTTTGAGATAGATTGTTTAGCCACACGAAACACTCACACACACTCCTCAAAACTGCCGAACGTAGTCAAAGAATAACTTCCAATAGACAAACTTCAATTTGGATTATCGTAAACATTTACAATTAATATGAACAGTTTGTATTCCAAATGCTTGGCCCGTTGAGCATTAATCAACAGCAACGACAAAGAAAAAGACAAAACTTATGCAAAAGCAATTAAAGCCGCACTCACACACAACCACACGGATAGTTAAAACTTGAATTCCAATTGTAAAGCATAAACTTTTAAAGCATTATAAAATACATTAAATAAATTTCTAAAATGCTATTCCAAATCGGCGTTGTCTTCTCCTGCCCTCAACAGTTGAGTTTAATATTTTTTATTTGAGCTTATCCGACTTGCTAAACTTTTGTTGCCAACTTTTATTTTTGATTCTTTTTATGGCTGACATTCGGCTTAAACTTTAAAGGTCTTTAAAGAGCAAAGGAGCAGAGAGACCCACCCTGCCTGGATGCCAGTACATCCACCCATTCCCCAGGACCCCGGACCACCCACGCGTTGCCCCAACCCCACTCCCCGCCTCGCAATGTGTGTGTGTGCCTAGCTCTGTGTTCTCGACGAGGGGGGAGCACCATCTGTATCTCTATCTGAGTATCTGCTTACGCGTGCTCCCGGCCTCGAGTTTTCGGGCCTCGGATCAGAGCAGCGCTTCTGCCAGAGTTTCGGTTTCAGATGCACGGAAAACGGGAGCAGGAGCTCCACTCGGAGAAGGAGAAGGAGCTGGAGCCGGAGTCACTGTCTCTGGTCGATGGCTACGCCTTTGGCAGCTGCCTCAACTTTTCGCACAGAGCCGGAGCACATCGCACGCTTCGCAAATAAATTACAAATTGTTTTGTTCCAGCTATGCAGCCACAGTAAAACTTGCCTAACTCAACCGCCATCTGTCGCATTTTGAATGCATGCATGCATATCTATAGAAAAAAATATTCTTGTGCTTTCCGGAAATATATAACTTATTAAAAATTAAAATCCTGACAATTTTAAATGAAATAAATTTTTTAAAAATAAAAACTCATAAATAGTTCAAAAACTATATAAGTTAAATTATCACTGATTAAAAAAATCCTAAAAAAAACCCATTATAAATTTAAATATTTTTTTAAAATTTTTTTTGTTGTGAATGTTTTTGAATAAATGGTTTCCTTATTACAATAACATGTTTTTAACATGAAATAATTAATAAACAATGTATGTGTATAAGTTATTAAAAAAAACAGAAAATCGATTCGACAAATCAAGATATATTTTTTAATTTTTTTTTTTCTTTTGATAAAAAAATTGTAACCTTCAAGAAATAGGGTTAAATAATTAAAAAAGGGAAATAAAATTGTTTAGCCTTCCCCCAAAATAAAAACTACTCAAAAAAAAGAAAAATATACTTAACGAAGCTTGACTGTAGTTACGTACGTACACTCACAGACAATTCCTCCCACATCGCCCACCCAGTCGCAGCCCTCGCGCAATTCGCTTCAGACTTCTAGCTCGGCGTTCGAAATTCTGCCGTTCGTATTTTCTCTAAAATGTTAAAATTCACAGGACCTCCCCCATTTTCCATCCCTCTAGTTTGGCCCACAGGCGGCAGCAGGCAGCAGGACCTGCGTTATCAGCGCCACACTCTGTGCGCTTATCTTCCATGTGCGCTTCGTCCTTTGGCTCCATCTCCGTCTCCAGCTCCTCCTCGCCTTCGTCCTTTCGTCGTTCGTCCTTCGTGGCCCTCCGCCTTCTTATCCGTTTGTTTGTCCGTGCTTCCGACTCATCTGTGCGACCGTCCGCACATCCTGTGCCACCCAACCGTTCCTCGTCCTTCGTCCTTGTGTGTAGTTGGAAATTCTCGTTTTGCTTGGAGGAGCGAGAAAAATAAAAGCAAAATCAGCGTTGCAGCATTTGGAAAATGTTAAAAACTCCTGGCTCCTACTGGGCATTCGCATGACGCATACGCCGCGTTGTCCGGCCGGACGGAGGATCGCCTGGAAAATAAGTGAAGTGAGGGCGCAGGATTAGGGGGTGGCGCCGAGGATGTGGGACTGGTAATCCCCGCAAGTAACTTGAGCACTTTATGGCACAACGCGCACGTGTGTCGGAATCAGTACGTGTGTGTGTGGGTGTTAGATAACCAACGCCGAGCGGGGGAATCCCCTTAAAGCTGCGATAGCTCTCGGTTTTAAACACTCTTTAGGCTTTAGCCATTTTAATTACATTAAAAACTTTCTGCAGGCATTAAATAAATTGGAGCCAAAGATGAAGATACAGCTACGCTACATCTAGAACATCTGAAGATGGCAGCGAATGGCAAACTTATGTCACTTTGATCCCTGCGAGTAACTTTGGGCCAACTCATGCGAGAGACAATGGTGGAACTACCCTCTGTGCGCCTCACCCCCTCCTGGTAATCAAGTTGGTCTTTAAAATTGAAATTCCAGCATTAGGCAAGGAATGCGACCAACGTAGAACACAATCTATCCAAAAGGGGTGGCGAAAGGATTCGAAAAGGGGATGGCGGAGGGGATGGGAACATTTGCTGCCGCTTATCTGTTTCAAATGTGCCACAGCACGTCGAATTTCATGCACCAAGAAATTATCGGTCGTCACCCATTACAGTCTGTCAAATAAATCTTTACTAATTGGAATGGCATTCTCGTATCCTTGGAATAATTAAAAATGCGCTGATAATAAATTAAAATAAATTTAATAAATAAATTTAAGCACCTGTTCACAAACTTAAAGTCAAATTAATACTTTTATTCCCCAGCTAAATGTTCAACTTATTCCTAACAATATTATACAAATTTAAATAGCCTTTCAATATTTATTCATTGATAGATTTCAAGAAACCCTGACCCATAAAGTTACAAGTAGCAAGTGACAAACGCTTCTTTCCTTAATTAAAGTTAAAAATTAAAGTTTCTCGAAGAGCGAAGAATGTGCGACAATCGCAGTGTCACCATCACCCCCTCGGGTCCTTTGGACGCCCCTCGCACCCCTTAGACCCCCCTGGAACGCCTCTGGCCCTGCCCGTTTGGGCCGTCAACTTCATTGTGTTTATTTCTCATGTTAAAATCAAATTCCCGCGTGTGCAATTTTTCATTTGGCCCGAGAGCCGGAGCCCGGAGTCCCGAGCCCGGCGGAGGAATGAAAGGGAAGTGGAAAAATGTGTAAAGGTGCGTGTGCCGGGGAAAAACCCGGGGTGGCCTTAGGGGGTGGACTTGGGCCCCCTTTGGGGTGGTGTGATTGCTCGGCTGGCTCTTCCGGCGTGCTGTCTGACGTCAGGTGAAGTCAGCTTAAAGAACAACTTTGCCTACAAACTTTTAACGCCAGCTTCAATTCTTCCGTTTGCTCAGTTTTTTGTACTTTACCTTTACCTTTTTCCCTGCGAACGCGCTGAGCTGCATTTTGGGTAACATTTTCGATACCTGTCGGCATGTGTCGAGTACCAAGAGGTATTCCCCATCTGCCCACCCATCTGCATCTCTTCCATCCTCGGCTCCCGGTTCTCGAATTCTCCTCCTTGGCGCCCGCATAACTTGCGCTCTAAACAAAACAAAAATGCGTTGGCAAAAGCGTAGGACCAGAGACAGAAGAACCCAGAGACACCAAATGGAAACTGGGGGCGGGGGCTGTGGCGCGGGGCGGGGGGCGTGGCAGGGCAGAGGCAGCTGGCTACGATGACTACGATGGCGATGGTGATGGCGACACTGGCAACAGCAAAGGCAACGTTAGTGCGACACCCTAATCTACAAGGGTAACTCAACATATCGATGAAGAACGTCTCACATTTAAAATTGAGTCGAAATGGCTTTAAGGATATCTAAGGATATCTATCTCTATAATTTATTTATATGGATAGATATAGAGATAGAGATAGAAACTAGATATGTATAACGTAAATTAACATTTAGAAACAATCGATTTTGAAAACCAGAAAATGCATTTTTATAATTAATAGACCCACTACACCAATATTATATGATTATCAATCGTTATAACTTTCAATTTTCATAATTAAACACTATTTTAGTTTAACTATAACTTAATGAAAATACTAATTTCTTCGTAACTTATTTGTAGTAGAAGTTTTCAGTAGTGATACTCAAATATTTAATTCCCAATTCATTTTTGATATTAACTTTATT